TATCTGAGGAAGAAAGAGTCACTTTTTTACTGTTTTTCAGCTGTTTTTGAATTCATGAATAAAAGTCCAAAGACAGAATCAGAGCAAAGAAAACATAGTTCTTTACTATGAATTACATCATCTGTTCAAAGTAAACAATGACACACACACACTCACATATGCACGTACGCACGCACACACACACAGCTGCTGTGATGGAAATATTCAGTCTTTCCTCTTAAGATGACTCTGTTATCAAGCCTCGCCCCCCTGAACAGCTGATTGTGTTTACAAAGTTCAATCTGTACTTTTCAACACTCAACCATCCCCACTCAATTGACCCCCCCTTAGCACCGTGGGACAAGATAGAAATAATCCTCCTCTTCAGCTCCCACAGTTAGATGGAGACATAACTGTAAACATAATTTTATTTATGCATCACTTAAAACAAACAAACAAACAAACAAAAGGTTTAAAAAACAGATTTAAAAACAAGGGGCTGGAAAGTTAGTTATAAAAAAACAATAAACTAATTTCAAACAAATGAACAGTACAAATAAAGATCCAGTACTTTAATAATATGAGGTATTCAAGACATGGGCTACATGAGCTTAGAGGAAAATAAACAGAAGGAGAGAGAGAGAGAGAGAGAGAGAGAGAGAGAGAGAGAGAGAGAGAGAGAGAGAGAGAGAGAGAGAGAGAGAGAGAGAGAGAGAGAGAGAGAGAGAGAGATATGTGTTTACCTCTAAGCTTGAATCACGGGTTTAACTCAGACCTGCAGCTCCTTCCCCCTCCCTCTGTCTCTTCTCAGTTTCCTCCTATGTTCTCTGAATAACAGCAGGAAAAAAAGAGCAAAAGATAACCTTTAAAAATGAGCTGTAGGCTATGACTGAACAACTATCAGGATTCACTGAGAAACGAAAGGACTCCTTTTTTTCTAATTTTGTTTTTAGCATGGACATAAACCGTTTGTTCCTGATTTAACACTGAGTTCTGATAAGAAGAAGACCTAACTGATGTACATAATTGTTCCTCTATGGTTGTTAAAGAAAGCTGCTGAAATCAAACCTTGACTTCTCATTCACTTTAGGACTATAGTCTGTAGATGTATAGTGTGACTTATCAACTAGGCTAACTTTACAACCCAAACACACCCCAGCTTACTGGCATTACTGATGCAAGAAGTTGTGTTTGATTACTTAAACCGTCTCTTGCTGAAAAAGGTCACAAAACTCCAGATTTTATAGAGTAATTCTGACTTGTTCCTACAACAGGGTCAAACCCATCTCAGCTATGAAGTCAACATGAATAATGTGAGTGTAACCGACTTCCTCTGCAGTCAACAAGCTGGCACTAACTCTCTACCCTCCATCAATAGTCAATCATTTCTTCATGGAAATGTAATCAGACCGAGACGCTGAGGCAGAAGAACTACTGTGTCTGCAGTGCAAAATGATTAATATGATGATTATTACTTCAAGGAAATGACATAGTAATGCTCATTAATGTTCTTCCTTGAGCTGCGGCACCCCACTGTAGTCTGTAATGGACTGGCCCGAGGTCTCGCTACAAACAAATGGCTGCTGGAAGAGAGTGGGTGAGTTGTGTTTAGTCTCTTTGCAAAATAAACCAGGCAAAGCTAAAAAGATGTTTGGTGGCTAGTACTATGTCTTGGACCCTATATGTACTGTTGATGAAGTTAGGTGCTGTTCTGAGCATTATTTGTGGCTATAGAGTGGCGTTTTGGTTGAGGTTTGTGTGTGGCGCCTCAGACCGCTTTGTATTGCTATCCAGTGATCTTTACTAAAGTTGGTATAACTAGAGAAGCAACATTTATCTCTCGAGTGGGTGTCTAACTCAGTGTTACGGTGTGTTTGACCCTAACTTAATTTTTCACTGGAATATCCCTTTAAGTCTAAAGTTTCAGTAAACTGGATAGAGCTAGAACCATTGGGCTTTAGGGGCAGGTAAATCTTTAAATCATCTCAATAGCAATGAAAAGAAATACCATGTTTCCTCATTATGGACCCCAAAGGCAGCAGGTATAGAGAAAATAGTAGAGGACCTAAAGTTGACCCCTGAGGAACCCCACAGAAAAGAGATGCAGTCATTGATGCAAAACAGTCAACATTCCCTGTAAGAGCCATCCTGATATTGGTCAGTTGTTGAGTAGTTTTCCTTTAAAAATGTTGAACTGCTCCTTTAATTGTAGTGCTGATGACGTCATGGCGCTCGGCTCTCTGACCAGGTTAAGCAGCCTAAAGCCTAAAAAGTTTGTATAACGAGAGAAGCAAGCGGTCGGCAACATTCATCTCTCGAGGGGGTGTCTAACTCAGTGTTACGGTGTGTTTGACCCTAACTTAATTTCACGCTGGAATATCCCTTTAAGACTAAACTTTTGAAAAGTTTCATAATTACAGAGCTGTGAACAAAGTAACACCCATGAGCTGTGTCTAAATTTCCATCAGTGGAGAAACAGCAAAACAAAGTTAGTCGAAGCTGAAACAGATGACAGTACGAGACAAGTAAGGAGTTAACAGAGCTGCTAATCATGCCAAGCTACTATATTGTTGTCTCAGACTGGATAATTCAGGTATAGCAAAGGTCGACTTAAGAGAGGGATGTTCTTGTTCGCAGAAACTAAGAAAGAGCCTCTAGCTCAGTTGTTCTCAAGTCCAGTCCTCGAGGCCCACTGTCCTGCATGTTTTGGATGTTTCCCTGCTCCAACACACCTGATTCAAATGATCAGCTCGTTATTGAGCCATTACAGAGCTTGATAACGAGCTGATCATTTGAATCAGGTGTGTTGGAGCAGGGAAACACTGATTGAGAACCACTGCTTTAGCTGAAATATCTTTGCCGAATGTCAGCCTGGAACACTGATAAATAACAGAAACCTGTTTCAGCCTCACTCAGCCTCTCAGTCTATTTTAAACACTGACTCTGTACAGTCCCTCAGAGAGCCGACACGTGTCAGCTGTTTAATGATCTTTAATTCAAACTCAGCTAACTTTATTTAAACCCCCTAAGAGCTGCTGTCAGTTTCGCGGCTCTGTAAATCACTCATCACTTCCTGCTGTCGGTCAGAGGTCAGAGGTCGGTGTGTAGACTGACGCCCTGCTGCAGTTAATCCTGCTGGCCTGTAGACAGTGTGTGTGAAGGTGTGAACATGTCAGGTGATAATGGGAGACCAGAGCAGATTAATGGAGGCAGTGAGGTAAAAATAGAGCTGATGATGGATTCCAGAGAGGGCTGCTGTTATCACTCCGAGGCTACAGCTCCTGTGGGCTGGTTTTAATGTCCAATGGTTGAGTTTGAAACCCAAATAAAAGTGTAAATAATAAACATCACTGGTTAAACTGAATCCTCACTTAAACTGCTGTTATTCAGTCTGAATCCAGCCCTCTGTGTCAAAATATGATTTAAAATTTAAAGCTGGAATCTAAAGTATAAAAATGACATCAATCTAAAGACTGAGTTGAACAAAATCAAAGCATGAAATAAAAAATCTAATCATGTTTGACTTGTAATCTTGAAATGCAAAATTGAAAACATGAAATAAAACACTAAATATTTTCCCCCACATTCTTGACTATTTATCAAATCTTCCTTACGCTTTTCCAAGATTTCCGTGGCCTTTTAAGGACATTTTAAATAATGGTGCTAAAGTTTACATTACTAGACTGGAGGAAATCTGCGGACTTCATACTGGTGAGCCAATAATAATACAAAGATGATATGATCTTGTGGGCCAGATATAATTGTTCCACGGGCCAGATTTGGCCCCCGGGCCTTAAGTTTGTTACTTGTGCAGCAGAGTAACTGCCTCAGGTTTCAAGTTTGTTTGGTCATAATAACTATGACCACTAGAGGTCGCCACCTTATTGAAAAAATTAACATGAAACATTAAACTGCTCACACTAATGCCCTCTGTGATGGACAAAACTCAGGTAAATGTTTGGATTATATCTTCTTTGATTCCCACAGGAAAACAGCTTCAATTGTAAAGGTATGAAATGTTGAAATTGTTTTCCTGTATCTTTTAGAATAGATTTTAAGGTTCTTTTATCAGCTTATAAATGTCTTAATGGTCTTGGTCTTCCTTATTTATCTGATTTGCTTTTACAACATGAGCCCAGAAGAGCCCTCAGGTCTTCGGGTAGTGGTCTTTTAATAGTCCCCAAAGTAAAAACCAAAACATAAGGTGAGGCATCGTTTTATTATCATGGCCCCTGTCTGTAGAACAGTCTGCCTGAAGACCTGAGAGCAGCACCGACGGTCCATATTTTTAAACGCAAACTCAAGACCTTCCTTTTTAGTCTGGCTTTTAGCTGATTTTTGTTTTATTCTTCTAGCCTCTCTTTTAGTCTACTCTTTTTATCTTATGTATTTCACGCCACTTTAGTCCCAGAATTATTATTTTATGTTGTAACACTATTTGTTTATTTTCTTTTATTGTTTGATTTAAAACCAGTTTTATTATTATTATTTTTATTATATTTTATTTTTTTAAATCATTTTATGAGTTTCCTGTCTTGTCATGGTTTTATCAGTTTAGCTTCAGCTCCAGTGTTTCCCCATTTTAGTTTAAGATAGTGTTTCCTTGGTCCTCTGGGGCTTCCTGTTGAGCCCTGACTTGGTGTCCCAGTGGTCGTGAGAGTGTGTGTGTGGGCGGGTGGGTGAAGTTTTGCAGTTTGTATTTTCTTTTGTATCCCCTGATCCTCTCCTTCTTGTGTTCTTTAATGTACAGCACTTTGTGATGCAGTTTATGTATGAAAAGTGCTTTATAAATAAAGTGATTGATTGATTGAAATGTGCCTTTAATGAACTTTATCCTCTTTTTTTTTTTTGCTCCTGCCACAGAGAGAGAGAGCAGAAGAAAGAAGAAGGGAAAACATCTGTGTTTTGATCCTGTCAACATCCTCCTTGTGAATCAAGTTTGGTTCCTGCCCTCCCAGTTTGAGCTCTCTCCTCGTTGATCCCAGATTACCTGTAAGGATCTAGCCCTACCCCCTGCCTCCATGGAGCGCGTACAGCACATGACCAAATCTGCTATCCGGCGGGCATCTCAGATCGAGGTAACTCCTCAGGCCAAAAGAAACCTGCAGGAGCTATTCGTCAACTTTACCCTGATCCTAATATGTCTGCTGCTGATCTACATCATCGTTCTGCTGAGCAGCTGAGGACCAAGCCAGACATGCAGACCTGGATTATCATCTAGACACACATCTGGATTACCATCTAGACAAACACCTGGATTATCATCAAACCACACACCAGATGAAAATCAATTGATACACCTGGATTATCATCTAAACACAATCTTGGATCCTCTAGACACACACACACACACACACACTAGATAATGATCCCTAAACACACTTGGATTACCATCTCAACATACACCTGAATTATCAACTAAACACACCTGGATTCTTATTTAAGCAAACACTTTGATTCTCCTGCAGCTGTAATCACACACGTCAGATTATAAATTAAACACATGATGTAGTTATAATGGGTTATAATGTAGGTGTGATCACAGGCACATGAATCACTCACACTTTCTGACTGTAGTGTGAACACAGATCACATATGAAGTCTATACCTCACCGACCTGTTTAGCCTACATTTCCCATGAGCCTTGCTGCTTCCTGTTCAAACACACCAACACTCTGAGGTATTAATAGTTTCTTTTTCTTACACTCTCAACAGGTGTCTGTGTTCCTCTACGGAGCACTGGAGCAATATGTCTGAAATAACAGGAGGATGTTTAGCTCATAGATCACACAGTAAAGTCTGTCGTCAGAAAAAATTTCTCTCTTTATATATAAAAAAACTATGAGCACTGAAAACACTCAGGTAAACAACATAACTACAACTCCCATGATTCTCTTGAGGTTTAAATTTTTGATATCATTGGTCTCTTTAAAAAATAAATTAAAGACAGAAAATATGAACATGAAAACTAGTCATAATAAAATAGTGTAAAGTCCTCTGGTTACTAGATCAGAATCAAAATGTGAGAATTAAGTGGTGAGACTGATGAGTCAGTTATTTAAAAAACCCTTAATTAAGTCAAATTTTGTATGCGCCTTATTCCTCATGTGTTAGCAGCTGTTATCCTCCTCTAAAAACAGCAGTTCCTAACATACAAACCAGTGTTTAACACCCTCACTGTCTCCTCATGATTCAGTTTTTCTCATAACATCACAACTCTGTTCTTAATACAAAGCAGCTTTATTCTCTGAATGACTATTTCAAAAAACAACCTCACTCTTACGGTACAAAATCTACTTTATACTTGTAATGATACAACTTTATTCTCGTAACAACTTTACGACCACATTCTCCTTCTCTGAGAGCATCACAACCTCCTGATAATTCTCTAGTCACTAGGACAAATTCTGTGCTGTTAAGACTTAATGATGATGATGAAGACTGTATTCTCATAATAAATATCATCCAAATTTTCACTTTTTTCTGCAAGTGGCTCAAATGCTCTACATCAGTGGTTCTCAAGTCCAGTCCTTGAGGCCCACTGTCCTGCATGTTTTGGATGTTTCCCTGCTCCAACACACCTGATTCAAATGATCAGCTCGTTATTGAGCCATTACAGAGCTTGATAACGAGCTGATCATTTGAATCAGGTGTGTTGGAGCAGGGAAACATCCAAAACATGCAGGACAGTGGGCCTCCAGGACTGGACTTGAGAACCACTGCCCTACATGAAATATCGTCATTTGTTCTTAAACTAAAAATGTTAAAAGTATAAACGAATTTGTTTTACATGTAAGGAACCTGAATGTAGTTTATTAAAATCTAAAAGCAATAAAACAAACACAGACTGTTCTATCTAAACTCGGGGTTAGACTGCAGAACATTAAAATCAGATTTCTGGATAGTTCTGCTTCCCATCAGTGATCATGAGAGAAATGACTGAAAGAAATCAATTCATAAATTTCTGACAAGCTTTGGAAAATCACCGAAGCTCTATCTGCATCAGCAGCAGGAGCTAAGGCTCATGGGTAATGCGGTTTGTACAGCACTCTGCGGAAACCATAGACTGTATATAGCGTGGACAGCGTCTGCCTCCCCGCTGGGTGAAGCCACTCCGAGAACAGCACCCTCTGGTGACAGGCTGCAGTATAGGTCATAAATCCCGCCTCCGCCAGTAATCCCTATGGAGCTGTGGACAAACTTTAAATGACTTTTTTAAATGAATTACACAGAATATACATTTTTCTCCCCCCTGCTTGTGATGTTGACATGTAGTTACAGTAAGACTGATTTGTGCGTCATCACAGCGACTCTCGGCGACTCTCCCGCTGAATGCGCACAACGCTTTTGCACAGCACTGGTTTCAGAAAATGAAGAAAAATCCTGGAAATACAGAGTTTTTTGGCTTCAGGCGGGAGGCGGAACCAAGTTGTCCGTAGTATATACAGTCTATGGCGGAAACTGAAAAATCACTGAAACATGAAAGTGAAGGGGGGAAAAAAAGAGTTTTTGCACCCCTAGTGGTCATACAGGGCATGACATAGAGTGGCCTAATGAAACAACAACCTGGTTTCTCAAATCTCTGCTGCAGGCCTGTGAAGATGAGAGGGCACGGACACACACACACACACACAGATTGCATGGTGTGATTTCACTTCGTTTGAATCCTGTCTGTCAGACTGTGATTGTTAGGTAGAATATAAATCTGTAAAATGCTGCAGGTTTCATGTTAATCTCATTTCTAATCTGAACTCTGCTGAGATTTTTCTGTTAATTTATGTTTAATAAACTTTCATCTGCACTGACTGTAAACACTGAATAGTTGGAATTAGAAGTTAAAGTGTGACGAGCAGTCAACCTGCATACTTTAACGGCAAAGAAACTGCAAGACAATAAAAGTTAATTTTCCCTCCTGAATCGCCTCATCACTCAGTCTCCTCCTTTGACTTATGCCAGTGGTTCTCAAGTCCAGTTCTCGAGGCCCACTGTCCTGCATGTTTTGGATGTTTCCCTGCTCCAACACACCTGATTCAAATGATCAGCTCGTTATCAAGCTCTGTGATGGCGGACTGGACTTGAGAACCACTGACTGATGCAAACCAGAGTTACTCCACAGTAAATGTGGAAAACATGACTTTCATTAGGTATTCTTTACAGCTGCAGAAATGACTGTTTGTGTGAATCACCTCTAAGGTCCGATATTTCAGGAACAACACACACAGACTCACAGAATGAATCAGGAGACATTTCTTTCACAATCAGTTTTACTGTTCCATAACATACAACAGAAATGATATAAATATAAATAAATATTGTTGTTATAAGTAATATTAGTATATATTTTACAGACAGACATCATTAGAATGAAAAATCACAAGGCCGACATCCAATCATCTCTGACTCTGAACAGAAAGCGTATCACCTGTCCAGATGACCTGTGAGTGTGCAGTTTATAAACCATGAGAAGAGCTGATCCCTGACCAGTTTACTGTCACAGAAACACAAACTAACAGACAGTAAAGTCTCTGGATCTCAGCCTTCATCTTCAGTTTGTTTTCACATATCAAACACTTTATTTTAACCCTTTAAAAGAAACCCATCCTGCAGTTCTGGTCCTGACCACAGGGGGCAGCATCAAACCAACTGATACAAACACCAGGAGTTAAAATAAATACTGTTACTGTGGCTTTTTTGGTCACATGACCCCTTCAAGCAGACGATGGCTGTGTCCGAAATGAATCACTCAATCCCTAACCCTTGACCCCCGTTTGGGGTTTTACTATATAGTTGACTATGTAGTGAACTCAATCACCAGAGATTTCGGACACTACATGGCATGACGCAATGCATGACGGGATGCCCACCGCTGGAGTGACCATTGGATGGTCACTACATTTTGCAATGCTCCATGGGAAATTTTGAGTCGCCTATATATGGCACTGGAATTGATCACTGAGGTTTCGGACAGCCCCTCAAAATGGCGCTAACCCCCATACAGTCGCCTATACAGGGGTTAGGGATCCATTTCGGACACAGCCCACGTGATATGAGGTCATGTGACCCAGAGCACCAGAGCAGATTAAATAAACGTGAGGATGAGATAATCTGATCTCTGAACAGGTTAAGGGGCAGAGAGTCCATTACTCCTGCTGAGCTGCATTTAAGTACATCAGAAGAAATCAGAAATATGAATTTGTGCTAAATTTATTCACCCAAACAGCCACAGAAACACTCAAAAAATTAGGAAATTTGCCAACTTCTTTCTTTGTCAGAAACAGGGAGAGGAAACTAAACGCTATCAGTGAGAAAAGATATTCTATTGATTTGTTATGTTCCACTTTGTGCAGCAGTAAGTCTTACGGTTTTTAAATCAAATATATACATTTGTTTGTTAGCCTGTACGGTGCCTTTAATCACAGTTCCATTTGAGCACAGCTTTTCCCCTCTGTAGGGCAAATGCTGTTTAACTGTCAAGCTGATAAAGAGACCTAAGTCAGAGCTTTAAGTGCTTGACCTTAATGCAGCACTGATATGACTACAACGGTTGAAATGTTGATGCGTTTTGAGCTCATTTGTTCACAGTCTGTTGGACAGAAACAGTCCTGCAGGGTGAGTTTCTGCTTCTCTGGTTCACAGCAGATTTTCAAATAAGGAAAACAAGATTTTATCAGAAAAAAAACCCTAATACATTAAATCCAATACATGTAATTGTACAAAATGAAAAAAGTAAAATAAAAATATTACAAATATTTAAAAAATAGATTCAAATGAATAGGATAAAAATGAATAAATCAAAATGTTTGAAATAAATCAAAAAAACAGAATAGAAACAAAATTAATGATGTAAAACGAATAATTAAAATGAAATTGAGAAAGCAAAAATAAAATAAATAAAATAAGATAAAAAATACAATGTAATAAAATTCACAAAAAGTGAATTAAACAAAAGAAATTAAATTAAATATATATAATTAATGATATACAAGTATATGATATATAATTATATGATTTATAATTAAAATTAAATAAATAAAATAATTCTAAATCAATAAAATAAATGAAAACAAGATAAGGACAAAATATTTTGTTAAATAAAATAAATTAAACAAAATATTATTAAAATAAGTATTAATAAATATTGATAAAATAAGTTTAAAACAAATCTGGGGGAAATTCAATGAAATCAATATCAATAAAAAATAAAAAAAGTAAACTTTGTAGTTGAAATAAAATAAAATAAAAATAAATAAATTAAAATAAAATAAATAAATTAAAATAAACAAAGTAAACTAAAGCCCAGAGAGATTAAAAGAGTTCATCTGCAGGTCAAAGTAAAAAACTGAATCTTTATAAAAAGAAATGAATAATATATCAAGCTTTAATGTTTATATTTAATGTTCACAGTGCCACGATGGTGAACCAGCTCAGTGTGCGTCTGTGTGTGTGTGTGTGTTAATGTTTGTTGGTCCACAGCTGAACAGTTATTTGTAAGGTGACCCTGAATGCATCACGTTGGGTTCACACACTCCAGCTGGTTCACTTCTGGAAGACGAGCGTCAGTGTGTAATTGTTGTTGTGTTGTGTTGTTGTTGTCGTGTTTTCTTTAACTCCTGTTTATGCACAGTTGAAACGCCACTCTCAGAGCTCTTCTTCTTCTACTGTTTCTATCAGCTGTGTGTGTTCAGAGTGCGCTCTGCTGTCCCCGTCTGACTGGAGCGACTACTGAGCCAACTCTGAACCTGCTGATAGAGACTCTTCGATAGTTTTATTTTTTTTTTCATTTAGGACAGTTGAAGGAAACACGAGGTGTGTGTGTGTGAGTCCTCTGAGGAGACAGTGCCCTCCTCAGGCAGAGTGTGACCATGCAGTCTGTAAACTGTACAGGTATGAAGAGACGCAGCACGATGTAAACTCTGAGATAGAAACACCAACGAAGAAGATTCAAGTGAGTAACAGCAGCTGCATGACTCTGAGAATGTTTGTGTGTGTTTAACATGCTCTGTGGTCTGATCTCACACACACATACACACAGTCAGAAACACACACTGATCCCCAGCTGGTGGGCGTAACACTCCTTGGCATTTAAGAGCAGCTGGAGGTGTGTGTGTGTGTGTCTGTGTGTCTGTGCATGTGAGCGCTCCTTCTCTATCAGACTGTAGAAAAACCGCCGATTTGAGGAACACCGGAGAAGAACAGTCTGGTCTCTCCAGGTGGTCCCTCCCTCCTCAGGTGTCCAGGTGGATGGATGAAGTGCCCCCATGCTCATTCACTTCCTGTCTGTACACGGTCAGCGGGACAGAGCTGAGGTCTAAAAGATGCTGGTGTGTTTTTCTCTGTGTGTGTTGCATCCTCATCATCTGCACATACTCTAAAAACAAACCTTTTAAGGATCATTCCATTTTTTTTTTTTTACAGCCCTAGAGTTTTTTATAGTTCAACTTTTGTTTAATCACAGATTTATTTTATTTTATTAAGTCTGAAGAGTGAATCTGCCTGAGATGGTCTTCAGTCTCTGAAAACAGCTGATCTAAAACTGGACTGTTGATGAGCTGTAGTTGAATAAAATTACCATTATGAGCCACTCTCATTATTCTGAGCTACAGCTACAGAGGCTCAGAGGGCGAATAAGAGAGAAAACATCAACACACTTAAACATAGAAAATAGAGTACCAGGTTCATATTAGAGGGTAAAAGCAGAGATTTTGAGATAAAGCAAAAAAATGGTCTTAAGGTCCTTACACAACAGGGCCGACACGAATATAGAACGCAAAATCTTTTTTCTGTTATCTCAAAGCTCGTTTTCTCATGATAACAGAAATGGCTTTGTAGCCGAAATCAACGGTACATTTTAAAAACGCCCTCCAGATAAGGATATTTCTAAAACGCCACAGCCACCGCCGTCAACAGTAATTCAGGGTTTTCAAATAAAACACTGACGGCACGCTCCATTTTGCGCATGTGCATTACACTTTCAACATGGAAACATCAAACTGCCATGCGTTAAATTCGTAATTCGTAACCTGTTTTCCAAAAATGTCAACTGTATTCTTTAAAACAGTGGTTCTCAAGTCTAGTCCTCGAGGCCCACTGTCCTGCATGTTTTGGATGTTTCCCTGCTCCAGCACACCTGATTCAAATGGTCAGCTCGTTAGTAAGCCTTTACAGAGCTTGATAACGAGCTGATCATTTGAATCAGGTGTGTTGGAGCAGGGAAACATCCAAACATGCAGGACAGTGGGGGGCTTGAGGAATGGACTTGAGAACCACTGCTTGAAAACAAAGACAGCAGTTGTCCTGTTACAGGGATTTTTTTTTTCTCCAAAAACGAGAGCTTGTTTTCCTCAGCTTTTTACATCATTGATTTCCTCTGAATTAATGACAACTTTATCCCCAAAATGCAGACTTTCTGCCCCCGAAATGCTACCTTATCCTCAATTTCTTCTGGGGGGGGTTCCTTTTATTTAAACATAGATTAAATACACAGTCATAAAAATGATATTTCTATTATAGACATGTGCTTATTAATGTAAAAAAGTCCTTTCTGCGTGTATTTTATGTATTCATATTTCGCAGTGGTCTCAGAGGTTCAATAAAAAGTGAAATAAAACTGTCAGAAGGTGAAAAATTACGTGTTTTTTTTCATGAATGCCTCTTCAGAATATATAAAATTATCCTGTCCATCAGTAAAAGTCAGCAAGTTCAAATTAAGTTGATAGAAAACTGAAACATAAAAGAACTTAAGCAGATTTCAGTCGTGTCTCACACAGGGCAGTGCTGCCTCTAGTGGTCAAAATGAGCATTACAACAACAACAATAGGTGACTTATGAAATCAGGATAGTGAGAGGTTTTTAAAAAGTTCATAAAAACAGATGAAATGTCTGTTTTTTGACTGAAACCGAAGTGTGAAGTTTGAGTTTTATGATTTAGATCAGGTGGTAGTTCAGGCAGTTAAACTGTAATAAATCATAATAATATTTCTCTCTGTTTCCTCCTGGTCAGACTTATAGTTCATAAATATGACTCAATAAAACTGAATAGATGCTCTGTCCTCATAATAAGAGGAATTAAAGGATATTTAGGCTGTTTTTTTCTGATCCCTCTGCAGTTCAACATGAGTTTAAATATATTTCTTTATTTCTCTGATAAAATCTCGTATTTTTTATCTCTTGTTTCTAAGTGTGTTTTTATCTTGGTTTGTGTTTTATCTCTGTGCAGCTCTTCTTATCCTCTCATGTGTATTTCTTTTGAGTTCACATGAACCCAGATCAGTGTGTACTAAAGTATGGAAGCCCAGTGGGGTCACTCCTTCTGTCCCACCTGAGCACACCTGTGTGAAGTGAAGCTGCAGAGTGTCTGACCTCAACTCTCTGCCCCGCTGATCCAGGTGGTTATTTTACAGAAACGTGGTGCATGATGGGATTTTTTGCAGTCAGAAGGTGAAGTACTGCGAGTACAGCTCCTCTTCCTCTTCATAAGGAAGGGGGTGTTTCAGTCCTCCCCCATCCTCCCCCCTCAGGGTGGGGATAGATGTGTTGTGGGCCTCAGGAAGGCTGTAAAACACACAGAAAGAAACACACACAGGTTAATACAGTAACAGTAAAAACTGATTTCATTCAGGGATGGGACTAAAATAGAGAAATACCTCCAGACCCCTCTTAAATTTACTCAATTAAATGATAATTTACAATAATGTGACAGGATTTTTCCCTAAAACCATATAAAACAACAAAAACAGGGTCTCAGAGATGCAGTCTCAGAAATTGGGTCCTGTAGCTGCAGCCTCAGGCTCTGCAGACACATAATATCGAATTATCTGAGCAAAGGTTTGGGTGTTTGGACTGAGATCAAAGATCAGCATGAAGGACGCGGCCTGTCTCTGATATCTGATGAAGATAAATGAAACATTAACATTTAAACTCTGATGTTTCTGTCTGTATTTCCTCAGTCTGCAGACCTCTGATCTCTGAGTCCTCTGAGCTGCAGAAACTGCAGAAAGGAACAAAAATTCTGATACAGCATTAACCAATCTGTTTAAAGCCGGAGCTGCAGTCTGACTGCTCTTTGCATCACTCAGAGTCCACAGAGACTCGATTACCCGGTTTCAAACAATTCCAAGACTCTCTGATGGATGCACGATGGGTAAAAAAACAGAGATGTTACACCATGAAGAATCAAAATCAAAAGTTAAAGTTTCTGCTATCAGTCTGAACAGATGCAGAACAACACTTTATATAAACCTCTCCAGACAGACACTAACTGATCTGGCTGTGATAAAATCTAAAGTGGTTTCATGTCACTTTAGAACTCTGACAATACTGATGTAGAAACAGACGTCCAGGAGGAGACATGGTCGTGTTTATTTTTTCAATCAAAACAGGAAACAAACAGGAACTAAACCAGTATGAAGTATTTATATCATATTTACAGTATCTTCTTGTGTTTGTTGAGAGTGTGGTGGTCTCTGGGTCAATTGTCCCACCCGTTGTAGCAGTTTCTCCTCGATGGCAGGTATAGTGGGGCTTCACAGGATGGTGGAGCTGTAAGTGGGAGGAGAAGTTTGGGGTTAGGGTCTGTTGTGGTTTCTGATCCATGACAAGGGTGTCCTTGAAAGCCTCCCAGGGTCAGGGCTTTGTTCCTCTTCACTTTGGTGAGTTTTCAGATCAGGAGGTAGGCGTTCACCACTGCCATGTCCACAAAGTGGTAAACGAAGCGGCTGTACCACTTCTGGGTCACTTTGGAGAGGCTGATTGGAAAGTCCACATCCGAGACATGCTGGTGAAAGACCTTCACAGCAACAGGGATGGGAACGTCCACCTGTGTTCAACGTATGCTGGAGCAGATGAACACATCCTGAATGTCTCTCCACTGGATGAACAGTAACTCCTTCACCCTGATCCAGTGCAGACTTTCTGTGCGGGGGTAGTGTTGTAGTCAAGACCGCACCAACCGAGACCAAGACATTTACGAGACCAGAGAGGACCAAGACTGAGTGAAAATGCCTTCGATTCTGAGACGACACCAAGACCCTCAAAAAACAGTCTCGAGACCAAGACCAATCTCGAGTACTACAACACTAGTGCGGGGCAAAGTTTGGCAGGGCGTTCAACTGTTGGCAATCGCTCTTCATCCATATTATGTTCCAAGGGAGTTCAGTCATAGCATAATACTTGTTTACATGTATTCTCAATGGTTCAGTTGTGACTCAACATCCTGAGGCACTTGTTATAATACCAGGAGACTTCAACCATGTCATCCTCTCCTCTCACTTGACTGGATTGTCCCTTTGGGGATAAATAAAGTTACTGTATTATCATCTGGTGATGCATACTTTTGTGCTCTGTCTTCTTTACACACACTCAATAGAGACTGTCCTCTGTCTTGATCAAAACATGCTGCACAAAATAAGAACCGCTTCCTGTTGGCTGAAAGAGCAGCTAGTCAAAGAAATGATCGTCTGCTATTGGCTCAGTCTGTTATTGGCTCAGTCTGTTATCAGAAAGAGTAAACAGTAGGGGCTGGTGAACTTCTGAGTCCTTAAGTAAGGGTACACTTTATTCAAAGCCCCTTGCAGACTCACTCTTGTCGCTGACACTTTTTCATAGACATGCAACACACCGAAAAGCACCAGAGTCTAAAAGTGAATCAAGCTGACTTTCCTGTTGGTTAAACTGCTACAGATTTCTTCCTGCCCCTGCAGCTTATCTGCCTGTAACATCTGCAGCATTTATCAGTGAGGCAGTAAAGGTTGTACTTTTTGTCCCTGACAGGCTTAGGTAGTTATTCTCAGAGTCTGACAGTATTTCAAGAAGGATCCCTGCAGAGAGAGAGTTTTATGTTCCAGGGGGTGAGTATTTTATTTATCCAGAAACAGCTGATCCACCGCTCTACAGACACAGACTACAATGAGGATAAAACAGGAGTTACTGATCTACCTCTGCTTTGAACTCTAAGCTTAATCCTCATATGGTGTGACCTTATGTCGTTCAAATAGTATAATTCATAGTTATTTAACAGAAATGACAAAAAAAACTGACTGTTTTAGACGGAGCAGACCAGCAACTCTTGTTTTAGAGAGAAAAATTCTTATTGTTGTCAGTAGTCATCCCAAAAGAGTTGATGCTCTTTCTCAACAAGACACAAACACAGCACCTTCTTTTAAGCCGCCAAACCTCATTAGAAAAAACAGGAATATACCCTCAAAGGACACAGGAGTTGTTGGTTTACCTCTGCCTCGGCATGTTAGTTTGATTGTATAACTGACATGTTTGAAACAGTCACTTAAACCCCAAAATGTTTTACATAAAAATGTGCACATTAAACTAACTGATGGAGGCAGAGGTAGGCCAGCAACTCCTTCTTTTAAAACCAGGGTTAGATTCCTGATGCTGTCAGTAAGTCTGATCTCTCCAAGGAGGAAAAAAGAAAGATTTTTCTGGTGTCAAAAAGACAAAAAGTTGGGTTACTTTTTTAACTCGACACAGACATCTGATCACTTACTTTAGACTGTGTTAAAAAAAAGCAGGATACAGGAGTTGGTGATCTAGCTCTGTCTTGGTCAGACAGTTGAGGTTAAATCCAACACAAATATGTGTCACAAAATAACCTGATTAGAGCAACCTTTCAATGCAGGAGTAAATCAAAAACTCCCATTATTTACAGGCTAAAATTCCAGTTTTTATGAATGGAGTCTGGCGTGTCTACAGAGTATCAGCTGTTTGAGTTGAACTCTAAGGCCCTGCAGGAATCCTCTCGCAGCCTTTCATCAGACTCAGGGGGAGGACAGGGGGGAGGTGGGTGATGACCGAGGGGAGTAAGGTGAGGGCTGCAGACAGGTGAGGATGCAGGCAGGTCACATGACTCTCTGTGAATCATGTGACCTGCAGGGGAACCGAGGTGAAAAAATCAGACAGGCTCACCTCCTGCAGCTGTACACCAGGACTCCCTGAGGAAGAGGAGGAGGAGGAAGAGCAGGGCTCTGCATGGGGGGAAGAGGAGGACGAAGAGGGGAGGAAGAGGGGGGAGGAGGAAGAGGAGGATGCTGAGGAAGAGGAGAGAAAGGGAGAGGATGCTAAACAGAGGCTCGGCTCTGAGGAGGATCGTGTGATTTATAGATCAGCTGATTTCCTTGAGTAAAGGAGTAAACCTGAGGATGATCTGTGAATGAGCCGTCTGCTCAGGCTGTTGAAATCTAAACCTTTAAAAAGTCCATTAAAAAGCAGAACAGTGGCTGGAGTGAGATTTTATTTTGAAGGACCAACAGGAACCAGATGACTTGACTTTTTGATTTTGTTCTGACTTCACTCACAGTTTGAGTTCTCAAAAAAAAGTTGTCTGACTCAGTGGGCTCTATTTTCGTGCCTGCCGGCAGTGCGGCAGAGGGTGCTGGACCCCGTGCAGGGGTATTTTCGTCTGGCGGAGCCCAGTGCACAGCCAGTTTGGTATTTTCATAGACTGATGCGCACCAAGGTCCGCCAAGCTGGGCGTGGTGGTGCGGCAGGGGGAGGTGTCGACAGAATCAGCTGGCGCAGTGACATTTTCATGCCCGCTGGCGGCGTAGAAAGAGTGCTGAATGAAATGAAATGAAATATCTAGTAAATAAACACACATGATGAAGTGAACAAGATATTTAATTCGTCTCCCCTGTATTTCTATCTTCCTTTTCCTCTTATTTCTCGCACAGCTTGACCTGGACATATGTCCGTGTCCTTTCCCTGTCCTGCTGCGGCGGCTGAACAGATTATTTATTTTAGTGATCAGATGAGTTATTTACTTTAAGCCTACATACGGATATTATAACATTCAGTTTTGTGAGCCAAATTTATTTTATATGCCAACATCAATGAGAGAAAGCTGAGTTAGGGAGGGGGGATACTTACGCCGGACCTGACTTATGCTGTGCCTATGCCACGCCGCCGGCGAGGCACGAAATAGAGCCCAGTGTGTTTGCTGTTCATGCAGCTGTTCAGTCTTTTTACAGCCTATTTTGAGTTGCAGCACATTTCCATTGTTGCACTGAGTTTCGCAATTATAACATGTCTAAATTTTGCTGTGTCTTTCTTCTTATGAAGTTCATTCATTCCTGCTGATAGTCTGCTCTTTATGTCTGTACTGAGACTTTGAGTCATGGTTAAAACACATTAAAAATATCACTGTCCTATAACTGCTATTGCAAATACATTAGGTCTATGTTACTGAGTCCTGAGCATCACACTTGTGATGTCCAAAAATATGACTGCTACATTACTGTACATGCGCTCTCACAGACAGATAAAGTCAGGATAACAGGCTGATATTTTACAGCATGGAGCTGATGTGAATAGAGTTTTCCTCTGCAGATCAGTTTTAATCCAATCTGAGCTCACAGAGAATCAAACTAAATTAAAGCTCAATTTATCACCTGAGGAATCAATAACCTGCTCTGAATGATTCAGACTATTTATTATCTGAGCCGAGGTTCAACTATCAGCTTTAATGACATAAAAACTAAATCGATAAAATCAACACATCTGAATCTGAGCTGCAGGGAGCGTCACAAAAACAGAGACGTAAAAAACATCCTGAACTAATCAGAGTTAAAAAACAAATACAGATCATTACTGCATAAATAAAGCAAATGGAAATGCACAAGAACCTCAGAAACTTCTGTCCAGCTTAACTTTGCAGAAACATGTCCTTCAACTTTTCATAAACACTGAAACAAAAACCATCCGTCACTGTTTGAATTCTTCCCATATTCTGATGTCGAGTCAAAAATGTACCCCCAAAAAACTCCATTCAAAAAACAGCATTTGATTCAAACTACATCAGAAAAGTCTCCTCACCAAACTGCACCCCTGGCATTCAGACCGTCATCCAAGATACAAGAAACACAGACTCTAATGTTGTGATATTGACTAATGTATAAAGACAACAGTACACCTCAACTGCGATGGTACTGACAAAAGGTCAAATTGATTCTAATTTACAAACAGCATTTTAACCACACATTTGAGAGCTTCTCCTGACCTCCGAGTTTAGCATCATAAATATTCAAACCAAACTGCAAAATTAAAAGGAGTTGTCTTGTTGCTCAGCAGGGAGACGTGATGAATCATCAATTCAATTTCCATGTAAACCTGAATCATGTTTTCAGTGATGAGTGATTAAAGATCTAAAGGTGATGTTGCTTTAATAAAAAATGCTGCTGATTGAGCATCAACATTAAAATTAATATTTCAGTGATGCTGTCGTTCTACATCATATCTCTACACCGGATTTGTCCAGTTGTAGTATTCTTATTTTCAATGACAGGGATCAAACAACCCATCAGTGTCCATCAGATATTATTATCTTTGCAGAGGTAAAACTCTGTATTAATATCTGTCATATTGATGCAAAGTGATGCATTGCAGGATTAACATCTGTGTTAACACCACTCACATGCGCTCCTACTGTTAGTTCAAGTGTAAATTAAGTGTATTGCACTGAAACTGTTGGAGGGAGGAGATGGACTAAACAGATAAATGAGCACACCAAACTGTGTCAGCGTAATCAGCATTGCATGACGGGACAGTCACCCGGCTCACCTGAAGCTCCGCCCCCTGCCTTAGAGACTCACCTTGATCAGAGGGTTGATGACACCCACATTGGCACTGGAGTTAAAGACCTTGCTGAAGCCGGTTTCTCTGTTTACCAGCTCAAGCTGGTAGAACTTTTTATCATCCTGAAGAGGAGACAAAACAAAGGTTATATTACATAATATTATATTATATTAAATTACATTATATTACATTAAATTATCTTATATTATACTACATTACATTATATTATATTAAACTACATTATATTACATGATATTATCCTATATTATACTACATTATATTATATTATATTATATTATACTACATTATATTATATTATCATACCTGACAGATGTAACAAATATTTATTTAGAACTATTTAAAAAGGTTTTGGTTAAATATAGACTCTTTAGTTAAAGTATCATCATTCAAACTAATTAAAACTGTTTAATTTTAGTGTTTTAAATGAGCTCAAGTGGGTAGAACTTTTCATCATCTCGAGGAGGAGACCAACAACAGGAAGTATCAGGCTAATGGAGCATCTGTAAATATGCTGTAAATAATAAATAAATAATAATAAATCTGTAAATAATAAAGTTATTCTTATTCTTACATTACAACTCTACAATCAAAGGTCACATTTACATCATGGCTGTTTTATTTCAGATTGATTTTAAGTGGATCATATAAAATGTTCAAAGAGCATATTGAAAAATCTTCAGCTCACTGTATGTGACTTTACTGCAGCCTGTGAGCTGATGGTCCACTTTTAATTATGAATCACAAAACTTAAAGATAAGATGAGAAGAACTTTATTTATTTAATCATATACAGGATCATATAAAGAAAAACTAAGAGGCTTTATTATCAACATGTTTAAATTTCAGACTGATTCTGGCTTTATTCCAGCTGGTCTTGAGATTAGTATTGTGCATAAACCCAACATTGTAACTCACCACCAGCTTCTTGACCAGAGCCTCTCTCTCTGTCACCATCTCTCTGAGCTCAGCGATCAGGTGAAGATCCTCAGGTCGGCTTTCTCTGTTCCTCAGTTTCTCCTCTGTTCCCTCCAGCCTAAACATTCGTAGAAACATCATTAAATCAGAGGACAGAGAGTGTAAGACAAGAAGATTCATCTGTCTAGCAGAGACATGATTCAGAACGTCTTACAGGATCTGCAGAGCTGAGATCTTGTCCTTCAGCACCTCCTGGGCTTTGTTAAAGTCTGCCAACATGATCTGAGTCTCTCTGTGGTGCAAGATGCTCATCTCCCCCAGGTCCCTCTCATGTCTCTTTGTCAGATCCTGCTCATGGGCCCTGCGGTCGAGACACATTCAGAGTTTAAAATCAAGTCTCTCAGATGTAAACAGGTGATCTGAGCCTGAGCAGGAGATCTGTGTGATAAGTGATGGTTCAGAGGGTGGGTGTAGAGTTCCCTGTCCTCCCCCATCCTCACCCCTCTCTTCAGATTCTCCTCACCCACCTGATCTGGTGGTTGGCCTCACTGCGGACCCTCAGCACCTCCTTCCCCTTCAGCTCCAGCTCTCTGGTCAGCGTGTCGATGGTCTCGTTCAGGGAGTGGATCTCGTGGTCCAGGTCCGTGATGCGGTTGCTACGGGAACAAACCTCTGTCTCCAGGTCTGAGATCCGGATCAGAAGATCCTGCTCCTGATGGAAGGAAATGAAGAAGTCAAATAAAAAGGAGATGCTAAGAGAGATGAAGTACCAATGATGATAGAGGAGGAGCGTACCTGCTGGTGGGTGTGCTCTATAGCTTTCTCCAGCTCCCGTTTAGCTGTCGTGTTCTCCTTCAGGTGGATCTGCTTCAGGTGTTCGATGGCAGTGGCATGGAGGTGATTTAGCTCTGCTCGTAGAGACGCTGCACAGATGTCAGAAACAGAGAGTCAAACAGAGTCAGGGAGTTTAAAATAGAAAATATCATCATATAAATAAAGATATGAATTAAATACAGTATATAAATGTTTTTGTAGTCTGTCATTGTTTCTCTGACCTAGTTTGGCCTTCCCCTCGTCCTCCAGCTCGAAGCGAAGTGTCTGCAGCTCCTGGTCTGACTGCTGTCTGAGGATGTCCAACGTCCTCCTGTGGGCCTCCTTCAGAGCATGGACCTCCTCCCTCTGTTCCTGCTTCAGACGCTCCTCCAGAGCCTGTTGACGAAAGAGAGAGAGAGAGAGGAGGGAAACAGCAGCTGCAGTCACTAACATTTCTTCAGTATTTATTTAAAACATGACTTAATTTAAATATTTATTTGATGTAAGTTAAGTTTGAGTGTGCTGTTCAGAGTGTAAACATGTTTAAAAGGAGTTATCAGAGTACAGACTCTTCAGCTTCTATGTGCACCATAGGCCTACCTCTGTTTAAATCAAGATCTGCAACTTTTACTTGAAGTAATTGCAACCAGTGTTGGGGGTAACACATTACAAAGTAATGGATTACAGTAACGATTTAACTTTTTTGGGGTAACAAAGTAAAGAAACCCACTACACTAAAAAAATGGGAAACTTCATGACTTTACTAAACAAGAGGAACGCACCTTTCTGCGTTACATCAAATGTGTTTCCCTGTGAGCAAAGTTCTGATCTGTTAAAGTGGTTCATATATGTGTGCTGCTTGTGTGTCTGTGACAATAGGCAATTGTTTGGTGCTCATAAGGATCAATTTCATCTTTTCTTTTCTTGATGTCAAGCCTTTGGACCAGTGGTTCTCAAGTCTAGTCCTGGAGACCCACTGCCCTGCATGTTTTGGATGTTTCCCTGCTCCAACACACCTGATTCAAATGATGAGCTCGTTATCAAGCTCTGGACTGGCTTAATAACGAGCTGATCATTTGAATCAGGTGTGTTGGAGCAGGGGCCTCAAGGAGTGCTCAGAGCGCAGCAGTGTGCCTCCTGCAGGCGGTGCTCCCTTCGCTGGTGCTCCCTCTGCATCTCTGCACACACACACACACACACACACACACACACACACACACACACACACACACACACACACACACAGTATAAATTTAGCTCTTTTCTTTCGCAGGATTCATTTTTTTTGGGTGTTTTTTTTCTCACTGTGTCTCGCAGCCTCTGTGTTGAAATGTAAATAAAAAGATGTGAAGATGCATAGCACAATCATGTGGCCTTTGAAAATCCTATGAAGCAGAGATGGGAATTGTGGAGTCACCAATCATCTCCTTGCCATGTATTTGTTCTGCTCTGTCACTGAACCAGCTGCTTCCAATGAGCAACCAGGAAGGTGAGCTCATTAGTGAAGGCACCTGGAAATATTATACCAGGTCCTGAAGGCCATAGCGGACACCATCTGCAGTGGGATTAGCTACAGCAAGAGCCTCCGTCCAGCAAGGAACACCATCACCGCATGAAATACCACCCCTAACCTGTTGGCAACAGCATGTGATTGGGAGCTGAGAGTTGACCTGGGTAGGCAGTTGAAGCTCCCAGAGGCGGTTGCTAAAACAACATCAAGCCCAGACATCGTCCTCACTTCAGCAGCATCCAGGCAGGTGATTCTCTCAGGGAGGACCGGATGGAGGAGGTCCATGAGAGGAAGAAGGATAAGTACTCTGGGCTAGTGGAGGAGTGCTGGAACAATGGATGGTGGGTAACATGCCAACCCATCGAGGTGGGATGCCAAAGTTTTGTGGGCCGATCCCTCTGCAGGGCCTACAAGATGCTGGGCATCACAGGGAGCCAGGCAGTGGAGGGCCATCAAGTGGGCCACGGATGCAGCAAAGGTGGCTGTGGATCAGGAGGGGAGAGGCGTGGCTTGTAGGGTAAAGCTACCTGGCCTGATCAACCCCAGCTGTGTCACCTTGAGGAGGGGGTGTGATTGTTGAAAGACCCGAAACCCCCCAGATCTCAGGTTACATCACTGATGATGTGTCCAGGTGCACCATAAGGGTGTATCTAAGAACTACCTGTAGATGAGTGACTTCATGAAACCATGGCCCTGTAAGGTTGTACAGCTCAAAAGAAAACGAGACTTGTTTTGTGTCATTCGCGAACGATTGCTTCAAAAGAACCAAATCTTTTAAGTGAACGTACTGAACCGGATCACTTCCTCAAGTGATTAGTTCATTTCTCACTTCAGTTGAGCTGTCAGCAGGGCAACTGCTACAGCACGCAGCATTGCCGGGCGAGCAGCCGGCGAACAAGGGATCACATGCACCGACACCTGAATCACTTGGTAAAGGAATCACGCATTGAATTCCACTCCCTGGAATCATTTTTGTATGACAAAACTAACTTTTTTCTTTCTTTACAGCTAAATTGCCACCACACCAACTTGCACACAATAGGACACAGTAACACATGTAACAAGTAGTGCATAAAACCCGCAGCATCTGATCATTGCAGCAGTTTGCGAGAGAACGAAGCATGTTCAGTGTGAATTCTTCTATGCGTTCAGTGAACGAATCACTCATTGAGTCTGATTTACCAAGCAGACCTGATAAATAGCAAACCATAGGACAGTAAACTTAAAACATTGTGATTTATAAACAAGTTCATTTTTACAAACCTGTTTGTCAAAGTAAAACAGCCAAACACTCTTGTCTCCTGGTCCCAGAAGCTGAATCCTGAACTGTTCAGCTGTGTATTAGTTCAGGAGGTCTGAGTCACAGGCTCCTCCCGCCAAGCGCTACATGATTTAATGATTCGATGAGCGAATCTTTTGAACGAATCTTTTCAGTGAACTGATTCTCGTGATTCAGTACATCTAAAAGAACTGCCGTGCCCATCACTAAATGAGACTCCGTTTCTACTTTATCCAAATCACACTCTGTGTCTGATTTCTTTGGCTTCCAGATAAACCATCTGTTACAGATATTTAGGGTCAGACCTCAATTCTGAATATTCAGAGTTTTACAGCTGAAGCCACAGAGCTTAACTTCAGAGGAAACAAAGACATGAGGCTAAAACATCAACTATCATCTACAGGAGAACACACACACTCCTGTCTGTGCATAGGCCTTTGTGTGTGCATGTGTATACCCTAATCTGGTGCTGTCGGGCCTCCTCCATGGTGCTCAGAGCGCAGCAGTGTGCCTCCTGCAGGCGGTGCTCCCTTCGCTGGTGCTCCCTCTGCATCTCTGCACACACACACACACACACACACACACACACACACACACAGTATAAATTTAGCTTCATTAAATGTAATCTTGAATATCTTGGTTTAAGTTTTTAAAAAGTAAAATTTAAGAATAAAACTTAGGTGCAGATTTTGTCTTTATCGTACAAAGCTGCAGAGATGTTCAGTCTGCTCAGAAGACAGCTGACGGACTGGTGTCATGTATCTCAGTGGTTCTCAAGTCCAGTCCTCGAGGCCCACTGTCCTGCATGTTTTGGATGTTTCCCTGCTCCAACACACCTGATTCAAATGATCAGCTCGTTAGTAAGCCATACAGAGCTTGATAACGAGCTGATCATTTGAATCAGGTGTGCTGGAGCAGGGAAACATCCAAACCATGAAGGACAGTGGGCCTCGAGGACTGGACTTGAGAACCACTTAAGTATCTCACCTTTGAGTTGTTGGCTCAGCAGCTCCCTCTCCTGGTTGAACTGAGACTGCAGCTGCTGCAGGGCTGACTGAGACTGAGAGAGCTGCAGCTCCAGAGACTGTTTCAGCAGAGAGATCTGTACAGAGGGAAAGAGACAAAGAGAGACAGAGAGAGAATAAATGTTTAAAGATGAGGAGGCAGGGACGGACAGAGTTTGGGGATATTTTTAAGGTTTCGTACAAAAATAAATCCAGGTGATGGATTTATCTGCTCCACTTTCACATCACATGCTTCCAGTCCTTTTTAACCTGAACAGAGAAGAGACTCTGATCTTTTAGACAATAAACACAAGTATCGGCTGATGGAATATAATTGTTTTCTGGCATTTTTGCAAAAGAAACAGGGAGCAGAGAGAGGGAAAGGATGTACGGAAAAGAGTCTGAGCTGGGACTCAAACTTAACATCTCCCCCTGGTGTTAAATAATTCAGTGCTTCATGTGATTGACACATTAATGCAGCAGCTCTTAACCTGCACAGGCTGAGCTGTGCACAAGTTTACTGTTCAGGACTTTAGACCGGTGTTTTTCTCTTAGAGCCCACCCTGTCTTGTATCCTGGAGAAGCAGAGGCTCTTCCCGACACAGAGAAAAAAACAGGTAAAAATTTCTGTTAAAAAAAACATGTACCTGCACATTTCTGCACCTTGTCGGACAGTCAGTTACAGTCCTGTATCAGGCCAGAACAGAAAATAACCAAACTGAACTTGAATGTCCTGATCATCAAATACTAAAATACAAATCAATCAATTTCTATTCTCATCTGATGAAGATCTGCAGTATCAAAATGATGTAAGTGAATCCATATTTTTACAAAGTGAGTGTGACGCAGTTTTTAATTTTTAGATCATCTCATTTCTCTCCTACAGACTTGTCAAATGTATTTGTTTTTTATTTTATTCCGAAGCGCTCAAACGAATCAGCGTCTCCCCTAAAATATCCAGCCTGTTTTATTTCTGAGCAGAAAAGTCAAAACTTATTTAGCATCTTCCTCCGAGAAAACAGGTATTTCATGTTTTAAAGCTGCTCTATTATCCGCGCTCTTCATCAGTTTAACAATAAAAACACCAACTCTCTCTTTTTTCCTTCTCCTTCTGCTGTTCACTCTTTCATCTTGACAGAAAAACTGTCTGCTCAGACTTGATCCTCTTTGCTGGAATCAAACAGAGAACCACTGAAGCTCAGGCTTTTATTTTGGAGGGGTCTTTGAACTCTCAGAGGTCTGAGTGAACTCTTGGGACCTCCTCCACCAGCTGCAGAGTCTTAAATCCTCTGCAGGATTTAGAGCTTTGGCAGGACTACATGACTGAGAGGAGGTAAGATGGATTTAAATAGAGAGGATGAGAAGGGTGGCCGATGAAGTCTGGATCTGAGTTTAAGAGGAAGGACCTCTCCCTTATAAATCCTCTGTGAGAATCTACCTGCTGAAACAGGAGGAGGAAACACCTGAAAAAAGATAAACCACAGACTCTGGTCCTAGCAGAGGTAATGAGACAAAGAGCCTGCAGCCCAGCCTCCTGATGAACGCCACCTGATGGAGAGAGAGTCAGTACAGGCAAAGGTTCACTGTCTTATAAACACAGGGGGCCCTATTTTCAATCCTCGCCTGCAACGTGGCGTAGGCGCAGCATAAGTCAGGTCCGCCGCGCCGACAAGGCGTGCCCAAGCACAATTTGGTATTTTGGTGAGCAGCGCAGCCCGGCGTAAGTGTCCCCCCTCCCTAACTCAGCTCCTCCCAGCGGCTAGGTAATAGTGAGAGGAGGAGAGAAGGCGTGGAGTGGGTTTATGGAGAGGCGTATTACTATTTTCGTGCAGTAGTCAAAGAGAAATGTATTTCCTGACTCAGATTATTAGTTATTATTGATTATTTATTGCACTGAACTGTGCCTGACACTGTGGAAACCTGCCGGTGAGGCTTCAGTGACATGTGGGCACCACGCCGCCGGTCTACCAAAATACCACTAGACCAGGTGCGCTGCGCCTTCATTGAAAGCTGACCAGGTTTGAATCTGCGAGCTTTCAGCACACTTTCTACGCTGCCGGCAAGCACTAAAATGTCACTGCACCAGCTGATTCTGTCAACACCTCCCCCTACCGCGCCATCACGCCCAGCTTGGCAGACCTCAGTGCGCCTCAGTCCATAAAAATACCAAACTGGCTGTGCACCAGGCTCCGCCAGACGAAAATACCACTGCACGGGGTCCGCCACCCTCTGCCATATCGCCGGCGGGCACGAAAATAGAGCCCAGAGTCAGTACAGATAAAGACTCACTCTTTTATAAAAAACTAAGCCAGTGCAGCTACAGAATTCTCTGATTTCTGCTTGTTTACCTTAAAACTCGGACTCATCTGGATGTAAAGAAGCTTTCTGACTCCAGGCTGACCTTTCCTAAAAATCAATAAGTGTCTCAGCAGAGAAGCAGTGAGGCTGTCAGGCAGAGAAACAGCCCATGAGGGGGAAGGTTTGCAGGATGTTTGGTGCATTTGCAGCCTAATCTGCAGTGCAATGCTAACTCTGCAGCAGAGTTAAAGAAAAAACTAGGTTTAATATGATGGAGTCTAACAGTGAGAGGATGCAGAGAAATGTATCTCTAAATTGAGCTGTGGACAGGAAACTAAAAATAATGGTGTCACTTTTCAAACGAAGGTCTGTTTCTCTATGTTTGAGCTTATTTTTCCTATCATTTCTCTGCCTCTGACAGCAGATCTGTTATATAAGACGGCGTGCTGTCACTTTGACAGTTGTTTGGATCCTCAGAGAACAGAGTGAGTCTTTCTGACAGCAGATATCTGAGCCTCATCGAGCTATTAAAGAGTTTCAGATACAGTGACCTGCTCAGAGAAAGATTCATCAGATGGAAGTAGGTCAGTGAAGCTCCCATCTCTGTGGTCCTACCTGAGAGCAGGCCCGGTCCCACACTCATCTATACTGTATGAGCCTCTCTATATTCAAACCTGGTGGCTATATTTACACACACTCACAAATACACACATTAATATTTATACATGCTGAACAAACATCCAGATCTGGACCAGCAGATATCCTCACAGAATAATCTACATTCTTTGAGAGCGATGGGCAACGGTTTGAGCTGTATGAGCTGAGTGAGTGAGGTGAAACTTCATTTCCATGTGCTGTAAAACGGCCTAATCAGAAACTTTTGAAGAAACATATGTTCAGATTTAAATAATGAAGAAATTGAACTCCACGGATAGGTCAGCAAAATAGCCTACAAGAGTGCCTGTTCATCTGTTTGGGGACAGTGTCAACTTCACTGGAAAGAAGAGGTGACAAAGAGGCTTCACTCTGGCTAATTTAGGTGGTATAAACCTGGTGGGTCTTAGTTTCACTGTAAAAAGTAATTCACACAGATGCTGATTGGTCACTATTTCTCAGATGACAAACAGAAAACATTAAAGTCTCCATAGTAAAATTAAATATCAAAGTAGGTTTCAGCGTCTCCTGAGTTAACTGTCCTGCTAGTTACTGTTTATTAGTGAACAGACGCTTTTGTTGGTTTTCTGTCTCCCATTCTAAACTGCTGTTATATTCTTGATCTGAGTTCTCTCTCCTCTTTTTATTGATAAAAATCTTCAATCTAAAACTATCTCCCTTTTCACTCTGATGTGTGGTAACTTACAGTCTGAAGAGTTTTCTATTTCTAGCTTGTCACAAACTGTTTCAGTCAGTCCTCTGGTATCTCAGGTCAAGTCTCTCTGAGCTTTCAGCTGAGACTCTGATGGGTTAAATTAGCCAAGGGCAGTCTGCTGAGCTCTGCAGGAGGCATCAGACCACCACAGAGTCCTGAGTGTTACTACAGAGAGGTAATCCTCAATCAGACCATCTCAACCCACAGGACCCAGGATAACTGACTATAGAGACAGATAACTACAGAGACTGTAAACATGCTGCAGATATACAGTGGATTTAAGTCTACACACCCCTGTTCAACTGCCAGGTTTTCGTGATGTAAGAAAATGACAACATAAATAAATATTTTCACATCTTTTTTCACCTTTAATGTGACCTATAACCTGTACAATGCAATTGAAAAACAAACTGAAACCTTTAAGGGGAAAAATATAAAATAGAAAAGTTAAAATAACCTGGCTGCATAAATATACACACCCTTAAACTAATACTTTGTTGCAGCACCTTTGGCTTTTATTACAGCACTCAGTCTTTTTGGGTAGGAGTCTATCAGTGTGGCACATCTTGATGTGGAAATATTTGCCCACTCTTCTTTGTAAAACCGCTCCAAATCTGACAGATTGCGAGGGCATCTCCTGTGCACAGCCCTCTTCAGATCACCCCACAAATGTTCGATGGGATTCAGGTCTGGACTCTGGCTGGGCCATTCCAAAGTCTCAATCTTATTCTGGTGAAGCCATTCTTTTGTTGATGTAGATGTGTGCTTTGGGTCATTGTCGTGATGACAGATGAAGTTCATCTTCATCTTCAGCTTTCTAGCAGAAGGCCGAAGGTTTTGTGTCAACACTGACTGGTATTTGGAACTGTTCATAATTCCCTCCACCCTGACTAAGGCACCAGTTCCAGCTGAAGAAAAACAGCCCCAAAGCATGATGCTGCCACCACCATGCTTCACTGTGGGTATGGTGTTCCTTTGGTCATGAGCAGTGTTGATTTTGCACCAAATATACCTTTTGCAATGATGCCCAAAAAGTTCAACTTTGGTTTCATCAGACCATAACACATTTTCCCACATTTTGGGGATTTCTGATGTCTTTTTGTAAAATGAAGCCGGGCTTTGATGTTTTTCTCTGTAAGATAAGGCTTCCGTCTTACCACCCTACCCCATAGGCCAGACATATGAAGACAGCGGGAGATTGTTGTCTCATGTACTACACAGCCAGTACTTGCCAGAAATTCCTGCAGCTCCTTCAGTGTTGCTGTCGGCCTCTTGGTAGCCGCCCTGACCAGTTTTCTTCTTGTCTTATCATCAATTTTGGACGGACGTCCTGTTCTTGGTAATGTCACCGTTGTTCCATATTTTCTCCTCTTGATGATGACGGTCTTTACTGTGTTCCATGGTATATTTAATTCCTTGGAAATTCTTTTGTAGCCCTCACCTGACTGATATCTTTGAATAATGAGATCCCTCTGATGCTTTGGAAGCTCTCTGTGGACCATGACTTGTGTTGGAAGATGTGGCTACAAAAATGTCAGGAAAAGCACCTAGAACAGCTGAACTTAATTTGGGGTTAATCAGAGGCACTTTAATTGGTGACAGGTGTGTGCTGACTCCAATTTAACCTGAGTTTGAATGTTATTGGTTAAATCTGAACACAGCCACATCCCCAGTTATTAAAGGGTGTGCACACTTATGCAACCACATGATCTCAGTTGTTAATTTTTACTTCACCTCCCTGAAAGATTTCTGTTTGTTTTTCAATTGTGTTGTACAGGTTATAGGTCACATTAAAGGTGGGAGACGTTGTGAAATTATTTATCTTGATTTAGTTTTTTTACATGACAAAAACCTGGCAGTTGAACAGGGGTGTGAAGACTTCTATCCACTGTACAGTCTGTATATTTGTAGCATATATACAGACTGTATACAGACTGCAGCAGAGCTCCTAACACACAGATTGAGTGCTGATATCAGTGTGAGGAGGTAAATCAACTCCTCTGTGTTTTCAGACTGACAGTCATGAGAATATTTCAGTGAATATTAGAGCAGGTGAAGAGTGTCTGTAGACTTAACATCACGTTCTCACACACATGCGGCAAGAAGAAGTGTTTGTGTGTCTGTGTGTGTAAACAGAAACACTCTGTTTACGCTGAAGGCTGACTCCAGGCCTCGACATGGAGCAGAGCTGTCAATCAAAGTCATCTCCAGAGAGCAGATGGTGGTCAAAGTTCACAATAAGTTCACTACAATAAACAAATATTTTTTTATACCACCTTTCATAAACTTAAACAAAAAAGTGTTTTCGAAGGCTTAAAATTCAATAATATAATTTTGTGGTGTTGGAGCTTTTTGGAGATTCTGAATGTATACATCAGACTGATAATCGCTAGTTTGTGCAATTGATTGGACTATCAGAATGATCCAGTTTTTACACTCTGTCACATTCAGAAATGATTCACTATTGTGTTAGCCCTACTAATGGGTTAATTAAGGCAGTGGTTCTCAAGTCCAGTCCTCGAGGCCCACTGTCCTGCATGTTTTGAATGTTTCCCTGCTCCAACACACCTGATTCAAATGATCAGCTCGTTATCAAGCTCTGTAATAACGAGCTGATCATTTGAATCAGGTGTGTTGGATCAGGAAAACATCCAAAACATGCAGGACAGTGGGCCTCGAGGACTGGACTTGAGAACTACTGAATTAAGGTCACATTAGCAGCAGGAAATCAACAGTTAAACCTGGATCTTCAGATAGACTGCAGTCTGTCAGCCAGGTGTGTGAGTCTCACCTGTTCCAGCAGGTCCTCCACCTTCCTCTGCCAGCTCTCTCTGGCCGCCATCATCTCCAACTCCTTTTGCTGAGAGAGCTGAGTCAGAGCCGCCTGTTTGTCAGCTTCGTATTCCTCTGTTAGCTCCTCCTTTAGCAGACGCACCTCCTCCCTGCAGATGGAGGAAGGTTTATCGTAGTTCATAACAGCTATTTATACATACAGGGTATAAATAAAATGCAGACAGAGTCAGTCTGACCTCAGCGCGTCTCTCCACTTCTGGTCTAGGTCATCAGCCATCTTGTCCATCTTCTGCTTCTCTTCGGTCCTGATGGACATCACTCTGGCATCATGCTGCTGTCTCTGAGTCTCAATCTCCTCCTACAGACACAAACACACAGCTTACCCATAAATCTCTGCTGCACTAAAGCAGTGGCACGTTTTAGTTTCTCTGTTGCCTGTATTTACCCAAACATGGTACAGTTGAGGCCAAAATTATTAGCCCCCTTAAGAATTAATGTTTTTATTGAGCCAAAACAAAAACCACTGTTGTGCGATCATGTGCTTTCACTTTCAGGTGCTCACAGCTTGTCATCAATCAATCAATTAAGTTAAAACAAAGGGTTGTCCTACACTTTACACAGAGTATAAAAACCTCTTATGCGTTTGAGCTGTCACTTGAGAAGGCATCATGGCAAAAACAAAAGAATTCAGTTTAGACTTGAGAAAAAGAGTTGTCGATGCTCACAAAGCAGGAGAAGGATATAAAAAGAAGTGGAGTGAGAAGAAATTCAAGGAGATCCACACAGTACAGAACAAGACTGGGAGAGGTAGGAAGCGAAAAATTTCAAAGAGACTGGAAAGAAAACTGGTAAGAATGTGTCTAAACAACCTAGAACAACTACAAAAACAGTAGTTACCAATTTAGCCAAGTCAGGAATTATGGTGTCAAACAAGACCGTCTCTAGAGACCTGAACAGAAATCGACTGTGAGGATGTAGGCCAAGAAAAACTTCAATTCTACAAAAGAGACACCTTCAAGCCAGACTATTGTCTGCTAAGGACAATCTGGAGAAAGATTGTTCAAACTGGAGACGTGTTCTTTGGTCAGATGAGACCAAACTAGAGCTCTTTGGTCACAGAGACATTGCTTATGTTTGGAGAAAGAAGGGAGAAGCTTATAACCCAAAGAACACTGTCCCTACAGTTAAACACGGTGGTGGGAGTATCACACTGTGGGGATGTTTCAGTGCATCTGGAACTTGGAATCTTGTCAAGGTTGAAGAAATAATGGAAAAAGAAGGATATGTGAAGATTTTAAAGAGAACCTCAAGCAGTCAGCAGCAAAACTGGGTCTGGGTCGTGACTTTGTCTTCCAACATGACCAGTGGTTCTCAAGTCCAGTCCTGGAGGCCCACTGTCCTGCATGTTTTGGATGTTTCCCTGCTCCAACACACCTGATTCAAATGATCAGCTCGTTATCAAGCTCTGTAATGGTTTAATAACGAGCTGATCATTTGAATCAGGTGAGGACTGGACTTGAGAACCACTGAACATTTCAATGACCCAAAACATACAGCTTTCCTGGTGAGGAGCTGCCTCCAGGAAACCAAAGTGAACGTTATTGACTGGTCTGCACAAAGCCCTGATTTAAATCCTACAAATCTGAAGCTGCACTGAAGACCAGGGTCCATGCTAGAAGACCATCAGATCTGGAGGAGCTTGAAAGATTTGCCAAAGAGGACTGGGCTGGGATTCCTCAGGAGATGTGCCAGAGCCTTGTTACAAACTACAGCAAACGACTGCATGCTGTTATCCAGAAAAAAGACAAACAACTGACTATCAGCCTCAGGGGGCTAATAATTTTGACCCTTGTAGTTTTTGGTTTTTGTGAAATAATTTTGTTTCTGTGCGCAAAGTAAAATAATGTAAGGATCCAAAATAAAACTGGGATGTTTGGAAAAGCTGTGTAAAAAAAATCTATAATCTGTTGAACAGCACTTTGAAAATTATGGGAAAAAAAACTAAAATTTCATATGGGGGCTAATAATTTTGGCCTCAACTGTAACTGATCAGTGTAGAGGTAGACCAACATCTCCTGTGTTCACTGAGATAAAGACCATTTAGTGCTGAATAATAAACGGATTGAAATTTCTGAATGAGTGCAATTAGAATAGTTTTACATATTAACATAACGCAAACTGCCACAAATCATCTGAGTTAATGTAGGTGATATTTGTAAATCTCAGCAGTCAGAGCTGGATATCAAACAGTCTTCAGAACAGAAAGAACAAGCTGTTATTTTTTAACACAATACCCCTAAAATGAACCAAACTGGAGCAGAACTAACAGGTTTATTGTTCCTGTCCTCCTCTGAACTTCATCCTCTATTTCAGGGTTAATCTGTTCGACAAAAGCTGCTCTACATTCACTTTAAACTAGTAATTATAAATACATGAGACAAAGTAGCCTGACTCAAATATTTTGAAGAGTACCTTAATACTACTTTGATTAATAGTAATATTTTTCTTAAACCATTTTAGTCACTCATGCGTCCAAAATGTAAACTGTGCAGTTTATTTGGGGAGCAAACAGTCATTGTGTTGTGAGCAAAAGTCATAGCATTAGTCTCTATGTTGATCAGTTATTGATTAAATGTGTTTTAATGTATATTGAAGGGTCAGGCAGAAAGAGAGGCAGAGGGAGGAAAAGACCAACAGGCAAGGTCAAGTCAGAGAGAGCAGGAGGATTCAGAGCAGGATCAGGTTAGAGAAGAAGAGCAGATAACTTCCTGTGTTTGTGAACTCGATTAGAAAACAGACTGAAATAACGCTTTGACTGAAATATAACTTTGAAACAGTTTTGTTTCTTTGTCAATCTGTCAAAACATTAAAAAAAGAAATTTCTCAGTCTTTGTTAGCTACATTCGTTTACATCCTGTGCATCTCCTGGGGCTGTGCCTCCACTGTCTATAAAACCTAATGACGCCCCTGCTTCAAACACTGACACAATCCTGTGTTCAGCTCCCATCATTCATAACTGTATAACCTGTTACAGTGGAAATAAAAGCTAATTTTTACAGTGTAGTTCTTCTGGTTTTATGATAATTCAGCTTTTTGAAAAGAGTCAGCCCTCGGGAAAAAGAGTTTATAGTGTAGCTGCCCTCTTTTTCTTCTTTTTTAGTGCAGATCTTCCTCTAATGATCCTCTTAATCTATTAATTTTCTCAAAGGTGTGATCACTCTTCAACTTTCTCTCTTTTTTTACAGATCACATCTTCTTCATCACCATTATCATCCTCCTCCTCCACCTCACAGCTGTACCCTTTTAGCTAAATGGTTTTCTTTCTTCCTGCTTTCACTCTATCATACTCTCTCCCTCCATTTTTTTCTTCCTTCCTTTTCCTCTTGGTCACTCCCTCTTTGTTTCACTCTTTACACTCTGACTTCCTGCCAAATTCTTGGAGTGCTCTGATTGGCTGAGTGGCTATCATCACATTCAATGGAGGCTATCATAGTGCTCCGTCTCTCTCTCTTCATCACTCACTCGCTCCATGCAGCTCCTGAACAGAGTTTCTCGGGTCATTCATCTTTCCTATTTTCACCTCTTTATAACTGGAGCTGCACCAGTTTCACACCAGCACCACCTGCCCCGCTCCTTCTCTCTTTACACAAACTCTTCCTCCAACCCTCCAAGTTTCAAAGTCAAATGTTGTCCCAGTTTCCTGAGTTCTTACCTGCAGATCAGTCAGCAGGTTGCTGGTCTCTCTGACTCTGGATCTGGTGGCGTCCAGCTCGGTCCTGAGTTTCTCCTGCGTCTCCTTCAGACAGGAGATCTGGGTTTGGGCTGAGCTCAGGTTCTGCTCTCCCTCCCTCACCAGCTCCTGGAGGTGAGACACCTGTGGAGAGCAGTGAGGGTCAACATGTGTTTGTTTTTTTTGCGTATGGACTCTACAGGAGGTTTCTGGGGGTCCTACCTCTTGATTTGCCATGTTGAGTTTGGCAGAGAGCTCCTCCTTCAGGTTATCAAGCTGCTGCTGCAGACGGTCTCTCTGCTCCTCCAACGACAGGCGCTTGATCTCAAACTCTTGAGACAGTTTCTGCAAAGACAGGGTGAGGAGAGGAGAGGAGTTATCAAACTTTCTCTCAGAAAACAGTCAGAGTATTTAAAGAACCATCTGAGCTGCTCACTGACTGCAGCATTAATTAGGTCAACATCAAGACAGAGACAAACAGCGTGTCTTTGCCCTTTCTGTCAGCTCTTTGTTTCTCTGCAGCTCATTCCTCTGCAGCGTTAGCCCATTTACTCTCCTCTGTCTGAGGCTGATATCCGTATCCATGGAGTTCAGCTTGGTCTATTTTAGACTAATCTATCCCTGTGGTCAGATCACAGCTTCACCCGTCTCTGTTTTCTTACACCTTCTCTCAAAGCTTCACTTTAAGCTCACCTCCAACACATCTCATCCTCTCCCAAATGATTACAGTACAAATCTCTCCCATCAGTCCACCCTGTTGCTCTTTACCGATCTTTGTTAGAGAGCAGGAGAAAGAGAGTGAGCTGAAAAAGAGTCATGGCTCAAAGGGTTTGGAGCTGATATTTACAGTCCAGTGGAAAAAGTTCCTCTTGAAAAATTGAGAGATGAATTCTGTTTAAGATGTTATTTAGGAGCTGACATCACTCCTGGTCCTCACGTTTGGTCATGTGTTGCTCTGATTTGTGGGTGTAGTAAGCTCTGATTCGTGGGTGTCGGATGCTGTTGTTTTTATACGCTGATGATTCAGCTGTGTGTGTCACAGTCATGAGTGGAGGAAATCGTCATGTTGAGTTACATAAGGCTGTTAAAGATGAATTTAAATGAGTCCGTATGAATGTCCTGCTCACTCGGTCCTGTTTGTGTAACATCACTACAGCTGGACAGTTTGTACCAGAATTATTATCAGACTATATTCTCTCCAAACAGACAGATGTAACTGACTCTGTGATAATGAAGGGCATTTATTATCTGAGGAAACGTTCTGCTCTTGTTTTTATGCTTTATTCTAAGTGTGTTTCATGAGGATTGTCTTGTTGAACAGATAAGCATGTTAAAGAATCATTAACAAGAGGACCTCTACCCGTTATAGAGAGGATGAACCAAGTCCAGGCCAGAGATATCACCACAGGGAAAACAGCTATCAGTAAGTTGTCAAACCTTTGTGGTTCTCAAGTCCAGTCCTCGAGGCCAGCTGTCCTGCATGTTTTGGATGTTTTCCTGCTCCAACACACCTGATTCAAATTATCAGTTCGTTATTTAGCCATTACAGAGCTTGATAACGAGCTGATCATTTGAATCAGGTGTGTTGGAGCAGGGAAATATTCAACACATGCAGGACAGTGGGCCTCGAGGACTGCACTTGAGAACCACTGTATTAAAACAATATAATCTCTGTTATTTCTTTATCACATAGTATCAAAAAGCAACAATGTGCTGGTAAAATAAAAAAAAAGGCATGCATGATTTAATTAAAAGTCCTGCATGGGATAAAAGTCAGAGAGTGAGCAGCTGCATACAAAACAGATCTTTGTCATTTAATACCCAGATCAGGTCTCTGAGGTCCTTGAATGCTTCACTTTGAAATTTTTCTCTTGAGTCTCAAACAAGCGCCAGCCAGAGAGATCTCTGTTGTTATGCTCCTAAAATCTGGAACTCTCTTTACTTTATTTGCTTTTAATTTAATTTAATGTAATTTGATTTAATTTAATTTTAACTTTCATTCATTTCCTGTCTGTCTGTTCTTTTGTGTAGCACTACAGACTAGGGCCTGACCAATTTATCGGCGAGCCGATTAAATTGACCAATTTTAGCCCTTTTGAGACTAATCGGTAATTGGCCAAAACTCGCCGATTTTTCAGAAATAAAATGCAGAGAATAAGATTCGGTTTCACTTTGAAAATGTTCCGCCATTTGAAAAGTTCCCCGACTTATCCTGTAGATGGCGCAGCGACCTCATGACAATCTTCATCCACTAACACCTCACAGCACAGCAGAGTGACGGATCTGAAGCAGGCAGCTCAGGGGCGCACAGAGGAGAGTGGTCCGCCTGAACGGTAAATAAACCAGTTTGTGAAATACAAGTTTCAGTTCAACCCACTTCATGACGTTCCCCGCTGTGCTGGTCTCGGTCACGCCGAGTTAACAGTATCAACAGTTAGAGTTAGCCATCTGCTATTAGCCTTGTTACACTGTTAGCCATACCAGTAGCGGTAGAATACACAACAGTACACATTACGTGATCAAGCTTCTTCTCTTACTGAGGCAGCTGCATGTCTCCAGATGAGACCGGACCGGAAAAGAGTAACGCGAGTTAAGAGGAGGAGACACCGATCGGCGGCGGGTTGTTGAAAACGCTTTTTTGGTCAGTCGGTCCTCCTGTCAGCGTGAAGAGCAGTAGCCTAAAGTATATCTAAAAAATCGTAAAGCATACAGTATAAAGTATACTGTAGATATCTACAGTATATATATTTTTATCGGCCCCAAAAATCCATATGGTCGGGCCCTACATATAATGTAACAAAGTTTGTTTGTAATATGTTTATGTTTATTTTATTCTGTACATTTTCTGTTCTGTTTATGTCTTTTCTATGTATTTAATATCATTAAGCTTCTATATTTATGTCGATGGAAAAAATAATCCCTTTTTGTTTCATCTTTTTCAGGCGATGGCCCTCAAACAAGTTTTTTGGGATTTCATTCCTCTCCCATACATTTTTAAACATTATTGACCATTGCTGTTATTTTTGTTTGGTTATAATATCCAGATTGTGTGCAAATCAAAATCAAAGCATATCTTGTATTACATCTCTACTAAAAGTCAGTCAAGTGTAGCTCTAAGCTCAGTGTCTGTTTGTACGCCAGCGCTGTCTGCAGTTTGTGTGCAGGGCCTCATTTCTATAGGTATTTAACATTTTTTCCTGTTATCATACTAACAGGAATAATACATGAATAATAAATTAGACTCACAGCCAACAGGAGCTGCTTCTCCTCCTCCTTCTCCTGCTGCGCCTCCTCCTTCATGGCCTGGTGTTTCTCCTCCAGCTCTCGCAGCGCTCTGACCTGCGTCTCCTTGAAGCGATGCGTCTCCTCCTCGTAGTGAGCTCGCAGTCTGATCAGCTCCTTCTCATAGCCCTGGTGTTCCTCCCGCAGAGACTGAGGAAGAAAACGAACTGCATCAAACCTGGGGTCTATTTCACTCTTATCTCTTTCACTGAGCATCTGCAGCAGGTTTGTTCCTCCTGCAGCAGGTGAACAGGCTGAGATATCTAGTCTGTGAGCTGCTCTTTGTGGTTAGTTAAGGGTTACGCTTACCTGTTCCAGTTTGAGTACAGTCTGTTTGTGCTGCTCACTGGCCGTCTGGCTCTGGTTAAGCACCGCCTCCCTTTCCTCTTCAAGCTGGCCGATCTTCTCCTTCAGGCGGTTCTGCTCCTGGTCTAGGTTCCTAATGGTCGCCTCATGGGACATCTGGGTGGCCTGCAGGGAGCCGATCTGACCTGGAAACAGTCAAACAAAACCACACCTGTTCTTAGACTTAAGGGCCGTCACAGGAATGATCTACAGGTTCACAGCAGGTTCAGCCTCTTAAACTTAGTGAACAGGAGGAAGTTTCTCCATATTCTTCTAAATTAAAAGTGTCAGAGCTTCATTTGTTCCAAAGTTCTCCTGAATAAAGCTTGTAGATACCGTAACTCTTAACCAAAGTTTGCCGTATTATTGGGTGAGCTCTATAACATCTTCTTTCGAACCCTGTGCCCACAGAAATGTACTTTATGGATATTTAACATGAGGTTTCCACAAAGACACCAATAATTCCAGAGGGTTTAACGAAAATCAAACTCTGTCCTGGGATTTTGACGTTTTAATAAAAACAGCAAACTAGCCCTCTCTATCCTCATTATCTCAAGGCAGCAACAGTAGCCTTCAGATAATGATGATAGAGAGGGCTCGATTTACCAGTCGATCTACGTGCCGATCCTCACCTATGACCATGAACTTTGGGTAATGACCGAAAGAATAAGATCGCGGTTACAAGCAGCCGAAATGGGTTTCCTTCGCAGGGTGGCCGGGCTCAGCCTTTGAGACACAGACCCGGATAAAGCCGAAGAAAATATGTTGATGAAAATATTTCGTCAACGTCATAGTCAACGAAAACAACATGTGCAACATGAGAATAAAATACTGTGTAAATAAGACAAACATAAAGGAAAGACAAAAGTTAAATTAGCTAAACAGTTGAAAAAATTGTATAGATCGCGATACATTGTATCACAATACTCACTGTATTGCAAAATGTTAAATATCACAATAATGTTGTATCGTGGCCCAAGTATCGTGATAATATCGTATCATGAAGCCACTAGTAATTTCCACCCCTAATAGACATGTTAAGCCAAGGTGGGGAGAGCAACAGCAAAGACCAGAAGAAGCAGAAAGGTTAGGCACACGTCAACAGTTCAACTGGAATGACCTTTAAACATTTGACTACTGGATAAACTGATGTCATGTGGGTGGAGCTTGACTTTGAGGCCTGCCCCAACTAGCACTTTACTCCATATTCAATGGATAATCAATAATCATATTTTAACCCCAACTGGGATTTTTTGCATCATATCCCAGTGCAGATGTTGAGTCATGTTTCGTAAGGATCTTTCACTGTGACTCCGTACTTGATTCATAAAAACTGGCTGAGACAAAACAGAGTCAAAGCTGGCTGAGGTCTGAGAGGTCATCAAGGGTTCGTTGGTCTGGTTTAGGATCAGCTCTGTTTTTGTGTCTCTTTCTCAGAGACATGCAGTCAGGAAACAAAAAGTCAGATACCGTATTTTTTTGCACTATAAGGCGCACTTAAAATCCTTTTGGCTTGTCGGAGCACTGCAGCTACCGTATCCTCTTGGAGTTATTGAATGAGTTAAATAAAGTTGGACTTATCTGACTGTTTTGCTTGGCCTAATGCGCTTTATAATCTGGTGTGCCTTGTGTATGAAAATAGACGCGAATGGATGCGTTCATTGATAGTGTGCCTTATAATCAGGTGCGCCTTATAGTGCAAAAGTGCGGTAGTTTTATCCCTAAAACATCACAGGTCCAGTCAAGTCCATCTGGATCTTGGCTCCTCTAAAAGCCAATCAGCTTTAGTCCCCTGGTCCTGGTCCTGGTTCTGTCAGTGTATCAGGTCTCCTGTTGAATCAGTCAGTTAAGTCCTCAGAACTCAGTGTTTTCTCTCTTGGATGTTTCTGGGGGAGCTTGTATTTTTAGATCCACCAGAGAGAGAGAGAGAGAAAGAGAGAGAGAGAGGGAGAGCTGGAGAGGGAGAGGGGGAGAGAGAGAGAGAGAGAGAGAGAGAAAGAGAGAGAGAGAGCGAAAGTGTGCAGATTTCTCTCCTTCTCCTCTGTATCCAGACAGACCGAGCTGAAAGTCAGAGGGTTTCTAACAGACCATCTGTTCGACCATCTCCTTTGAGGGTCCTAAACCAGAGCAGGTGCAGGTTTTGAGAGTCTGTGGTGATTCCTCTCTCTCCCTCTCCCTCTCTCTATCTCTCTCACACACACACACACACACAAACACCTCTGACCCTCTCTCTGATTGGAGTTAGCCACATCCAAACTAAAGCACACACTGATGTCTGAAAAAGAGCCAGGTGAGTGACAGCACACCTGACCTTACTGACACTCTGATGGAGACTGGATTGAGGTATGAATGAAGAGCTTTTAAATAACCCAGAGTCCTTCAGACTTTCTCTCTCTTATTGACATACAAACATTTCATGACTAAAAGATCATTTTTATTACCATCATCATAAAACAAATCTTGACAAAGTCTGCTGTTATGAATGCTTTTGATCACTCAAAAGGATTGTCATAAAGCCTCCAAAATGCATTTATAACGAATTATGCATGTGCTAATCATGCATTAAAAGAGGAGGGTTCATTAAGAAGTGTTTCCAATCATTTCAGTAAATATACTTTTGTAAGAAAACATAAAATAAGTTGCAGAAGCAGAGCGTCTCACTGGCTTTGTGAAGGATCTCTGTGGCCTGCTGCTGGACTCTCTCTCTGCTGCTCTCCAGCTCATACTCTGTGTCCTTCAGCTGCATCACCCAGATCTCCCCGTCCTGGATCGCCTCCTCCAGCTGCTTGTGCAGGTTCTACACACACACACACACACACACACACACACACACACACACACACACACACACACACACACACACACACACACACACACACACACACACACACACACACATATAAATACACACAAAAAACTCACACTGCACCAGACTGTGAAAAATGTGCATCTTATTTATAGTAATTCACACGCACGAACACACACACGCATACAGTCACACACACACGCGCGCACACATCCCTGGCTCAGACCTTCATGGTGCCTTCGGCATTGGCGAGCGATGTCTGCAGCCTGTTGGTCTTGTCTCTGTTCTCCCTCGCCTCCTCCTGAGCTTTCTGCAGCTCACTCCTCAGTTTAGACAGCGAGCGCTGCAGAGCCGCTTCCTGAGCCTGGAACTCCTTACGCAGCTCCACCTGCACAGGTATGACAGTACGACATCATCACTGTGAGCCACAGCACAGTCCCGAACATAAAACAAACTGAAACCTTTAAGGGGAAAAATATAAAATTAAAAAAAACTAAAATAACCTGGTTGTATAAATATGCACACCCTTAAACAATTACTTTGTTGCAGCACCTTTGGCTTTTATTACAGCACTCAGTCTTTTTGGGTAGGAGTCTATCAGCGTGGCACATCTTGATGTGGAAATATTTGCCCACTATTCCGGTGAAGCCGTTCTTTTGTTGATTTAGATGTGTGCTTTGGGTCATTGTTGTGCTGAAAGATGAAGTTCCTCTTCATCTTCAGCTTTCTAGCAGAAGGCCCAAGGTTTTGTGTCAACACTGACTGGTATTTGGAACTGTTCATAATTCCCTCCACCCTGACTAAGGCACCAGTTCCAGCTGAAGAAAAACAGCCCCAAAGCATGATGCTGCCACCACCATGCTTCACTGTGGGTATGGTGTTCCTTTGTTGATGAGCAGTGTTGATTTTGCACCAAATATACCTTTTGCAATGATGCCCAAAAAGTTCAACTTTGGTTTCATCAGACCATAACACATTTTCCCACATGCGTTTGGGAGATTTCTGATGTCTTTTTGCAAAATTAAGCCGGGCTTTGATGTTTTTCTTTGTAAGATAAGGTTTCCATCTTGCCACCCTACCCCATAGCCCAGACATATGAAGACAGCAGGAGATTGTTGTCTCATGTTCTACACAGCCAGTACTTGCCAGAAATTCCTGCAGCTCCTTCAGTGTTGCTGTCGGCCTCTTGGTAGCCTCCCTGACAAGTTTTCTTCCTGTCTTATCATCAATTTTGGACGGACGTCCTGTTCTTGGTAATGTCACCGTTGTGCCATATATTCTCCACTTGATGATGACGGTCTTTACTGTGTTCCATGATATATTTAATTCCTTGGAAATTCTTTTGTAGCCTCACCTGACTGGTATCTTTGAATAATGAGATCCCTCTGATGCTTTGGAAGCTCTCTGTGGACTATGGCTTGTTCTGGAAGATGTGTCTACAAAAATGTCAGGAAAAGCAACTAGAACAGCTGAACTTAATTTGGGGTTAATTAGAGGCACTTTAATTGGTGACAGGTGTGTGCTGACTCCAATTTAACCTGAGTTTGAATGTTATTGGTTAAATCTGAACACAGCCACATCCCCAGTTATTAAAGGGTGTTCACACTTGTGCAACCACATGATCTCAGTTGTTTATTTTTACTTCACCTCCCTGAAAGATTTCTGTTTGTTTTCTAATTGTGTTGTACAGGTTATAGGTCACATTAAAAGTGGAAGAAGTTGTTAATTTATTTATCTTAATTTAATTTTTTTACATGACAAAAACCTGAACAGGGGTGTGTAGACTTTTTATATCCACTGCAGCATGCTTAATCCTGCTCTGTGATTTGTTTCTGACATCCCATTTAGATCAATAAAGTATGCAGTATATATCTGTTCATTTGCATTTTTCAATACACAGATTCATAGTTTACCAGACGACATGAAGACCAAAAACTTATCAGACTGCAGAAAATAAAAGCAACCATGTGAAAATATGAAGAGAAAGATAAAGCAGAGATTCTCCTTCTCTCACACACAGTATAAGCCTCAGTCATCCTCAGCCCACTAGCTTTCAGTGTGTGGAAGTAAAGCAGCCTCAGTATTCATCTTCAGCCCACCTGCTGGAAAACAGTGTTTTTGCTTCGATACATAACAGGAGTGATCTGCAGAGGCATGCATGCAGTACTACTCCCACTCGGAGTGGTTTTACCTCCTCCTTGTGTGTTTCTCCAGTGCTGCAGAGTGAGGAGGTCAGAGGTCAGCACAGACGCACTGACTGTTCTTTTATTTGGTGCAGAAAGCAACATGATCTGTAGTCAGTGCCAGAACTAAAAAAAAATAGAGGCTGCTTTTGATTTGTAACAGTGAGGACAAGAAACCTCAGCTACAGATGGTGCCAATTATTTATTTGTTTGTTTGTTTGTGTCAGGAATATCGCTCCTATTATAATGTGGCCCCCAGTCACAAGAAATAATCATAAATGTTCTTCCTTGAGCTGTGAAACTCCGCTGCACTCGGTGATCGACTCATCAGGGCTCGATGGCTAGTACTATGGCTGGGACCCTATATGTACTTTTGATGAAATTAGGTGCTGTTCTGAGCTTTATTTGTGGCTATAGAGTAGCTTTTTGGTTGAGGTTTGCATGTGGAGACGTAAACCACTGTGTATTGCTATCATGCGGATGTTACTATAGTTGGTGTAACTAGATAAGCAAGCAGTTGGCAACATTCATCTCTCGAGGGGGTGTCTAACTCTGTTACGGTAACTGTTATCCCTTTAATTTCTGCGGCATATATAATGGTTTGGATTAAATACTTCAGCTGCAGCCCTGATGATATCAGGCTGAGCTGCAATAATGAATCTAAATATATGATTCACACACTTATCTACTTCAGTGGTTCTCAAGTCCAGTCCTCAAGGCCCACTGTCCTGCATGTTTTGGATGTTTCCCTGCTCCTACACACCTGATTCAAATGATCAGCTCGTTATCAAGATCTGTAATGGCTTACTAACGAGCTGATCATTTGAATCAGGTGTGTTGGAGCAGGGAAACATCCAAAACATGCAGGACAGTGGACCTCAAGGACTGGACTTGAGAACCACTGCTCTACTTATTTTAAATCAAACAGACTTTTAAAGTTGCTGTTGGTCTTTTTTAGTCTCAGCTACAGTTAAATTTAAGGAAAGAACAGCTAATAACTTTAATGAATATTTCTAATATTAAAAACAAAAAGTCTGTAAAGGTTCCTGGAACGTTTCTCCGTTCTGCCTCTTGACTCATCTGCAAGTTCAAACTACTCTCAGGAATCAGAGCAGCACTGAAGCCCCGCTCACTTAGATCACCACATGGGTGATAAGCTTACAAACTATGAGGCTGCAAATCCTCCACACAGACTGAATGAATTTTCTTTTTTTTCTACAAATGAATCCAAAAGCTGGATCAAAAGGACAATTTGTAAACAAATATAAAAAATTCATCATGTCGGTGTTTGAAGTTTATGACATTTGCAGCTAAACTGGAGATGGATCTGATTCTGATGAAATGCAGACTCTCCTCCATGAAACAGATCTACGTTTGTTTAAAAGCTGAAAGACAAGCTTTATAGGCTGATGCTTCATAGATATATAAAATAGGATTTAAGAAAAGTACTGATAGAGACGATTTCATAAAGACGAAGAGAAATCTGCAGTTTGAAGGCAACTGAATAAAGAGTTTTTGGCAAACATCAGACTCTCAGGTTAGAATAAGAGTTATGGTGAGTTAGCGCTCACCTCGGTCCTCTTCCAGGCCAGCAGGTTCTCAGTGGTGAGCTGGTGAGTCCTCCTCATGGCTTCCAGCTCCCTCTCGTAGTACTCCTGAGCCTTCGCCAGCTTGGCCTCGTACTCCTCCACCAGACGGACCTTATCCTTGGTCAGCTCCTCCACCCGCTCCATCAGGGCCTCCACCTGCTCCGGGAGGGAGGAGAGGATGTGAGAAACAAGACGCCCTCAACTCAAACTGAGCTAAATCTTATTAATGAGATTTATTCGAACTTTTTATAGGAAAAAAAAAGTTCAACATCCACCAGACCCAGACTGAACTTAAAAATCTTTAAACAAACTGAAAATTAGCAGATACCCTGCAGGAGAAAACTTCTCACTCCAACATCTCTCTCTCTCTCTGCTCACCTCCTGACGGTGCAGCTCGGCCAGTCTCTCCTGGTCCTCTGTGGAGGAGGCACTCTGGTTCTGCTGGTTATGGAGGAGCTCCTCCACCTCCTGGCGGTGCGTCGTCCTCAGATCCTCCAGCGCTCGCCGTTTCTCCGCCTCAAACTGAGCCTGAGCCACGCTGAAGGAGCGGAGCTTCTCCTCAAAGTCCCGACGCATCTCCTCCACCTGTAAACACCGCCATATAAACTCCACCTGGTAGGATTTGGTCTATGTTTCAAACGTCGCTCTGCTGCTGCAAATGAAGACTTGATAAACTTCAATACCAATACAGATTCTGTATTTTCCTAATTTTATGTTACGTGTGCACACGTGTGCGTGTCTTACCTCTCTGCTCATAGACACCACCCTCTGTGTGTGCTGAGCTTCTGTGCAGAGCTGAGAGTCCTCCATCCTCTGACGGTACATCTCGAACTCTGCAAGCGCCTAAACACAACACAACATCATATTAACACAGATGTTACAAAGACAATATCAAATGTTGAAACTCAAAATTTGCTCATTTTCAATCTGAGTCCAGCAACATTTTTCTACAAAGTTGTTAGAGGGGTGAAACAAACAGGTCAAAAGTTGTGTTATGTTAAAATAAAAAACAGCTGGAGGAACATCTCCAAATTAATGAGGTTTATTACTAACATGACTTGGTCTAAAAAGGACATTCAGAGAGGCTGAGTCTCTCAGAAGGAATGATGGGAAGAGGTTCACCACTCTGTGAGAGACTGTGTGAGCTCATAGTTCAACAGTGTCAGAATAATGTTCCTGAGTGTCAAATGTGAAAGAATGAGTGGATTTCATCATAAATTAATTATAAATAAATAATAAATAAATAAATTATAATAGTTATTAAAATAATGAAGCTTTACATAAAAGCCAGGCTGAATAGATGTGTTTTTAGGTTACGTTTAAAGATTTTAATATTTGCAGCTTGTCTCAGACCTTCTGGAAGTTTGTTCCACAGTTTTGGAGCGTAGCAGCTAAAAGAAACATCCCCAATTTTTTTTGTTCTGCTCTGTGGAACAACTAAAAGAGAAGATTGAGAGGATCTGAAAGGCCGCCCTGGTTCATAAATTAAAATCATCTTTGAAAGGTATTCTGGTGCTGGGCCATGTAGAGCTTTATAAACTAGTAAAAGAATTTTAAAATCAATGCGAAAACTAACAGGCAGCCAGTGCAAAGACTTTAAAATGGGTGTAATATGAGCTCTTCCCCTGGTCCTAGTCCAAACTCTAGCAGCAGAGTTTTGGATCAGTTGTAGCTGGTTTTATTGTGCTTTTTGTAAACCAGAGAGAAGAGCATTACAGTAGTCAAGCCTGCTGGTTATAAAAGCGTGCATTAGTCTCTGTCTGGCTCAGAGAGAGAAACGGTCATACTTTAGAAATGTTTTTAAGGTGGTAAAAGGCTGTTTTAGTGACACCCCAAGCATGAGTTAAAAAAAAAACCCAAAACAAATGAAAAAAAAAAAACATATCATTAAAAGATTCAAAGAATCTGGAGACAAAGACCAAAACCAAGACTGAAAGATCCTGATCTTCAGGCTCTTCAGCAGTACTGCATTAAAAACAGACAGGACTCTGTATCGAAAATTACTGTATGAACTCCAAATCACTTCTAAAAATCATTGTCTGTGAACACAGTTCATCACTGCGTCTACAAATGAGGTTAAAACTGAACCATGCAAAGAGGAAACCAGATGTTAACATGATCCAGAAACACCAAAGACTTTTCTGGACCTGAGACCATTTAAGGTGGACTGAGGGGAAGAGGAAAACTGGAAAACTGTCCTGTGGTCTGATGGATCAAGATCTGGAAATCATCGGGGATCATCAGAGTCCATGTCATCTGTGAAGGCTCCATTGATGCTGAATAATATCTACAGGTTTAGGAGCAACATCTGCTGACATCCAGACAAAGACTTTTCTTAGATAAGATCTTCATATTTCAGCGAGACAATGACAAACCACATTCTGACAACAGGGATACAACAGCACGGCTCTGTAGTAGAAGAGTCCTGCTGAGAAACTCGTCCTACATTGAAAATATTTGGATTGGAGAATCGAGAAACCAAAAATAGGACAAAGAAAACCCTGAACTGTTGAGCAGCTGAAATCCTCTTTCAGACAAGAATGGGACAATATTTCACTTTTAAACTCCAGAAACTGGTCTGCTGGGTTCACTAACTCTACTTTTTACAAACATGTTGCTGAAATCACTTCCAAAAGAGCAGATTAACATTTTTCCAATTGGATATTTGATATGTTGTCTTTCACTCTATTTTCAGTTCAGAACCTTTAAGTTTCATTAACATTTTACAGGAACTCTTACAGAATTCAGGTTGTTCTCACGCATCTGTGTCTCAACTTGAGTTTTTACTGAACATCTGTAAAACTGGCGCTCAACATAAATCCTGATATTATCCAGGTTACCAACATGTCTGACCTGTCTCTTCATGTGCTCATGCAGCTCCACTGATTCTTCCAGACTGGCGAGTCTCCGCCTCAGATCGGCCTCGTCCGCCATCTTGCTCTTGTACTGCATGATCTTGTCCCTGGTTTCGGTCACGATGTGTTGGACCTGAGAGACACCAAAACGACAACATTACGGAATGAAGTGTAAATGAGTTTGTGAAATGAAGGTGTAAAGAGTAAAATGTTTCATAAATAAACTCAGTGTGAGCAGCTCGTCTGGCTCAGAGAGAAGTTTTCTTGGCAGCACCAAAAAATCCCACGCTGAGTGTGTAACACTTGAAAACAGCGCTGATTGAATTAACACCTCCCATCAGAAGCACTGCAGCATCTCTGTTAGAGCGATCTGAATGAAATGAACGGGATTAACATCAGCTTATATAGACTGTCAGGGTTCAGAGTATGATCCAGTGAAACTAAGTCCAGGAGGATCTCCTCTCTGATCCACATCGGACTAGGTTATCCCCACCTGCCTGCAGGTAACTTAAAGCTCAGTGACCTTTTTACTGTCTGTGGGGTGTGTTTGTACCTCGTCTTCATGAGCTTCTTTCAGGGACTCGATCTCCTCCTCGTGCTCGTCATTCTTTGTGTTGAGAGCGTAAATGACCTGAACAGAGAGACAAGAAGATGAACTGTTTTAATCATCAGATCAATAATCACACGGCAGAGAAGATCAGAGCGGCAGGATCAATACACATCACATTAATATCAGTAACAGGGGAGAGGTGGTTTTACAGCAGAGTCATCATCACACATCTCATGAGTTTACAGTTTCATTTGCAAACCGCAACCAGAGAGCAACAAAAACTGCAGTTCACACAGTGTCCACTCGAGGCTGTCTGCTGCAGTGAGTCAAACTGATTATCAACCAAAGGTGAGTCAGTTACACGGGGATTCCACCGGATCCAATCCGCATCCGCCTCCGCAGGAGAAGCCCTTGCGAGATTACCGATATTTCTCATGAGATCTCGCATGTTTCCCAGTGAGACATTGAATGAGATCCGCCGCCGACTGGTGTATATAAACGGCGGTGTATATAAACACCCACATCCCACAGCCCTAGCTTCTCCTCTTATCAAGTGAAGAACAGTTCAATGTATTGACTTTATTTTATTTTGAAATATTTTACTCTGTAGCTGCACACATCTTCCGCTGCTGCTCGTGCTGCGCTGCACTGAATTGATGCACCGTGCTGCGGCATCTGGCAAAAATAGAAGCCTTGCGTATCTTGTCCGGCTGCCAGATCCAATCCGCAGCAGAGCTGGACGGCGGACTGATTGTGTGGAATCACACACATTGATTATATTGCTTGCGTATTTGATCCGCCTGCCGCGCTAGAGTGGGTTTTAGCCGTTACTGCTATGCCTGCCTGGTTTGGCTCACTCGCCACAACACTCTTGATAAAATTATCAAAATCAGCAGCAAAATCATTGGTCAGTAACAGCAGTCACTCACCACCATCTACAACACCAGAGTCCTAAGGAAAGGCAACCAGATCTCCACTGACCCCTCACACACCCTGCACCCTCACTATACTGTGCTGAGGACAAAGAGGGCCACCCCCAGCTTCCTTCCCACCTCCATCCGCCTGTTAAACAGTTGATAGCCACACAATATTGTAGAGGAGGACTTATATAATTGAACTTTTGTTTTTAATGTATTTAATGTTTTTATTGTATTCATTATAAACTCTAGATTGTGATCTGTGAATGAACATGTGCTATGTTTATTTCTGCACTGGCGCTTTCTCTGCAAATGAAGTTCCAAACAGATGAATAAAGTTGATTTGATTGATTGATATTCTTGTGATGTTCTCCTCATTAACTGGTCTTCAGTTTGCTGAAATAAAAACATCATAATGCAGATTAGTCCAGAGTCCAAAGTCCAGCTTTGTCAGGTCTGTCTTTGAAACTACTACTTTGAAAATGTTTGTTTGTTGAATGGAAGTCAGATCCATCATTTCTGACGCATTCAGGGGAGTCAGGAAAACTAATCTCTGATTGTCGTTAGTGACTGAGCAGGTCATTATCGTGGACCGTGTTCCTCCTGCTTTTGCTCCCCATACAGACTGTTTTTCCTGCTGACACCTGTAAATCTCTGTTGTATAGTTTCACCTGTATGAGGCTTGTGTTACCCTCTGTGTGCCGCAAAAGCAGTCCAAGTTTCAGGTGTGTTTTTAGCGTCTCCTCTCTGAGCCTTTGATTCCCAGCAGAGCAGCAGCCATGTTCCTTCAATTATACATGATTATTTTAATGATGCAGCCGCTTTCATCTGCCGCTCTCTGCTCCATCCTTTCATCTCTCTCTCTCTCTCCATGTTTCTGCCTCTCCTCTTCTCCGTCTCCCGGGAATTTAAAAAAACCTCACACTCTGTGTCGTGGAACAATAACGCTTGTTTTTCACAACATCTTTCTGAACCAAAATGGCTTCCAGGATATTTTTCAAACAAAGAAGAGTCACAGAAAGCTCTTAAATTTATTCTTATGCTTCGTATTTCTCTTTGCAGAATTATGTATGTTAATTGATTTCATGCTGCTTTATCCAAGAGAAGACATATTTCATGCTCCTTATTCCTGTGCTGGTTAACCATAAATCAATACATGATGACTAAATCATGAAAATAATCTCACACTGTAGTTTCTGTATATAATCCTGCTGTCCTGCTGCTCTAAAGAGTTCACCTTTTTTGTTTTTACAACTTTTTTATGGCAATAATACATCTAAAAATATCAATCTAAAATTTCTGCTATCCTCCAGTAGATGTTCAAACTCTCACAGTCTCTCTTACAAGCTCTACAAAACACTCACACAGCTGCTGAGGAGGAGAGAGCAGAATTAAACATTTAAGCTCATGATAATTGTCCTGTATGAAAAATTTAAAACAGGATCACAAACTCAGCTTATGACTGCATCCTCTTCTTGATGGTAGACGGTAAAATTAGACTCTTACTGTGAAGCTGATTCTGCTGCAGACGACAGAAAGTATCTTGTTATGAGTAGACCAGATAAAGTCAACAAAGAAACGTCACACAACAGTCATGCTGCTGATACCTGCAGCAACATAACACTTCAAAATAAAGGTCATTATAGACTGCAGGGAGACTGATGTTCAAATTAAAGGTCATCATAGTCTGCAGGTGGACTAAATTATAAAATAAAAGTCATTTTAGTACGTAGGTGGAATGAATTGTTACAAAATAAATGTCATTATAGTCTGCAGGTGGACTGAATTATTACAAAATAAAGATCCTTATAGTCTGCAGGTAGACGTAATTTCAAAATAAAGGTCATTACAGTCTGCAGTTGAACTAAATTACAAAATAAAAGTCATTTTAGTATGCAGGTGGATTGAATTATTACAAAATTAATGCCATTATAGTCTGCAGGTGGACCTAATTTCAAAATAAAGGTCATTATAGTCTACAAGTGGGCTAAATTTAAAAAATAAAAGCTATTTTAGTATGCAGGTAGACTGAATTATTACAAAGCAAAGGTAATAAAAGTCTGCAGGTTCACTGAACTTAGAGCTTAAGATCATTATATGATGCAGTTGAACTAAATTACAAAATAAAAGTCATTTTAGTATGCAGGTGGATTGAATTATTACAAAATAAAGGTCATTGTAGTATGCAGATGGACTGAATTACAAAGTCAAAGGTCATTATAGTCTGCAGTTGAACTAAATTACAAAATAAAAGTCATTTTAGTATGTAGGTGTACTGAACTATAACAAAATAAAGGTCTTTAATTATCTTGAGAAACTTACAATAAAGGTCTGTGATGTGAGCAGCAGTGGCTCTGTTTTTTCTCTCCTGCCCTGTCTGGAGGATCATTATTTTTCACTCAGTGGAGGATTAAAGGGAGTTCAGTTTGTCTCAGAGTTGCTGCTGTTTTCGCTCGGCTTACAGAAAGACAATCCAACTCTGTTATCTCAATCATCAAACCTTCACTCCAGAAACTCTGGATCTCTTTACACCAGGCGCAGACTGCTATCAATCTTGTTTTAGAACGTTCAGCATCATATCCAGCAGCTACATCCCACCATGTGACATCCAGCCAATCAGGTATCGATGTGGGACATTATGTGAGACAGAGTGGTGCAAAAAGAGATAAAATATCCAGAAGGACAAGCACTGTAGTGTGGTTAGACATTGTGTAGATATATAACTGAAGATAAAGTTGTCTGTAAGCTATGTCTAATTAAACTGGTTAAAATAATTTAACTTCTTAAACTGGTTTAACGACTCAACCAGACAACCAGAGCAATGAGTAACCAGCACAGGCATGTGGATGTCAACCTGCAGGGAGGACTGGTCACTGGTGGTACTAGCTCTGCTGGTGGTATCCACAGTCTGCATAGACATTTGGTATCCTGAGTTTAGCTGTAGTAAATGAATGTGCTTAATTTAGAGTATTCAGAGAGCTCCAAAGCTAAGATCATTAAGGTCTGCAGGTAGACTGCATTATTACAGAATAAAAGTCATTTTAGTCTGTTGGGGAAACCAACTTGAGGAATCAGTTTGCAGGAATGTAAATTTCCTTTTAAACAACAAGGAAATCAGTCACTTCAGGGAAAACCAATGGTGAGGATTAGAGCTAGGGAATTAATCAGACTTTAATTTCTGTTCTGATTACGGCCACTACAGTCATGAAATATTAAGATTGAGACTCTGAAATATTGTGCTGCCTGCACAGCAACAGTGCAGGCAGCACAATATTGAACAGCAGCAGAGTTTGGGAGAAGCCCCTCCCCTCAAAAAGCTCTGAATGACACTCCACCACCAGCAGCTCTGACCAATAAGAAACAACGTTTAGAGCAGCAGGAGGTTGTTGCTCCACAAATGTTGATGAAGGACCGATGAATCTTCAACATGCTGAACAACAGGTACAAATTATCAGGCAGATACAGGAGGAGAGGAGAGCAGGGAGAGGAGCAGGATGATGAGAGAAGAGAGATAGAAGAGGGGCAGGAGAAGAAAGGAGCAGAGGGAGGAGCAGGGGGAGGCAAGAGGAGAGAGGAGAGCAGGAAGAGGAGCAGGACATTGAGAGAGGAAAGCAGGGGAAAGGAGCAGGAGCAGGCAATAGGAGAGAGGACAGCAGGGAGAGGAGCAAGTGGAGGCAATAGAAAGGAGGAGAGCAGGGAGAGGAGCAGGAGGAGAGAGGAGAGATAGAAGAGGGGCAGGAGAAGAAAGGAGCAGAGGGAGGAGCAGGGGGAGGCAAGAGGAGAGCAGAAGGAGGAGCAGAGGGAGGCATGAAAGAGAAGGGAGAGGAGCAGGACGAGAGAAGAGGGATAGAAGAGGGGCAGGAGAAGAAAGGAGCAGAGAATGGAGCAGGGGAAGGCCAGAGGAGAGAGGAGAGCAGGAAGAGGAGCAAAGGGAGGCATGAGAAGAGAAGAGAGAGGAGCAGGGAGAGGAGCAGGAGGATGAGAGGAGAGCAGGGAGAGGAGCTGGACATTGAGAGAGGAAAGCAGGGGAAAGGAGCAAGAGCAGGCAATAGGAGAGAGGACAGCAGGGAGAGGAGCAGGAGGAGAGAAGAGAGATAGAAGAGGGGCAGGAGAAGAAAGGAGCAGAGGGAGGAGCAGGGGGAGGCAAGAGGAGAGAGGAGAGCAGGAAGAGGAGCAGAAGGAGGCATGAGAAGAGAAGGGAGAGGAGCAGGAGGAGAGAAGAGAGCAAGGAGAGGAGCAGGAGGAGCAAGGGGAGTGAGGAGAGCAGGTATGCATGTGTGTTTGTCTGAAAAGCAGAGGAACAGAATGAGGACTGTATAAGAGAGGCAGTTGTGATGATGAACATTGTTCAGAATTATAATAAAATAAAAGTCTTTTGTCATAAAGGAGGTTTTATAAAAGCTCTTAAAGACTGAAAGATTTGTTTGATCTGCAGCCTGTGATATAATGTAAGCAGTAATAGAGCTCCAATCCTTCAATTTTTGTGGCACAGTTGAAATATTCTTATAAGTAAAATCGGATATTTAATTCAGTGAGTATTATCACCAAAATGAAGACAAAGCTCAATGTGACCAATTAATGCATGTTTCCTTTTGGCAGAAGTACAAATGACATTTAACAAAGGACACGAGTAGACAGACATACTTTAGAAGCAAAGAAGGAAGGCTAAACAGCAGTTAGTGTAATCTTTTGTTGAGTTTTCAAAAGGTAATAGTTTTGTGGTTTAAAGAGGTTTTTAGTTGCTCTTATGTGTGTGATGCAGATGCCAAATCATGGATCGTCACTTTTAATAATCGTGATATCAATCTAAATGATTTTGGTTATGGTTTTTGCCGTATTCAAGCAGCTCTGGTTAGGATTAGCCCTGAACCTGTGAAGAAACGTCAGTTTTCTGGCGAGCTCTGAAAGCATACTGTAGCATGTAAACACCTTATTCTGGTTTTCTGCACAGAAGCGGACTCAACCAAGTCATGAATAAGCAAAACAAAGATGGCAGCAATGAGAGCATCATCCCTTTAGGACAGTGGTTCTCAAGTTCAGTCCTCAAGGCCCACTGTCCTGCATGTTTTGGATGTTCCCTGCTCCAACACACCTGATTCAAATGATCAGCTCGTTATTAAGCCATTGCAGAGCTTGATAACGAGCTGATCATTTGAATCAGGTGTGTTGGAGCAGGGAAACATCCAAAACATGCAGGACAGTGGGCCTCAAGGACTGGACTTGAGAACCACTGCTTTAGAGGAAAAGAGAGACTGAGTTTTAGTCTTTGGATAATGAAAGAGTCAAAAACATCTGAGAGTTTAGACTATAAACTTCTTCTGGACTTCTGGACCATAAAACTCAAGAGTGATAACTGTGAAGAGTAATGAAATACAGTCTGTTCAGAACATTCAAATAGACACAGCTGACTCGATTATACACATGATTAGTGACATTATTCACAGACTGTTAGTGTGCGTTCAGCTGATCCTATGAGCTGCTCTAGATATTAACTCACCAACATTTCAAGATGCTTCACATCCACCTGAGTACCACACTGAAATACTACACCCAGGCTCTCCGGCTGGGTACCACAGAGTACTACAGCCTACTACAGAGGATGCTGAGTGTATTCTGAGCGCAGGTGAAAAACAGAGAGAGAGAGACGCTCAGCCAAACCGCTGCATCGCTTCAGCATTACATAACTACAGTAAGCCTCTCAGAGACAGCAGCAGGAGCAGGAGCAGGAGCAAGAGGAGGAGAACAGAGAGACAAAGAGGCAAAGAGGAGCAGAAAGACTGAGGACACATCCCCAATATCAGCACTGAGACTGACCGATGGAACAGAGACGCACAGATTCTCTAAGAGACAAAAAGACAGAAAAACACTGAACACAGGTGGAAACATCTGCAAGCATCAGTCTCTCTCACACACACACACACACACACACCCACACACACACACATTGTAGTACTAACACACCTCCTCATCTACACTGAAAAGGAGTCTGCAGAGCCAAACACCTCCTCCTCCTAACGTGCATGTTTACACAGCATCCAACCACACCCCCACCTGCTCCAAACACACACGCACGCACGCACGCACACGACACACACACACACACACACACACACACACACACACACACACACACACACACACACCTTGGTGAGCTGAGCGATCTTCTTGCTCATCTTCAGGTGCAGGTCCTGAGTGTATTCCAGCGTCAGAGCTCCATCGTAGAACATCCCGGAGGGGGGAGGGGGGGTGAATTTGGAGCCGGAGCTGGAGGTGGTGGTGGGGGGGTTGTACGAAGGCTGCCAGCCGGCCCCCGTCGCCATCTTTGCGGGGAAAGAGAGCGGGCAGAGCGCGGGTCTTCAGTGAAAATGGAGCAGGTCGTCACATCTTCCCATCCTGCTGTCTCTGACCTGCTCACACAGTCACCGAGAGAGAGCTGCGCAAGACCGAGCGGCGCGCGACACCGAGCTGACACGTTCACCCGCACCGGGGCGCGCGCCGAAGGGGATCAGAGCTGCGGAGACGCGCGCCAGATGCTCAGAGCGCGTGCACGAAATCAATGGATTAATTAAGCTTTAATGCAGATGATAGACAGCACGTGATGCCTTCGCGGTCTGCAAAGAGTAGGACCACGAAGAGCAAGAAAAACACAATATAAGAAACAGGCCAATACGCATGGTCCGTGCACAGGCTGCTGGAAATATGGGGTTTGCACAACTAGGGTGATGAGTAAACAGTAGCCTGACATGCATATGTGCATGATGCATTCACAGGGTGCAGGAATTGTGTGATGTATACTGCCAGTTACCAGAGAACAGCGTCAAATGAATGAACTGCCAAATGAACGAGATGCATTCACGGGCTGTAGGATAAATCCAACAACGTAAATCAACGCTACAGCTACATGCGCATGATGCATTTAAGGTGGCGGGAATATGCTATTCATACGACAGAAAAACAGACAAACACTGAACGAAACACTAATAGCCATTTAGTTATGATGCCTTCACATGAAATGGGAAAATGTCCTTATGATGCCTAGGTTATACATGAGCAGTAAATGGAGATCAAAATGCTAATGATGTTTTCACAGGCTGCAGAAAAATGCCACTGACACAACTTGAGTAAGCAGTTTTAAAGAGCCACACGTCCAAACACGAGTGATGCATTCACAGGCTGCAGGAAAAATCTCATTTATAAAAGCAGAAAAAAAGTTACCAGTTAAAAGTACAAACCCAATTCCATTGAAGTTGGGAAATCGTGATAAATGTAAATTAAAAACAGAATACAATGATTTGCAAATCCTTTTCAATCTATATTCAATTTAACACACTACAAAGACAAGATATTTAATGTTCAAACTCATAAACTTTATTTTTTTTGCAAATAATTATTAACTCAGAATTTGATGGCTGCAACACGTGACAAAGAAGTTGGGAAAGGTGGCAAAAAAATACAGAGAAATTTGAGGAATGCTCATCAAACACCTATTTGGAACATCCCACAGGTGAGCAGGCTAATTGGGAACAGGTGGGTGCCATGATTCGGTATAAAAGCAGCTTCCCCAAAAATTCTCAGTCATTCACAAGCAAGGATGGGGCGAGGTTCACCACTTTGTCAACAACTGCGTGAGCAAATAGTCGAACAGTTTAAGAACAACGTTTCTCAAAGTACAATTGCAAGGTATTTAGGGATTTCAACATCTACGGTCCATAATATCATCAAAAGGTTCAGAGAATCTGGAGAAATCACTGCAGGTAAGCAGTACGGCCAGAAACCAACATTGAATGCCCGTGACCTTCGATCCCTCCGGTGGCACTGTATCAAAAACCAACATCAATGTATAAAGGATATCACCACATGGGCTCAGGAACACTTCAGAAAACCACTGTCAGTAAATACAGTTCGTCGCTACATCTGTAAGTGCAAGTTAAAACTCTACTATGCAAAGCAAAAGCCATTTATCAACAACATCCAGAAATGCTGCCGGCTTCTCTAGACCCGAGCTCATCTAAGATGGACTGATGCAAAGTGGAAAAGTGTTCTGTGGTCTGACGAGTCCACATTTCTAATTGTTTTTGGAAATAGTGGACGTCGTGTCCTCTGGGCCAAAGAGGAAAAGAACCATCCTGATGGTTTTCGATGCAAAGTTCAAAAGCCAGCATCTGTGATGGTATGGGGGTGCATTAGTGCCCAAGGCATGGGTAACTTACACATCTGTGAAGGCAACATTAATGTTGAAAGGTACATACAAGTTTTGGAGCAACATATGCTGCCATCCAAGCAACGTCTTTTTCATGGACGCCCCTGTTTATTTCAGCAAGACAATGCCAAGCCACATTCTGCACGTGTTACAACAGCGTGGCTTCGTAGTAAAAGAGTGCGGGTACTCGACTGGCCTGCCTGCAGTCCAGACCTGTCTCCCATTGAAAATGTGTGGCGCATTATGAAGCGTAACATAGGACAACGGAGACCCCGGACTGTTGAACAACTGAAGCTGTACATCAAGAAAGAATGGGAAAGAATTCCACCTTCAAAGCTTCAACAATTAGTCTCCTCAGTTCACAAACGTTTATTGAGTGTTGTTAAAGGAAAGGTGATGTAACACAGTGGTAAACATGCCCCTGTCCCAACTACTTTGGCACAAGTTGCAGCCATGAAATTCTGAGTTAGTCATTATTTGCAAAAAAAAAAAAGTTTGTGGGTTTGAACATTAAATATCTGGTCTTTCTAGTGCAGGGGTCGGCAACCTTAAACACTCAAAGAGCCACTTGGACCAGTTTCCCACAGAAAAGAAAACACAGGGAGCCACAAAACCTCGTTGACATCTAAAATGAAGATAACATTGCATATATCTTTTTTTTTTATTTTTTTAACCTTTATACAAAGTATATAAAAAAACTGTAGTGAGTTGCATTTATGAAATAAATGAACTATTTCGGCGAGTGTCTGTCTTCTTCTGTAGTTAAACTGCAAGATATCAAAATCTACCCGGATACAGCAATGCTGCTTTTTAATTGGCTGTTCAGTAGATATACTTTATTTGATTGGCTTGTGCGTGGCACGCAGCTTCTGAACTCTCAGAGGAACTCGGTTGATTTCCCCCTGTTCCATAGTTGAAGAAGTGCAACTTGGTGGACATCACCGTGTTCATTTAAATGCGTGAGAAATACAATGTGTGGTGTGTGAGCGTGTGAACGAGTGGGAATGCATGTGTCAAACGCTGAATGCGTGAGACTTGAGAGCCCTGTGCTCACGCATCATCGATGTACTCCCGAGCCATGCAAAACGGTCTTTGCAAATGTTGCACTGAACGCCTTCCTTTTCAGTCTTGGTAAAGTTTTCCCACACCACTGATGTTTTAGGTCGGGATTTGGGTTGGGTTGTGTCCATGTTTTTCTCAGCCACTGCCTCGGCCATGGCTGTTTCTTTTCTGCTGATGTTTACACGCCGGTGTCCATGGACATATATAAAGACCCGACAAATCGATTACAGAATTTGTTGGCAACGGATTTTTTCGTCACGACGAATCTACTTAATCGATTCGTTGTTGCAGCCTTAATAGTTTATTTAATGTTACAAGAGCATTATAATCTTTGAATTTAGAATTACAAAATAATAATAATAATAATAAAATAAAATAAAATGCAATTAAGTATTTATTATTTATTTTCCAAATCCACTGGGAGCCGCAGCTTAGGGAAGAGCCGCATGCGGCTCCAGAGCCGCGGGTTGCCGACCCCTGCTTTAGAGCATTACATCACTCTGAAGAGCGTCACTGCACTGACATCTGCTGGTGAACTTAGTGAACTGCTACAAGATTTTTTTAAGATACACATTTCAGGCTGTTTATTCCCGTATCATCATAAATAGTCATAATAATAATTATAATATCAATTATTATTATTATTGCATCATCATTCTCATCAACTGACAGAGGTCAGAACTGATTTAAGTCACAAATTGATTCATATAAGACTGGAGAAAGACAAGTTTTCAGTAACACTTTAATTGCTTTAATGCTTTTTGTGAGGTTACAAAACAAGACAAACAGTATGCATGTATGTGTGTGTGTATATATTTATATATATATATATATATATATATATGTTTGCACGAGGTACTTCTTTTTTTCTTATTTGTGCTCTGGAAATACTTACTTAAAAAAATACTTGGTTACAGACCTGAAAGTTCAAGTTACAAGAAGTGATATACTCTAGTCGACCAGAGTGGCATTTCAGGAAAAAAAAAATCAAAAATCAAAGATTTCTCAACTCCATCCCAGAATCAATCACACCAAACTTATTCAGTGGTTTCTAATTTGTCTTATGTACGGTTTATTAAGATATTCATGTGCTATATTCGATAATGGAAAAGTTCATTGCTTTATTTTTTCTCAGGGTCATAGTATTTAATATCCCAATGAGATCGATTTTTTTAAAAACTTGTTACTATTTACTATTTCTCAGTGGTCTTTACATTGTGATCATTAAGTTTTTGGCCAAAATCATGATATCCGTGTTGTTTTCAAGGGCTTTTATTCTGCAGAGCTCCAGTAGCTCCTTAGCAATTCGCCTCTGAGTCATGGGCGGAGACACTAATGTTTTTGGGGACATGATGAAAGCTAATATTATAATTAGCTTGCAATCAGCTCACACATAATTGTTCCACCATCGCCCTTTCTACTTCTCCAAGTCTGGCTTGCAGAGCGGGGCTCCGGGGACTGAGCTTGGATATGTGAGGTAGAAATTCCCGCTGTGTCTGAAGCTGCTGTTTAAACCTGATTAAACCTTCAATCCAAGCATTGGCCTCCACCTTCAGCTGGTTATGCAGAGAGAAGGTGAGGGGAGCTGGCAGAAGACTGAACTTAGCATTAAAAAGGTAAAGCTCTTTTGTTTCAAAGAATAATAGAGTAAAACAAAGAAATACTACATTAATTTGTTAAAAAGGTCATAATTATCACAGAGAAATGGATAATGACATCAATAGCTAATTAATTTGTTTTGTACTATGTAACATCGTCTAACTGTGATCCTTTACCGATATGGACTTTTTGGGGCCGATGCTGATACCGATTATTAGAGGGGGAAAATAATCTGATTACCGATTAATCTGACGATTTTTTAAAATTTTTATGAAGTTATAAAATATATAGATATATACTCAGTATATGTAGGCTACTGCTCTTCATGCCAACAGAAGACCGACTGATCAGACCCAGACCACAAAAGCGTTTTCAATAACACCCCCCCTCCCCGCCGCCAATCGGTGCCTCCGTGTCTTAACTCACGTTACACATTTCCGGTCCGGTCTCATCTGAACATGCAGCTGCTGTAGCTCGATCACGTAATGTGTACTGTTGTTTATGCTACCGTTACTGGCACGGCTAACAGTGTAGCAAGGCTAATAGCAGATGGCTAACTCTAACTTTAGCTTGCATATTACACAGTGCTTCGCCGTTAATCTGGTGTGACCGAGACCAGCACAGCGGGCCTGCTTCAGATCCATCACTCTGCTGTGAGGTAGTTTAGTGGATGAAGATTGTCATGAAGTCGCTGCGCCATCTACAGGATAAGTTGGGGAACTTTTCAAATGGCGGAATATTTTTGAAGTGAAGCCGTATCTTATTCTCTGTATTTTATTTCTGAAAATATCGGCGAAAATCAGCGAGTTTTGGCCGATTACCAGTTAGTCTCAAACGGGCTAAAATTTATCGGTCGGGCCCTAATACACACCCTTAAGCATGGCGGGGTTAAGTATGACGGGGCAGGGTCACTTAGCCACTGATCCATCATCATCAGCACCGACATCAGCATGGTTGTTAAGAGTCCAAGCGTGGTGAATATAGGTTGTGCATTGTGTCTCCTGTGCTTCTGCAACACTTACCAGAGTACAAATCATGTATTTGAACACCGAATGACACCCCTGTGGAAGCAGTGTATTAAGGCCAGTAAGGCATAATGGTGGTATGAGTTTGTTGCCACAGTGACTGGTGTGTTCAAGTGGCTGATTTTTCTCCCATGGGGATCACAGACAGAGATGAACCAATACCACTTAACCCCAAGCCAAAACCAGCATAGAGAGGTTCAGTGAAGGTGGAACTGAAAGTGTGGAGATGGGTCAGTTTATCACAGTAGATACTGTAGAAGGACAGTGTGCCGGCAGGACAGTCCAAGTACACTGCCATTCTGTGAGAGACACAGCATGGGGGGGAGATGGATGTTCTGCTGCTATTGTGCCAGACACACAAACCACCATCAGAGCACTGCAGACTCCAGGACTGATTGTTCCATCCAAACAGGCAGTCATCTCCGCCTCTCCTGCTGATTCCTCTGTAGCTCACCGATATATGGACAAGTCCACTCCACTCCGCCTCCCAGTAACAGCGACCAGTCAGACCAGTGTCACACAGGAGCTGAGGATAATCTTCAAACCTCTCTGGATGATCAGGATATGGCTGGTTCTCCTGTGCACTTGTCAGCGTCCTGTTGTTGTTGGACAGTTGGATCTTTCTGTTTACTGTGTTGGTGTCGAGTGTCAGTTCACAGGAATCTGAAGGAGAGAAGGAGACACAAAACAGCTGCAGTTAGTCACTGATCTAACAGAAGTCTGAATCAAGGGGTTAAACCAGAATGTGTTCTGGTTTAGTTACATGAATCAAACTGAAAACATACTTACACTTCCTCAGACCTGGTGTCAACCACTGGACTCCAGCAGGATCCACCCTGAAAGGAGGGAAAGGGTTCAGACATGGATCAAGAATGGACGCCATGTTACTCTTTTACACTTTCTTGTTCTCCACAGTGACCAAGAGTGGGCAGCCATGATTCTGTCTAACTTAAAAGGATATTCCAGCGTAAATTTAAGTTATGGTCAAACACACTGTAACACCGAGTTAGACACCCCCTTGAGAGATGAATATTGCTGACTGCTTGCTTCTTGAGTTATACCAACTTCAACAACGGCTGCATAGTGGATCATTTCCATGAGGTAATGATCATCATAATAACCATTTTGCACTGCAGACACAGTTGTTCTTCTGCCTCAGCGTCTCGGTCTGATTGCAAGTAATGATCAGAAATGTTCTTCCTTGAGCTGCGAAACTCCGCTGCACTCGGTGATCAACTCGTCAGGGCTCCCCCACAAACGAGCAGCTGCTGGAGGAGAGTGGGTGAGTTGTTTTTAGTCTCTTTGTTAAAGAAATTAGACCAAGTTAACAAGATGTTTGATGGCTAGTACTATGGCTGGGACCCTATATGTACTGTTGATGAAGTTAGGTGCTGTTCTGAAAATTATTTGTGTCTATAGTGTGGCTTTTTGGCTGAGGTTTGCACGTGGAGACATAGACCGCTGTGTATTGCTATCGTGTGGTCATTACTTAAGTTGGTATAACTAGAGAAGCAAGTGGTTGGCAATATTCACCTCTCAAGGGGGTGTCTAACTCAGTGTTATAGTGTGTTTGACCATAACTTCAATTTACGCCGAACTATCCCTTTAACTGGGAAGGGGAACATTGTTTGGAGGAGGAATGTGCGCCGAGGATGACAGGGTTGACCCTCCAAGATACCTTCTACCCCCAGAGGCACATTCAACTAAAAGGTGGACCCCAAGATAGACCCAGAACTTGACAGAGGGATTACATATTCTACTTCGGCTCAGGATTCTCCAGGAGAAGCTGTAAATGTTCGATTTGGGCTGACTTGCCAAAAAAAAAACTCCCAACTAAACAATCATGTAGCACAAAATGATACAACAGCTACTGAAGAAGAACCCTCCGGACAAACCTTTTGTACAAAAACCCAACATGAGCCTAAACTGAGCTGGCATTTGACAAAGTTCTGAACACAGAACATTTACTATTATTTACTATCAAAGTAAACTTGTTTGACTGCAGCATGGGATTTCATACCTGAGAGTTTCCAGTTTCCATTGTGGATTCTCCAGTCCAGAAGAGAGTAGCCCGATCCCCGACTCTCCTGGATGGTTGTAGCTCAGGTCCAGCTCTTCCAGGTAGAAGGGGTTGGAGCTGAGCGCTGAGGCCAAGGACGCACAGCCTTCTTCTTTGATAAGACAGCCTGACAGTCTGCAAAGACCAAGAATAGGACACAGTAAGGATCATCTTAGGACATCACCAGTGACACAGAACAAGGAACTCTTTGGAAAAGCATGCATGAATACAAGAACTTGATTGATTCAAGTTATTATAACGTCGTGAATTTAGGAAGGTTTACAAAATCAACAAAGGACTTTAAATGGTAAATTTGAGTCATTCTAACCTCAGGGCTTCCAGTTTGCAGTTTGGACTGGCCAGTCCAGCAGACAAAAGCTTCATTCCTGAATCGTCTAGATCATTGTTACTCAGGTCCAGCTCTCTCAGGTTAGAAGGTTTAGAGCTGAGGACTAAAGACAGAGCTTCACAGCTTCCCCTTGAGAGGTTACAGCCACTCAGCCTGGAGGGACAAAATAAAACCATTAAAGAGCTCTTTATTTGGACAGTGGACAGCAGTTTGTTTATTCATCATGCTACCCTACTCACAGGGATTTGTTGGATGCTTTGACGACTGGTAACAGCTTAAGAAGAGCCTTCTCTGAAGCACAGTATTTCTTCAGGTCGAACACATCCAGATCTTTCTCTGATGAAAGAAGAATGAAGACCAGAGCCGACCACTGAGCAGGAGACAGTTTCTTTGTGGAGAGACTTCCTGATTTTAGGGACTGTTGGATCTGCTCCACCAGAGAGCGATCATTCAGTTCATTCAGACAGTGGAACAGATTGATGCCTTTCTCTGCAGATGAAGTTTCTGCAATCTTATTTTTGATGTATGTAACTGTTTCCTGATTGGTTTTTGATCCCCTCCCTGTCTTTCTTAGTAGACCTAGCAGCAGAACCTGATTTCTCTGCAGTGAAAGTCCAAGAAGAAAGCGAAGGAACAGGTCCAGGTGTCCGTTTGGACTCTGTAGGGCCTTATCCACTGCACTTTTGTGGAGATACTTTAGCTTTGATTTTAGCTTTGTTTTCTCCTTCAAGACTTTGGGCGGGTGAAACAATGATTGTTCGTCTGACATCAGGTTGACTCGAGAGTTGATGAAGGTCACATGGACATAGAGAGCAGCCAGAAACTCTTGAATGCTCAGGTGGATGAAGCAGAACACCTTGTCCTGGTACAGTCCTCTCTCCATTCTGAAGATCTGAGTGAACACTCCTGAGTACACTGAGGCTGCTCTGACATCGATGCCACACTCTAACAGGTCTGATTCATAGAAGATCAGGTTTCCTTTCTGCAGCTGCTCAAAGGCCAGTTTTCCCAAAGACATGATCATTTCCCTGCTCTCTGGACTCCAGTGTGGATCAGTCTCAGCTCCTCCATCATATTTGATGTTCTTCAGTTTGGACTGAACCACCAGAAAGTGAATGCATATCTCAGTCAGGGTCTTGGGCAGCTCTCCTCCCTCTCTGGTCTTCAGCACATCCTCCAGAACTGTAGCAGTGATCCAGCAGAAGACTGGGATGTGGCACATGATGTGGAGACTTCTAGATGTCTTGATGTGGGAGATGATTTTGCTGGCCTGGTCTTTATCTCTGAACCTCTTCCTGAAGTACTCCTCCTTCTGAGGGTCAGTGAACCCTCTGATCTCTGTCACCATATCCACACACTCAGGAGGGATCTGATTGGCTGCTGCAGGTCTTGTGGTTATCCAGAGGCGAGCAGAAGGAAGCAGGTTCCCCCTGATGAGGTTTGTCAGCAGCACATCCACTGAGCTGGACTTTGTAACATCAGTCAGGACCTCATTGTTGTGAAAGTCCAGAGGAAGTCGACACTCATCCAGACCATCAAAGATGAACACAACCTGGAACTTTTCAAAGCTGCAGATTCCTGCTACTTTGGTTTGAGTGAAGAAGTGATGAACGAGCTCCACCAAGCTGAACTTTCTCTCCTTCAGCACATTCAGCTCTCTGAAGGTGAATGGAAATGTGAAGTGGATGTCCTGGTTGGCTTTGTCTTCAGCCCAGTCTAGAGTGAACTTCCGTGTTAAGACGGTTTTCCCAATGCCAGCCACTCCCTTTGTCATCACTGTTCTGACTGGTTCATGTTTTCCTGGTAATGGTTTGAAGATGTCTTCTTGTCTGATGGTTGTTTCTGGTCTGTCTGGTTTCCTGGACGTTGTTTCGATCTGTCTGACCTCGTGTTCATCGTTGACCTCTCCAGTCCCTCCCTCTGTGATGTAGAGCTCTGTGTAGATCTGGTTCAGAAGGGTTGGGTTTCCAGCTTTAGCAACCCCCTCAAAGACACACTGGAACTTCTCCTTCAGGTTAGACTTTAGTTTACGTTGATAAACTAAGGCAGAAGATCCTGAGTGAACAAACAAGAAATATGATGAACAACTGAGCAGTTAAGACTAATTCATGTTTATTCCATCACTGGTTCCATCAGTGTAAACATATTTGTACCTTCCCAAGACATTTTTAGAAAACATTTTTGCTCGGCATTTTAATATTTAGAGAAATTCTCTTACTGTCAAGCAGACGGTCAGCCAGTTCTTCCTGCCTCATTGATCTCAGGAAGTTCACTGTGATCTTCAGAAAAGCCCCCCTGATGGTACTCCCCCACTTTTCCAATTCACCATACGACAACTCCTCATTGTCTATCTGACTCTCAAAACTTTCTGGGTGGTTTGAAACCAGGCTTTCATGGATCCTTTTGAGCTCATGCTTCACATAGGTGACAATGTTCTCCTCAAGCAGCTGGAACAAAATATGACATGAATAATAGTCAACTAAATCCCTGATACCACAGTCCTGCACTAAATACAGTGGTGTAATATGAAGAGTATTGTGAGCAATGGTAGTTACTGAACATGTACAGACCATAAATATGGAGTCCAGCTGAGGTTCATCTTGCTTGGCAGACTGACCAGTTGGAACCTCTGAGCTCTGCACACCAACTCTGTGGGGGATCACAGTGCATTAACCGGTGTTTTTTTCTTTTTTCCACGACGAAGACGTGACATTGACGAGCTAAACATAAGTCTTAAATGACGAAAATGTGATGAGACGAATGTGCTTTTACGTTGACGAGACTAGACGAAAACATTAGTGGTGGACGACGAAGAGAGTTGCAAAATTCATGAGCATTTCGTCACAATGGTTGGCCACACACCTCCAGAGCATCCCTCTTTGATACTTTGAAAAGTCAGAGGACCATAATTTTGACCGGGAGGCAATGTTCTGTGAGGCCCAAAAGGTCTCACCATGCTGGGCAGGAGCTCTGGCGCTCTAGCTTGCCTGTCATATCGCCAGCTGGTTTCTGAAATCAATCTGTAGTTTAAATAAAGTTTTTAAGGTGGTAAATTTGCACTTGCGCAGTGCGGATCAGGTAGGTGGCAATTGTAACGACTAACTACTGTAAAATGCATTGAAATACGAGGAGAGGAAGTGATGTAAGTTTCGCACATGTGCAGTACAAATTGGGTTTCTGGTGAAGATCTGGTAGCGACACCCACACACACCAATGTAAACAAACATGGTGTTTGCAAAAGGAGGCGATAATTTTGTGTCTAAAATCATGAAGTCCCATGTACAACATGACCGGAGAAGTATTTTTAAAACAAATGCAAGAGAGGGGCTCTAACCCTCAATAATGATATCATTTTCATCCATGCTTCGGTTAGACTGTTGAAGCACTCTAACAACAAGAAGTAAGGGAAACGTCATGGTAATCAGAGGACAGGAACGATCCAAACCACCGAAGTATACAATATCATACTGTTGTGATTACACATGTGTATGTGTTTACATATACCAGCTGTTTGACATGATGAACATCGCATTTCCTCCAGTGAATCTACAAAACCCAATTCCATTAAAGTTGGGAAATTGTGATAAACGTAAATGAAATCAGAATACAATGATTTGCAAATCCTTTTCAACCTATATTCAATTGAATACACTACAAAGACAAGATATTTAATGTTCAAACTCAAACTTTTTTTTTTTTTGCAAATAATAATTAACTCAGAATTTCATGGCTGCGACACGTGCCAAAGTAGTTTGGACAGGGGCATGTTTACCACTATGTTACATCACCTTTCCTTTTAACAACACTCAATAAACGTTTGTGAACTGAGGAGACTAATTGTTGAAGCTTTGAAGGTGGAATTCTTTCCCATTCTTGCTCGGTGTACAGCTTCAGTTGTTCAACAGTCCGGGGTCTCCGTTGTCGTATTTTACGCTTCATAATGCACCACACATTTTCAATGGGAGACAGGTCTGGACTGCAGGCAGGCCAGTCGAGTACCCGCACTCTTTTACTACGAAGCCACGCTGTTGTAACACGTGCAGAATGTGGCTTGGCACTGTCTTGCTGAAATAAGCAGGGGCGTCCATGAAAAAGACGTTGCTTGGATGGCAGCATATGTTGCTCCAAAACTTGTATGTACCTTTCAGCATTAATGTTGCCTTCACAGATGTGTGAGTTACCCATGCCTTGGGCACTAATGCACCCCCATACCGTCACAGATGCTGGCTTTTGAACTTTGCGTTGATAACAGTCCGGATGGTTCTTTTCCTCTTTGGCCCGGATGACACGACATCCACTATTTCCAAAAACAATTTGAAACGTGGACTCGTCAGACCACAGCACACTTTTCCACTTTGCATCAGTCCATCTTAGATGAGCTCAGGTCCAGAGAAGCCGGCGGTGTTTCTGGATGTTGTTGATATATGGTTTTCTCTTTGCATAGTAGAGTTTTAACTTGTACTTACAGATGTAGCGATGAACTGTATTTACTGACAGTGGTTTTCTGAAGTGTTCCTGAGCCCATGTGGTGATATCCTTTACACACTGATGTCAGTTTTTGATACAGTGCCACCAGAGGGATCGAAGGTCACGGGCATTCAGTGTTGGTTTCCGGCCGTGCCGCTTACATGCAGTGATTTCTCCAGATTCTCTGAAGCTTTTGATGATATTATGGACCGTAGATGTTGAAATCCAGAAATTCCTTGCAATTGTACTTTGAAAAACGTTGTTCTCAAACTGTTCGACTATTTGCTCAAACAGTTGTTCACAAAGTGGTGAACCTCACCCCATCCTTGCTTGTGAATGACAGAATTTTTGATTTTCCTCAAATTTCTCAGTATTTTTTGCCACTTTTCCCAATTTCTTTGTCACGTGTTGCAGCCATGAAATTTCAAAGTTATTTGCAAAAAACAATAAAGTTTATGAGATTGAACATTAAATATCTTGTCTTTGTAGTATATTCAATTGAATATAGGTTGAAAAGGATTTGAAAATCGTTGTATTCTGTTTTTATTTACATGTATCACAATTTCCTAACTTCAATGGAATTGGGTTTTGTACTAACCTGGCTGTGGAGGTTCTCTTTTGTCAAGATGCAGCTGTTCTACTGGGAGAATTTGTTTGTTGAGAGGTTTTCTGCTGTTACAAAAATTATGAAGTAGCTCAGTGCTGACTTACTCTGTTGCTGGTAATCCATGTTTGAAGTGTAACGGCGGCTCTTTTGACCAGTCACTCTTTAAGGACACGAAGCTGGGTACAGGTCCTGGTTCGTGTTTATGAAAAATGGGCCTGGTTGTCAGATTAAGAAAGACCAACAGAGAGTTTGCCTCAGAGTTAATAGATGCAAAAGCCGCTGAAGACACAAGCAGCTCACAAGCAGAAGAAGTCACATGCTGGTGCACCCTAGCAGCCTATGTTATATATGAAACTTACATTAGTTATCATGTTTCTGCTGATATCAAGCCAAATAAATACAGTGCTTGCCTGCTACTCTGAACATAAATGGTCAGAATTTGCTCATGTGAGGTTGGTCATATATTGCAGGAGCGGATCACAGGCGCTGCAGGAAGGGGAACAGATCAGAAATCCAGCAGGAGCAGGATTAAATAAACTGTCCTGCACAGGGATCTTCTGTACAGTCCATTTCATCACTCATGAGCAGTAAGAAAGAAGTTCTAGAGCTATAAATTATATTAATGTACAGGCAAGTTGACTCATGACAATCCTTCAGCCAATCAGAGATTGTCTCATTTCCAAGCAGCCTGATGTTAACTTACTGGTCTGATGAAGATCTTCTCCTGAAGAAAAGCGGGGGCTCCTTTGAACAGTCACTCCTGTTTGACTGGGAGCTGCGGGGGGGTTTAAGGGCACTGAGCCTGTTCAACACAGAGACCAGCAAAAAGGAAACATGTCAGTGTTAATGTGCACAAGCTGCTGCAGACGTTACTGGCTACCAAGCAAAGGAAGTCGCATACTGAAATCCAAAATTTACACACTGAATAAAACCAGCAGTGGTAGGAATGCTGACTGTCTGATACTTTAAGAGCTACAACTCAGAAACTCAGAAAAGAGCTACAAGACAGAAAAAGGGGAACTCACTTCTCTAGCAGGGTTCGCTTTCTGAAATGAAGCGGGGGCTCCTTTGAACAGTCACTCCTGTCAGACTGTGAGTTGGGTATAGGCTCTGAAGACACCCTTTTCACAGGGGTCCTAGTGAAATGAGAGGAAAACAATCAGAGAGGTCTTTTCAGCTCCACAGAATCAGAAACTTCAAAGCAGGAGAGGAGTCAGACACTTTGGTCTACAGAGGTGGAAAAACCTACACTGACCAACATCAGTTGTGGCTAATGAGATATGAAACCATCAGAACTTCAGTCCAAAGAATACTGAAATATCCTAATGTGATGATACCGCCATCTTGGAAGGAAGTGGTCTTCTTCTTATTTAAAGCAGCTTGAAGTTGGCGTAATGGCCTGGAGGTATAAGTCTCCACCCGACGTTCAGGGGCTGGTCTATCTCCTTGTTGTGGCCTTTTGCTGCACATTTCCCCCTCCCTTCTCTCATCATGACCCCTGTCTTTCCTCAGCTGTCCCTTTAATAAAAAAAAAGCCCCCCCAAATAACTTTCAAAACATGGGTTTGATGTTGACTTACTGATCTGATACAGAGCGTCTTCTGAAAAAAAGCGGCGGCTCCTTCGAACAGTCACTTTTGAAGGACACACAGCTGGGTCCTGGAGAGTCTGGTCTCCTATAAACACAATTTAATAGAGAAAGGCCATCAGACAGGGTTTCAACCTCTCTACTGACACAGACTTCTTCTGAAATCTGCTTCTAGTTAAAAAAATAGCTTCAGGTTAAGTAAATCTTTCTCTCACCCCTGAGCTTCTTCGTCTTTGTCTTCACACTGATCCATGCTGTTGATTCAGCTCAACCTGCAGAGAAAACACACAGTTAGTCTGAGTCACCTCTTACAGCAGGTTCTCAGCTGCTCTTCATATCACTGCTTTCACGTTAACAGCTCCTGCAGGTCCTCTGGGGAACATTTACACTCACGGACCCACAGAGGCACAATCCGAACCTCCAGCTTCTCTAGACTCAATGAAGAAAACATCAAACATCAAGTTTTAGATCAGCCTGAAACAGAAGTGTACTCCACGATCATTTACACCAGCTCCATAAGTGTGATGTTTCCCTATCTATACTGTATTTTCTATGAAAAATCACATAGATGTTGTTGTTTCATGGTTAACGTTTAATCCAAGTTAATGTCTGACTTCACTGTTTCACACTCAGGCTTCAAAACGGACTTTTCAACCTTCATAAGAAACACAACACTGTCCAATAAAAACATACACCTGAACGCCACATGAATTGATGTGGAAGTGAAGAATATTGAATGATCACTTATTTATCTACTTTTTGCATGAAAACACTTCAGTGCATCTGTCATGGTTTGTATATTTAGAGAGAGTTAGAGGTGTAAGAGCCAGAGGCTGTTGCTATTAGCTTCACTCACTGAATTTCTCTCCCTCTGTTAAAATACGGTTAAAGTACATCAAAGTTTATCAATTAGTAAATCTCTCACATCACTTTATATAGATTGTTAATTTCCTGACACACGGGCGTTTCCCTCTGAATTTTAATAATAATAACTTTATTTATGTAACACTTTTAAAAACAGATGATTAAAGTGATTGAATTGATAAAACAAAATGCAGAAAAAGGCAGAACTCAGTGGACAATAAAATAAAAATTACGTCATACAAAAGGCCAAGAGTCGCGTGAAAAGGCACAGATTTCGCAGAATTTGCAAATTGATGACAGTTGATGGCATCACATCAAGACGGTGGATAGAGGATGGATAAAAAAAAGGATTAATAAATAATAATCAGAAATAATAATAAGAAAGGGTGTATATGTAAAAACATGAGAAGATGGTAAAGTCAGAACTAAAACAATGAGGAACCGGTGAGGAGAGTAAGAACGGCAGAGATTAAAAACAGTTTTATAAGTAATTGTAGGAAATGTGTAAATAAAAACTAACAAGGTTGACAAACAAGTATATAGGCGATGGAAAAAAACAGGTTAAAATCCAAACGGTTCAAAACAAAGATGTTGTGTTTGGGCTACAACACTTCATCAGTGCTTACAGTATGAGGGCCCTGACCTTTATTTTGAAGTCAAACAGGAAACTTAAGTTCATAATCCTGTGTGATGTCACTCCTCTATGCTGAAACCAAACCACAACAAAGACACAAATCAGGTGAAGAGGAGAAGGGAACCTTCAGGGATTTAATGATCCCAAAAAAGGCTGATCCAGCCTCAAACTCAAGATATCATAAACTTTATCATGAAAGATTTCAGTCAAACATGAATTAAATTTAAAAATATTACAAAACAAACAGAGTGTCATAAACTCAGACTCCGCTTAGAAGGAGGAGAGACATATTCTGAACCATCTAACACAGACTTACTCTTTGTTCCAACAGTTCAAAGCTTGGGTCGATCTCAATCCACTCTCAGACTTTGTCGAAGGTGAGCTGTTACCTGTCGAGCTCTTCCTAGGAATGAGGAAATGTCACCTGGACTGGAAGGAAGCCCTGGGACATGAACAGATTTTCACAATAAGAGCTCTACAACTAGCTCTTCCAGCATCAAAAAACAGATTCACTCATGCTCTCTGCATGAGTGCTGCTTAAACTGCACATTCAATTTTTGACCACCAATTTTTTCACCCATCTAAATCTTGCACTTATATTTTTGTGCATTACATTTTTTGGGAGGTAAACTGTTGCATGTGAAAATTTTGCACATTAGTCCATCTGTGAACCATACAATATCATTTCTGCACTGTCATGGATCCACTGAGGAACTAATGTTCAAGGTTTTACTTCATCCACCTGAGTGTTTGTTGTGAATAATCAAATAAGTTTCGTCTGTTTAAAGCACAGGTGGCCAAATCTGGCCCGTGGAACAATTATATCTGGCCCACAAGATCATCTCATATTTGTATTATTATTGGCCCACCAGTATGAAGTCTGCAGATTTCCTCCAGTATAATAATATAAACTTTAGCACCATTATTTAAAATATCCTTAATAAACCATGAAAATCCGGGAAAGTAAAGCGTAAGGAAGATTTGATAAATAGTCAAGAATGTGGGGGAAAAGGTATTTGGTGTTCATCTCAGTATTTAGATTTATGTCATTTTTATACTTATGATTTCAGTTTTGGATTTTAAGTCATATTTTGACCTTCTACACCTTATTTCAACATTCTGCTCATGTATTTGCTCTTAATATGCATTATTTTTCTATTTTTGATATCATGCTCTGATCTCCCGAACTAATAAATAAAAATAGAATAACAATTTTAATTTTTTCTATCTCAGATTGCCTTTCAACTTATCTTTTTTGAATTTCCAAATTATTTATAACCATTGCTATTTTTGTTACATATTTTTTGAAAAGGAGGTTGACAGTTTTGGTGAAATGTTGACCCTGTTTGGCCCGCAGGCTAGACCAGTGGTTCTCAAGTCCAGTCCTCGAAGCCCACTGTTCTGCATGTTTTGGATGTTTCCCTGCTCCAACACACCTGATTCAAATGATCAGCTCGTTATCAAGCTCTGTAATGGCTTAATAACGAGCTTATCATTTGAATCAGGTGTGTTGGAGCTGGGAAACGTCCAAAACATGCACGACAGTGGGCCTCGAGGACTGGACTTGAGAACCACTGGGCTAGACCTAAATCCAGATTATGGCCCTTGCTATGGTTGAGTTTGACACCCCTGGTTTAAGGGGATCAGAAATAAGGTCATCAGTCAGCTCTCCTGATTTCCAATTTTACTTTTTAAATCAGTCATCTCTGTGACATTTAAGAACAAACTAACAAACTGAAGACAGTCAGAAATCTGCGAGGGGCTTCTCTCAGACTACAGCTTGTTTCCATTTGATTGTGAAAATTCCCAGGTGCTCTGAACACCTCCTGATACAGGAACTTCTCTTTTTTTTCTCTTTGCTGTGTTTATAAGAAAGGGGGAGTGGAACCTAGAGAGGCGTGGAAACATGACATGAAAACAGACAAACGGGAACAAAATGTCCGAAAAGTTAACTCTGAGAAAATACTCCATTTCAATTACGTTCTGCGTGGAAACTTTATTTGAACGATTACACTTCGATCCATTCAGCTCAGTATACATGCACACGTTTCCTCCAGTCTTTGGTGTTTGTCAGAAAACTGCAGTGAAGTCTGGAATCAGTTTGTTTTTCCGTGAACTGTCACAGAGATCTTGTTATCACACCGGCTCAGACCGGTTTAACGGCTTCATTTACAGGTGTTGTGCCGTAGTATGCACCCCTGCCGTTTGCACCCCCTCCACTCATTAGCTTCTTAAAGTGGAAGAAAATTATCTCATATTTAAAATACACGAGTATTGGATCATGAAAACACGTCAAATGGAGCAGCAAACTTTCGTTTTGTTTTTATGTGTCTCAAAAATGCACATGTAAACGAGTACTTAAGTGTATAAACTGTAAAGTTGGCTGTCAAGGTAGAGAACATTATATTTTGGGGACAGCAAATATTCCAAGTCAGAGGGCTATTGTTTTCGGTTTATCTGAATAGCCTGAATGAAACCGTACAAGGAACACGCTTTTTAATCCGTCCAACGGTGAGGAAAACTTGAATTATTGCGCCTTTTTAGGTACTTTCAACCGCGCTCCCGTCAAGGGTGCAATTTACGGCACAACACCCCGGATGTAAACACAGATAGAGCTCAGGGTGGAGTAAAACTTTATAAAGTTCAGCGCGAAAGAGAAATTGTAACAATTTAGTTTCATAAACTCTGGAACTAAATGCAGAGTTTAACTCCTCCAGTAGCAGAAATTATGAACTCGTATGTTTATTGTATGTTTCGGACACTTTAGACAGATTCTTTACGTCCCCTACTGGTGAAAAGAATGAACTGCAAAGACTTCATGAAAACTTTCCCTTTGCTATTCTCAGATCGGTTTACTGTGGAGAAAAATGCTCTGCTCAAACACTTTCATAGACCAAAACCACACAGACGATCTAAAACACGGTGAAAAGCAGGAGAGAGGAAAACATTTCGACCACTTTTGTTCCCGTCTAACATCGACTATTTGACCGAATAAGGTCAGAAAAACAAACGGAAGAGCGTCTGTCGTCCCCCGGTCTAAAGTCTCCGACAAAAGAGTGGATTGTCAGTCGCTGTTTCAGTTCAGATTTTCTATAACCATAGCTGTGTGGAGACGAGGGGGGAAAAATCCTCTTGGATGTTTCTTTACCTTCAGCTGCTGGTGTTTATTCCAAGAGTTGAATCTGCGTCACGTCATCTCTCCAAATGAACTCCTACAGGAAGTGACACCGCATGGAAGGCGCGTGTTCAGTGCGTGATCAGTGCATGATCATGAGTTTCCCTTCATACCACTATCAACACGAGACAGCTGCTTTTGAACCCTTAAATGTAGCCCTTATTTATTTGCATCATGATGTTTTCGCTTACACACAGAGCACAGAGCAGCTCTTTTAAACAATGTTCCGCTCCAGCAGGTTTTCCATTTTATCTCTAAAACGCATGCTCAGACAGAGATCCAGTCTGCCATCTAAACTCCTGGGTCATTGCATGAAATAAGTGCCTTTTTAGCTTAGAAATTTTTAATTTAAACCATATTTAATTGCTCATTTTTAAGTACCCAGGAATCAAAGAATGTTTAAAATGGCAGGAGATTATATAGTGCCATCCCAGGCTGTGTTATTTCATATTTTATAACCGTTTTTCTCCTGGCTGTTTTCATAATCTTGTCAACCCTGTTACCAACATAAACTTAACAAAATACAACATTTCTAATTAGAAATATGCAATATATGGTACATATATTTGCAGTACTTTAGTCTCTCTTTCCATTGAGATTATTTAATTTTGTGGATTTTTTTCTCCAATCAGATATTTGTCATTCAGATGATCAAATATACCCTAATTCTGCATGGCGATCACATGTCTCAACATATATCAGATATTTTTTAGAAGAGAAATGTTAAAAAATGGCCCAGTCTAAAAAATAATTTAAGTTTAATTATAATGGTAAGTGTTAAAAGCCCATTTGAGTTGTCATGTTTTACATTTTTATCAAATTAATGACAACAACAGGATTGACGTTATGTTAACAGGGCTGACAAGAGTAAAAGTGACTGGACACAAAGTAACTGGCTCTCCACCGGCGCATCAATCAATCAATCAATCAATCAATCAATCAATCAATAAAAAAATATTTATTGGCTCAATAATGTTCACTTGATGACCTAAAATGTTTTAATTTGAAAAAGTTAACCTTTAAAGAGAGTACAATGAGGGTAAACACTATTCTATGTCATCCCTGTTGCTCACATTTCAAATCCTGTTACTGTGGAAAGGTAACAGGGTTGACCATTTTAAGCTAATCTGCCCGTAGCTAGCTTAAATAAGTGCTAGCTAAAGTGCAAGCTAGATACTTTGAAAGGTAATTACTTGTAGATGTTGATTATATTTTGAGAAATAGAAAATAGTTTTGGTTTATATGTTAGAAAGTGGTAACAGGGTTGACGTTGTATGCTTGTCTCCCCTGGTTAAACCTTGAAAAAACATCAAAAATAGCACATCAGAGATGAGAGAAACTTTATTGTCACTGAGCTGTTAGCATCCTGGCTCAGAGAGGAGCAACCTCCTGACAATCATCTCAAATCTGGAATGTACCATTATTTTTTTAAGTTTTTTTTAGTTAGGTTAACAGGGTTGACATGAAATTAGGAGACGCCGATAAATTGGTAAATATTTATAATGACTAAAATATATCAATACCAAAAACACTGTTTAACAATAAGATCATACTTAAAACAATATGTCAATGTGAAAATTTTAACATTTTACCAACATTTTACAAATTTAAAGTCCTGTATACGTACAACAATTTATGTTATATTTTTAAATTATTAAATTACATATTGATTTGTTGTTATCATAATTATGTATATGAATGATTACTTCTTGGGGACGCAAAAGGCACAGATTTCATGAAATGACCCTCCTCAGTAACACTCAGCAATGATTGCAGTGAACTTCAACACTGACATTGACTCTACTGATCACACAGACACAGCTCCACATTTATTTTTGTATTTATTTTTATGAGAATAACATAAACACATTTATTTCAAGGGGTGCTGCAGTTACTCCTCTGACCGCCAGATGACTCCTCACACCACTCATACGTTACTCATATCTCCACGTTTCATGCACTAGGCTGATGACTGTTGAACGCCCTCCGATGGTCACAGGCAGGAATAACAACAGCAAAAACACTAATACCATGACGTCTGACTTCGTAACTACATAACACTGTAAAAAGTAAAGCAAATATAGTACTGTCAAAAACGCAACTAAAGGATGCATAAAAAAAAGGAAAAAAAAAGAGAGAGAAAAAAGATACACAGAGAGAGAGAAAGAGAGAGAGAGAGAGAGAACACAACAAAATGCTGCAAAAATCGACCAAACCTAAATAAAAGGTGAAATGCACTTAAAAAATAACTCTGAGCCTGAGGGTGTTTGGTACATTGAGATACAACACAATAATACAGGTTGAAACAAAGGATGCACATGGATACATGTGGAATTACACCGCACTCGATGAAATCCAACTGACTCACTGTGAAAAATATATAAAGGATACACAGTAACAACAAAAATAAGTGAATATTTGCAACCCACTTGAGAAAGTTTAGGGTGGACTGGACCCATCTCATTGTTAGATGACTTATCTTATGGACTTGTTGATTGTGTGTTTGGGTCAGAGAAAGTGGTTGGACCATAGATTTGCATTCGGCAGGAGAGTCGCAGAGAGTCGCTGTAATGGCGCTCGGCTCAAACAGCGTATCCCCTGGGTGAGCTACGCAATCCCTGAACACCAATAGGCTGTATCAGGTGTCAATCATAGAAAACATGAACCCCCTAATAACTTAGGAGCTCCAGAAAAAAGAGGACTTGAGCACAAACCAGTCTTACTGTAACTACATGTCAACACCACACGCAGGGGGGAGAAAAAATTATGTTCAGTTTAATAAATTTCGAAAGTTTGTCCACAGCCCCATAAGCTTTGCTGGCGGAGGCAGGATTTATGACCTATACTGCAGCCCGTCAACAGAGGGTGCTGTTCTTGGAGTGGCTTCACCCAGAGAGGAGGCAGACTCTGTCCATTCTATATACAGTCCATGGGTTGGACGCAACAAAAAATTTTTACATTTCAGATCTTGGCTTCAAATATAAGTACAGGTTGTCATCACCCTTTGTGAAGTATTTTCTTGCTTCATGTTTTGATTCTGACAAGCCGTCAGTTTACTGGGAACACAGCTTCATTGAGGAACCAGGACCACAGAACTGAAAACTAAACCCAGGATACAGAGGTTCAGTGAACGTGCATTTGAAAGTATGCAGGTGGATCAGTGTGCCAGAAGACACTAAGTAGAAAGAGAGAGTTCCAGCAGGATGGTCCAAATACACTGCTATTTTGGTCACGACAGAGGAGACGCAGGAGGTGGAGCGAGAGGAGGAGATGATCCCTTGGTTGTTGTGCCAGGCACAAAATCGGCCACTGTCAGTGCAGTGCAGACACCAGGACTGGGTGTTCCTCCCAAATAAACAGTCATCCCGATCTCCTCTCCTGCTGATTCCTCTGTAGCTGACTGATACATCAGTGTATCCTGAGCACTCAACCTCCCAGAAACAGCGACCGGTTAGTTCAGTTTCACAAAGCAGCTGACGATGGTAAAACCTCTCTTGGTTATCAGGATATGGCTGATCCTCTTCCACATATGTCAACTTCTGGTTGTTTTCAGACAGTTTGATCTTTTTGTTTATGGTGTTTCTGTCAAATCGGATTTCACAGGAATCTGATGGAGGAAACATGACACAACACAGCTGCAGTTTTACAGAGAATAGAATATAAATCACTCACAACAGCAGAGATTTGAATCAGTGATGTCAAAGCAAGAAGATTGTTTGAATCTGCATCAGTTTAGAATTATAAAATCCAACTGTACACACTTACACTTCCTCAGACCTCGTCTCAAATACTGGGCTCCACTAAATTCCACCCTGAAAAAAAGGACAGGGTCAGGCATGTATTCAACATAGGCTTTCAACCCATTTATTTTCTAGATACAGAGGTGCAAAAACATCCAAACTAACATGGTGAGCCCCCCAGGAGAACCCACACCAGCACTCCCACATTTGATTCAGTATTTGACCCCTAACAGTAGGGTGACCATACATCCTCTTTTCCCAGTGATGTCCGGCCTGTCTGGGGGGAGTTTATAAAATCCTTCAAAGGTCTGGGGTTTTGTATGGAAATTTTGCCTTTGTGTACCATGGACCAACTGAGTTAGAAGCATGTAAAAAACACTCGACCTGAAAAATCCTCAAAGTTTTGCACGTGACTCCACCCCATGTACTAGTGTCCTCTTTTTGGGGATTCAGATAATGGTCACCCTACCTAACAGGAGGGGGAAACTGTATAAGAGTTGCACCTGTGTTAACACCGGCATGTCTCTGACTGCTACATTAAAATTAGAGAGGTAATATTTTTGAGCCTCCTATTGTGGCTTTATGTGGTAACCCCTTATTGCTGAAGCAATTCAAAGTGAAGTGGTTGGTATAAATTAACAAACTGGCACCATCTCTAGCCAGCTACGAATAAAACTTTTTCTTTTCTTTGGTGCTTCCTTGGGTAATAATAGAAAACAGTTGCGTTGGTTTTTAAAACCAACAATAGAGCCGTTGGCATGTCCAGCTTAGTGGCTTTGCAACACATTCCAATAATATACACTTTTTCATAGAACTGGCATTCAACCAAACACCCCAAATGCTGCCCTCACTATAGCTACAGCGTTTAAAGAGCAGGTGTCCAGCCACACTTTTATCAACACACTTAGTGCTTCACCAAAGAGGACAATCCAATGGACCAGTAAACAGAGCTATAAGGTCATCTCTCTGCCTTCATTTGGCAAATCAACCACACTTTTTTAAGGCAACATATGATTTAAGAATGTTTCAGGAAATGATACGATGAGGCTGGTGAGGTACTGGAACAACCAACCTGAGACTCTGCTGCTGAATACTCTCCAGTGACACCAGCCAAGGTGTGTCCCAGTCAAGCTTGAGGTGGATGACCAACTTTACAGAGTATACAGTGTGTGTACAGTTTCATAAGTCATAAGAGGACATGTCTGCACATCTCTGCCCTCAACCAGCTCTTCCCATGTGCAAGACAGAGAAATACAAAGTGGTGTTCTGAATGTTGATGTGAGCAGGAAGGGAATGAGTGGGACTGCAGTCCCAAGACCATGATGTAAGGAGCCTGTGGTAAAGGCTGTGGGGGTAAAAGGGAGCTTAGCCAGGAAGCAAAACTTTCACTTTACCAGCCAATCTACATTCCAACTCTGAGCCACGGTCATAAGTTTTGGGTAGTGACCAATTGTTAATGCAAGAGTTTTCTTCCAAAGGGTTTCTGGCCTCTGGCCTTGATAAGGAAATAGCAAGAGGGAACTTTGAGTAGAGCTGTTGCTCCTTTACATTAAAAGAAACTGGATGCAATGGTTCAGTCATCTGATAAGGATGCCTCCTGGATAGATGGGTGAGTGGATGGGTGGATGAATGGGTTAATTGAGCACCAAGTAATTGTTAACAGCTCTTTCCTCTATTGTTTTAAGATGTAGCATGTCATTTCATACCTTAGAGTTTCCAGTTTCCACTGTGAATTCCTCAGTCCAGCTGACAGCTGCTTCACTCCAGACTCACCCAAATGGTTGTAGCTCAGGTCAAGCTCTCTCAGATAGGTGGGGTTGCGTCTCAGAGCAAGGATCAGGGAAGCACACCCTTCCTCTGTGATCAGGCAGCCTGACAGTCTGTATAGACACAAACCAACAAGAATTGCAGTGCCTTTGTGTCTACAGTAGGAAACAGATGAAGAACAAGCACAACCTCTGTCTTGATCTGACCTTAAGGTTTCCAGTTTACAGTTTGAACTCTGTAGTCCTTCAGACAACTGCTTCATTCCTGAATCCAGCAAGTCATTGTCACTCAGGTCCAGCTCTCTTAGACGAGAAAACCTAGAGCTGAGGACTGAAGCGAGAGCCTCACAGCTTCTCTCTGACAGCTTGCAGAAACTTAGTCTGGACAGACAACAGGAAGAAAATGAATTTACAGTTAGTTATTCAGGTTGGTAAATAGGACTAGTAAATAGCCTCAAAGTCACAGTCCTAAGGATAAACCAGCTGCAGGGGTAAGCTGACGCCCCCTTCAAGATGCTTTCACAGTGGCAAGGCAAACCCAAGATGGGTCCCCAGCTGTTGAATGGTAACATCCCAGAAAGTATCTGTGTCACATCAAGCTAAACACAGTTAGTCAAGGAAAAGCTTCTTTTCTCATGCTGCAGGGCTTTGAGCTAAAAGCACACATTCTGCATTTTGTAAAGGTTTCTACATTTGAAATTATTGCTACATCTTTCTCACAGTTGACTTTCTTTCATAATTTTAAGCTGTTGGGGTGAGGCATATCTTGTTGCATGGCCAGTAGGGATGAAAAGATTAATCGATACGCGGTCACGTGCATGCACAATGCGAGCGATTGGTAGAGTAGCTAAGAGTGAATGCAATTTTGAATACATATTCAGATGTATCAAATTTTAAATGTTTGTATCGATACAATCCGATCCGTTTAATACTTTAATTTTTTTTTTAATGTTACTGAACCGCTTTGAGGACATAATTTCTACGACCCACATGACTTACTCAGCAGACTTGCGGATGTACACTACAAACTAAAGTATCAGCTCCGCAGATGCACTACATGTGCCGTGGATAAATACTAGCAGTGAGAAGGAGTGGGAGGAGTAAGGTAAACCAACATGTCGGACGCTGAGCAAATTTATCCTCATCTGAGTTGTAGATCGAAAGTTTGGCAACACTAAACTCTATTCTCTGAAAAGCAGATCCCTGCTCGTGTTGTGTTGTTTATGAACGTTTCGTTCATAATACGATGCTGAGAGAACGATGTGAATGGAATTACTCTAAGAGCTGATTCGTTCCTTTTTCAGTTCAGTTGAGCTCAGCCACAAGCCTGGTGTGCCAGTTGGGAGTGAAACTGCCACCTTTGACTCTTTTGCGAATGACACACAGCCAGCTAGCTAGTGGGCGGGTGGAGTCTCATGCTCACAGCGGATGAACGATATATATCAGTCAGTCTGTGAATGAAACGTCTGTGAACAACATGAACCAGTCAGACTGTGAACGAAACGAACGACTTCCGAATGACTTGAGGCAGGCAGAGGAGAGAGCGGTGTAGCGCCATTCACTTACTGCTGAGCACCGGTTCGTTCACTGAGGCTAAGATAAAACAGTGCATCATAGTGCCTTTACATTATATAAACTTTTCTGCAACAAGGATTTAATTTCGGCTGATCTAATGCAATACGCTATTTGATATTTTTAAAACTATCAGAATCCCCACTACAGCTAAGATGTTTATTTATTTTTAATCTCTTCACTTTTCCGCAGTATAAATGATGACTGGCACTTGTTTAGCGGGCATGCTGCTTGCTGCTGTGTTGTTTCCGCCGACGGCGACACACAGAGAGGTGAGTTTTTCAGGGCAGGGGAGTGACTCTTCCTTCAGGACTTGGTGGATGAACGACATGTGTAACCCAGTGAACGATTCTGTGACTTCAGCAGAAGGGGAGGAGAGGGGCTCGTTCACCGAACAAACTCGCATTGTATGTATTGCATCACACAATGCCACACATGTATCTTTAATATATCGTATCGGAGACATTGAATCGAGATGTGCATTATGTCGGCCTTTCACTTAAGATGCCCAACCCCACTGGCCAGTAGTTGGTAAAAGGGTTATGTGCTTAAGGGGTGCAAAAAAAGTGTGAGAAATTGTGCGTGCTGAATCTGAGGACTAGCCATTGAGTTACCCACATTTGTTTTACTTAGTTTTGTTTGTGTGTAACATCATTATTTTACAAGTGAACAAGTACAAGAATAAGCAGTAAAGAACAAGCACAAACTGTGTTTTTATCTGACCTTAAGGTTTCCAGCCTACAGTTTGAACTCTGCAGTCCTTCAGACAACTTCTCCACTCTTGAATCTTGCAGGTCGTTGTTACTCAGGTCCAGCTCTCTCAGATTAGAAGACTTGGACTTGAGGATTGAAGACAGAGCTTCGCAGCTTCTCTCTGACAGGTTACAGTAACTCAGTCTTGACAGAAAACAGGAAGAATTAATTGGGGTTAATTATTTATATAGTTTACATCTGAGTTTATTGATGACTATAGTGGACTCACAAAACGTTCTTGGATTCCTTTACAACTGGCATCAGCCTTAGAAGAACCTCCTCTGAAGTGGAGTATTTCTTCAGGTCAAACTCATCCAGATCTTTCTCTGATGACAGTAAGATGAAGGCCACAGCTGACCACTGAGCAGGAGACAGGTTCTCCGAGGACAGGCTTCCTGATTTTAGGGACTGTTGGATCTTCTCCACCAGAGAGCGATCTTTCAGTTCATTCAGACAGTGGAACAGATTGATGCTCTTCTCAACATTAGGGGCCTCTTCAATCTTACTCTTGATGTACATTATTGTGTCCTGATTGTTTTCTGAGCTTCTTCCTTTCCAAGTCAGAAGACCTCGTAGGAGAGTCTGATTGGTCTGCAGTGAAAGTCCCAGGAGGAAGCGGAGGAACAAGTCCAGGTGTCCATTTGGACTCTGTAAGGTCTTGTCCACAGCACTCTGGTAGAACTCTGGTGGAATTGTAGATCCATGGATGGTTGATGGATCTTCTGACAGCAGGTTGGCTCCAGAGTTGGTGAAGGTCCGGTGGACATAAAGAGCAGCCAGAAACTCTTGAACACTCAGATGGATGAAGCAGAACACCTTGTCCTGGTACAGTCCGCTCTCCTCTCTGAAGATCTGAGTGAACACTCCTGAGTACCAAGAGGCTTCTTTGATATTGATGCCACACTCTATCAAGTCTGATTCATAGAAGATCAGGTTTCCTTTCTGCAGCTGCTCAAAAGCCAGTTTTCCCAGAGACTCAATCCTCTCATCCAACTTTGTTTCAGAATCCGTCTCAACTCCTCCTTCATACTTGATGTTCCTTCTTTTAGACTGAACCACCAGGAAATAAATGTACATCTCAGTCAGGGTTTTGGGCAGCTCTCCTCCCTCTCTGGTTTTCAGTACATCCTCCAGAACTGTAGCAGTGATCCAGCAGAAGACCGGGATGTGGCACATGATGTGGAGACTTCTGGACGTCTTGATGTGGGAGATGATTTTGCCGGCCTGGTCTTTATCTCTGAACCGCTTTCTTAAGTACTCCTCCTTCTGAAGGTCAGTGAACCCTTTGATCTCTGTCACCATGTCCACATACTTAGAAGGGATCTTATTGGCTGCTGCAGGTCTTGTGGTTATCCAGAGGCGAGCAGAAGGAAGCAGGTTCCCCTTGATGAGGTTTGTCAGCAGCACATCCACTGAGCTGGACTTTGTAACATCAGCCAGGACCTCATTGTTGTGGAAGTCCAGAGGAAGTTGACACTCATCCAGACCGTCAAAGATGAACACAACCTGGAAGTTTTCAAAGCTGCAGATTCCTGCTTCTTTGGTTTCAGTGAAGAAGAAATTAATAAGCTCCACCAAGCTTAACTTTCTCTCTTTCAGCAAATTCAGCTCTCTGAAGGTGAATGGAAATATGAAGTGGATGTCCTGGTTGGCTTTGTCTTCAGCCCAGTCCAGAGTGAACTTCTGTGTTAAGACGGTTTTCCCAATGCCAGCCACTCCCTTTGTCATCACTGTTCTGACTGGTTCATGTCTCTCTGGTAATGGTTTAAAGATGTCTTCCTGTCTGATGGTTGTTTCTGGTCTGTCTGGTTTCCTGGACGCTGTTTCAATCTGTCTGACCTCGTGTTCATCGTTGACCTCTCCAGTATCTCCCTCTGTGATGTAGAGCTCTGTGTAGATGTCATTCAGAGGCGTAAGTTTTCTTTCTGTATCAATCCCCTCTGGATTGCCAAAGACTCTCTGGTACTCTTTCTTCAGCTTAGCTTTAAGTCTGCGTTGACAAACCGATGCAGGAGTTCCTGAGTAAAAAAGTAAAATACGTGAAAATTTAAACATCACTATAACTATCTAATTTCAACCAAGGATCCTAATTGAATTTTCCTTCAGTATTAATAAAGTTTATGTCAAATATGTCATTTGGTCAGCATTTTAATCTTAAGAAATCCCCTTACTGTTTTGCAGACAGTCAGCCAGCTCCTCATGCCTATTTCTCCTCAGGAAGTCCATGGTGATCTCTCTGATGGTACGCTCTTGAATTCCTTCCTCACTAACCGCTCCCTGACTTTCTGAGAATCCAGAATTAAGATCTTCCTGCATCCTCTTCAACTCTGTCTTCACCAAAGTCAGGATGTGTTCCTCCAGCGACTGGAACAAAAAAGAGACATTTAAACTGAAATCGTGGACCAAACATCATACCCACGATAGACGGACTGAAAATCCACTGTTCTCAGCAGTGCAGCACAGAGATGATTTTAACAGGATAGATGTAAAAGCAGTAACTGTACATGTACAGACCTTAAATATGGAGTCCAGGGTTGCTTGATGCTGCTGGGTGGAAGGACCCCTGGGAACCTTTAAAGCCTCCTGATGGACTCTTTGGAGAAACCATGAAGAATCAGCTCCTTTTCAAACAGGAACTATTCTGTAAAGAACTTTTCTCGCTTACATCTCGATAAGTGGAAGATTCGGGGATCAGTTACTGTATGTTCATACAAATCAAAAAATAATCCATTCTGTGAAAGTGAGGCTCCTCGATTGAATATGCGAGAGGTAGAGAACTCCTCTGAAACTGAGACACTTTCAGGGTTAATGTGGATAAAACTTGGACTCTTAGCGCACCTTGTTTTTGCAAGAATTATCAGGAGTCCTTGATCAGGGCTGGGTACAGCTCGTTGCAGGAGCTCAACTCTGGAGCACTCCTGGACTTTAACATATAAGTACCATGCCTTCTCCACAAACCAGGTTTTACTCTCAATCCATTGGAGGTGTGATCAGCAAAGGGATATATCAAGCACATACTTCATACTTTTTGGCGTCCTAATCCTTTTTTGTTCCTTGAACACATCTCAACATGATTCTGCAGTATCATGTCTCTCATAACCCACAGAGTAGAGGACACAGGCAAAGCTGTCTTCTGCATCACAGGACAGATAACTGAGCCCCTCTCTTGTTGACTCATCAAAATAATCTTAAGGAGGAAATGAGAGGGCAACTACACACCCTGTCTGTTATTGGATAATCCACATGGTTTACCCGGGGCCTATCTTTTGGCTGTAGGCACCTATTTCCTGCTGTCAAGTTGGACATTTCAACATAAAGCTCGATGGGGATTAATTTATGTTAGGGGGCAACTTCCAATGGACAGTCAGGGAGCTGGAGTTTTTGGGACTTCTTCATTGGCTTCATTTTTATCACCAGTTTGCCAAGTGGTCTGAAACTACTTGAGGGCTTTTGCTGTAGCTTTACACTTTGGCTTGCAGCTTTTTCATTCACACACCACTGGCTGCAGAAGTTAGTGCCCATATCTTAAATATCTGCATACTGCCCTGTGGGTATCAGACCGCATCAGAGTTTAACCCACAGTAACTGGTTAGACTTTTCAAGCTCTTTCCTGTGATGCTACAAATTTATATAAGAATTATGCTAAAAATGAGTAGTTAAACAAGTTGTCATCTTACCTCTGAGCTTGTCCCCCTTCCCGCTTGTCCTCATTCTGATCCATGCTGCTGATTCAGCTCACACACTTTCCCTGCAGACAAAAACACACATTTTTCCAAACAGTTTGTTTTTTAGTTTTATAATTTCTGTAGTTAAAATATCAGCTGCTCCTCCATCAGTTGGTTGTTATTTTCTGTTAGACAGTGTCGGATGGACAGCAGTATAAGGCAGATAAGCTACCATCAGCTGCTGCAGCTCTACTATCAGTCCACTGCAGAGCAGGGTACTGACATACCCAGCCCCACAGTGTCAAGCTTCCCAAAAGCTTCAGCTCTGTCCAAATGATCCTCAGTATCAATAAATTCAGAATGTGCCAAAAGATTACACAAACGGTTCTGATAAGCTTTGTATCTACATATTTTAAAAAGAGCATGAAAATCTAAGTCCAGCTGGTGTGCATCTTAGAGTCTACAAGAACCGCTAATCATATCAACAAGCTCAACAAGTACTCACAACTAATGGACTTTAAACTGAGCATAGGGCTAGTTCAGGCAGGCCACAGAGTCAAGATCTGTAGGGAACTGAGAGCTCAGCTGATCACCCCCGATCATCCATATCTCAAATACTGGTTTCGGCTCGCCAACTCTTCCTGCTTCTTCTGCAAACTGCTGCTCTCCCTGCCAACACCCCAGCTCCTTCTTTTTGATAATGTGTCTCATTTAACACCAGTCATGTGGTTCTGGGGGTCTTTGCTGCTGCTCTCCCTGCCTCAGGCTCTGATATTACAACATTAAAGGGGTAGTAGAAGTGTTATTATTATTAGTATGTTATTTTATAACGGTGTCCATACTGGATGTATGCAAAGTTTAAAATCACCATGTAAACTTATGTTGTCATATCTGATTGTGTCACTGCATTAGGCTCTCCTTACTAGTTCATCTGTGCTTCAAAATAATAGTTCTCTTTGACAAAGATGACTGAAACAGGAATACAGACATATAACACTAAGTCCAAAATAAGAATTAAGATAAGTTCAACCGTGATGCATACATGTGTCCAGTCCAACAAGACAAGATGTAGAAGATGGGTTTATATTTAAAGATAAATGCCCTCTTTTTGGCAGGTTATGGGGATTCTCCAAACAAAACACAGCCTACAAAGGTGCAAACAATAAGTCGAACTGTGCGTCAACCGTATAACTATCTTTTTAAAGCTTTTTTTTTTTTTCATACAGATTGTGTCAGAGTGATGGGTGCCTTTGTTTGGTGCTTTAAATTGTGATAACATTTTGTTTTGTAAAATAAGCTCAGATCAGTGAAACATGATGTGAAACATGTTTCGTTACAACCCAGCTCATGAGCGCAAAGGATGTCGGTTCTGTGATGAAAAAGTTATTTATTGCAGAAAGAAATAATGGAGTGCTGTTTAACACAGGGATTAAAGCAAAAAAATATTTTTGACTGAATTTTTTTTCAGGTCAGGTCATATTCCCCCACAATAGGCAGCCAGCACCACACTTTAAGAATGGCACCTTTTCTACTGTGCAATTATTTCCCAAAGCTTTCAAGTAAAAAGTCACCTATTAGCCCTTCAGTTTCTCTAAGGTCGCATTCACTACAGCCTTGTGTAGTCCAGTTGAACTGAACCCTGGAGCGTTTATTTCCTCGGTGCGGTTCGTTTTTTCCCTGGTGCGGACCAGTCAACCGTTCTCTGGTCCCCCTGGTAGGGGTGGTCTCAGACCGCAATTAGGTGAACTCTAGAGCAGTTTACTTCTGGTGTGAACCCCATCCGTGCCAGTCACAGGAAGCCCACCTTGAAAAAACATCAAGGTAGGCTGTCATCATTGCCTGTCGTTTTCTGTGATATGACCGTCCAATTGCAAAGCATCTCCTGCGACGTGCATGTATTAATACATAATTAATTGCCGCAGTCTTCCAAGCGGGGTCTGTTAAAGTCTACTGATATGCAGTCCAGATCAGCACCAACATAAAAAAAACGGCCCTTTTGGTGTGAACAGGACCTAATACCTAAACTGTTTTAATATTCAAGACGAGATGAAGTGCGCTGAATGAGTTTCTCGCCACAGTTGGAGTGAAGCAGCCACTGCGTCTCGGGACCCAAGCCGGAGACCAACCCTGGCACAGGCCCGCCTGGAGCCAGCAGCAAAGTGTGCTTACCAGCCACCGCCGCCACCACCACTAGCCGTGTCATGGCACGAGGGTACTTTTTGAAGATTACAAAAACAGGCAACTGGACTGTGTAGAGTTGAGAAGACATTTCGCCTCTTATCCAAGAAGCTTCTTCAGTTCTAACAGTGCTAGTGTGAGGAGCAGATATTAGGGACAAACAACGATTCGGAGGAGTTGGAAGAATGGGTCATAGAAACCCATCTACAGGTGTTTTCCCCCCCAAGTGTCGTTAACCTGAATAGGTCATTAAAAACCCCTTTCATGTGACCACGTGACCCATGCCACCTGGGTCATGGGTCCCAGGTGTGAATGTTTGTGGAGCTTCCTGGGGAGAGAGCTGAGAACTGCATTGTAAGTGCCGGAGAGATTGTGCCACCCCTCTGTGTTCAGAGAAGGTTTCTCCAGCCTGGTAAAGATGGCTTCTTTAACTCCTCTTTAGCCAACACCTGCCCATTGCTGTCCTCAAAAGAGTGACCCGTGTCCTTTAAGTGAAGGTGGACAGCTGAATCCTGTGTTGAGCCATGCGCATGGTTTCCCCAATGTACAGGTCCGAGCAGTCCGAGGGTACTTTTCTCACTCATCTGTGCGCCCTCACAGCAAGAGGCACCAACACCCCGCTTACCCTCCAGCCAATAGGCTGTATCGGGTGTCAATCAAAGAAAACATGAGCACCCTAATAACTTTTAAAAACGGAGCTTCACAGAAAAAAGAGGACTTGAGCACAAACCAGTCTAACTGTAACTACATGTCAACATCACAAGCAGGGGGGAGAAAAATTTATGTTCTGTGTGATAAATTTCTAAAGTTTGTCCACAGCCCCATAAGCTTTGCTGGCGGAGGCAGGATTTATGACCTATACTGCAGCCCGTCAACAGAGGGTGCTGTTCTCGGAGTGGCTTCACCCAGCAAGGAGGCAGACTCTGGCCATTCTATATACAGTCTATGGTGCCAACACAGATTTCCTAACGAATTATCTAACAAATGCAAGTGTCTGCCTCTGAAGTGCTCTTATTGGCAGCCTCTTGAATCTGGCGCTCCTCCCCGATTGGGGGCTCATTTACTAATCAGCAGCTGGAACTCTTACAGTCACACACGCACGCACGCACGCACGCACGCACACACGCATGCACGCACACACTCCCAAACAGAGTAAATGGGGCAATACATGTAGTGCACACCCAGTTTAGATAGAGCTTGTTTAGATACAGCTTCTGTTTATTCTGTTTATTCAGAAAGTAAAGAAAATACAATTAATACGCCACGTTTGTTTAATTACAGCATCATCTTTTTTTTTTTTTTTTCAAGATAGATTATGTCAGTTGTGGTGAGTTTCTGGAGGCAGTTAAACACCGGTAGTGAAAAGAGGAACAGCATGATATTTTTTTTTTTACAGAAGCTCAGGTCTGTTTTTTTCTGCACTTGCTGCACCTACTACACCCTCACACCACACCTTTATTTTTAAAAGTATTCTTTGCTTTGGATCTGATAGTTTAAGGTCTCAGTTCAGTTTGGAGTTTAGCCGTTAAAAATAAAGTGTCGCATTAATTTTCACCAAAATGGGTCAGACTGAGGTGCAGTCCTAAAAATATTCAACAATATATCACTAACCTATCATAACACAATGTAAAAAACACCAAGCATTAATTCCTTCTGCTGACCACATGCTGAAGTTTTTCAAAGAATGAAACCGATGGCACTGTTACATCTCCTAAAACAAGCGAGCACTGTATTGGTTAGACCGCAGCTTATTGCACTACAGATGTTGCCATGCTTCCTGAGCTGCTAGAGGGTCACAGAAGGGTCACTTGATACATTTTGAGGCTTTGTTGGCAGCTCATGTTGGCAAATGTTAATTTCAAAGCATAAATAATTCTCATTTAAAATTAACTAAAGCTAGAAGAGGAGACCAGCAGCCTAAAGACGAGAGTACAAAACATAATTCTGTTTTTTGATCAAGCTGCGGATAGTTATTTTTTTAACAGAAACCTAAAAGGAGCTTTGAATAAGGAGAAAAACAGAGATGAAAAGTTTCTTTACCTTCAGCTGGAGGTGTGGATGAAGAAACTGCGTCTCAGCATGTTTGTGTGGGTGAATCCTGAGCTTAAACAGGAAGTTAGTTTTTTTCAAAGACAAAACCACCCTCACTGAATATTCAAAGTCAGGGCAGTCCAATCAGGTATGAACTTACAAACACTCAGAAGCACTTCAATGAAAACCGTAAAATATAAAGTAATAAAGTGCACACGGGAGGATATCTGATGAATAAAAATTAGAGGTTTAAACTCAATAATAGGATGACACAATGATGCCAGACTACTAACTTTATCAGGAGCAACAGAAATCATTGATCTTATTTTCACCATGTGCATTCACTTCTCTCATTCATCTTTGAGTTTATCTATAGTGATTTAAATATGAGAATCTTGAAGTTCAGAGGAATCAAGAATTTCCACTGTCGGCGTGTGAATCTCATCTGACAGGATGTGAGTTTCTTGTTTACACCTTTGCGGTACAGTCAGCTGGTTTCAGTCCGGAGGTCGAGAGTTTAATCTGCTGTGTGTGAAAAAGTGAACGCTGCCTTTTTGTGGAGGTGCTCTGGGCTGTCTACAAAGGTGTTACAAGAATACTTTCTGCATGCTCCGTTTTTAATTTGCACACTGTGGTGTGTGAACGTACTGCCTGGGTTACCACACACTCTTCCCTGCGCTTTAGTACAGCTCTCTGTCACAACTTGTAGATAAATAATTCTGGTTTCTCTTCCTGTTGTTTTGTACTGTTTTAATTATCATGTCTTATTCCTTAACAGTTGTAGTACTGCTCTTAAAAAGTTATTTACTTCTCTATTTCTGTTCTACTTTAAGATTTCTAGTTATATTTTGACTGGCCTTCTGTGTTCATAACAAAGACCAAGATGAATTCCTTGTATGTGTAAAATCTATATGGTGATAAAACCCAACTCTGAGACATCTCCCTCTGTTCTCTGAAGAGGCGTTATGCAACAATGATGGTTGCCATTTTCAAACACTGACTACAACAAACTTGTGGGCAGCGTAAACACAGATATAGAGATGGAGCTGAGACGGGCTGACAGTTTCCTACAAACTGCTACAATGCACCCACTTGTCAGTTAACTCAGCCACACCCCGAATTATGAAAATTTATGCACAAACTCTGAAAGTCATTATTTCAAGAAGGATACTTGAAAAAAGCACTCAGAATGGTGTCAGAATAATGTGTATAAATGTATATAGAAGGTATCATCTTACTCAAATTCTTATGTAAGAGTTTGCTACAAGTATGAACTGTTTTAACCTCTTGTTACACATCATATAAGAGTGTTTTCTAACTTTTCTCTCCAATAGCTTTATCACACAGCACATGAGTGTTTCTTAACTTCTCTGTGACCTTGTTTCTCCTATCAGCAGGTGTGTGTGTGTGTGTGATGTATCCTCCACTGTGAATCGTGGGAATGAGGAGGATCCGCTCCTATCAGAAGGAGCTTGTTTAATGTCAACAATGTCACCTTGACCCTCACATATTTTCTGTGGTTCATTATTATGTTTTATGAGAAGTGCTTACGTTTCTGCACATATTTTTTCCCCCATCCTTTAGTAACATTGTGTAACCAGGGACAACCCTAAATAAAAGAGACTGGACAGAAATACCTTCAGAATGGTTTTGAGATTGTAACTGAAACTATCTCTGTCCATTCCTCGAGTAAGAAACCATTGTCTTTCTCTTCTTTATGAGTTTTCAGTCATTTGGGCAGGTTTTAAACCCAACAAATGGACAACGTGTTCAAATGACCAGGGGGCCTCATTTATAAAACCTGGCGTAGGATCCATACTAAAAGTGTACGTAAGTCGAAAAGCTGAAAAGTGCGTAGGCCAAAAAAAAATCTGATTTATAAAACCCTGCCTACGCACACCTGCACGCACTTTCCCTTTATAAATCACAGACCAGCCGGAAAGTTGCGCAGCAGGGATTTGATTCATGCCCCGCCCTCTCCACACCCAAAATTCACCATGTATGGTCATGCAAATTACCTCATGAATGTGATTTGCATATAAATCCGCCTGATGGCTCCACGGCAAAGAAAAAAGTGGCTTTGCACCGTCGGAGCGTGGCGGCGTCAGGTGAGGATCAGAAAACACAAGCACGTGTGACACTCGTGCATGTGTTCAAAAAAAAAAACGCTCCGTTATCCACCGCTGCTTATGTGGTGAAAGTTCGTAAACCAAAAAGATTTAGTCATATTAATCTTAAAACAAATGCATGTAAATGGAATTTGTTTTTTTGCACATTTGTAAATTCAAATTGGCAAACTTTCTACACCGCCACAGTAGGGTCTGTGCTTTCTGCGAGCATCACTGCCTGGTACGGCAGCTGCAGCTCTCAGGACAGAAACGCCCTGCATTGAGTCATCCGTTGCGCTGAACGCATCACCCGTACTGCACTGCCCGGCCTCCAGGACATCTACACCCAGTGGTGCAGGTCCAGGGCAAGACGGATTATCAAACACTCACCATCCCAACCACAGACTGTTTCAGTGGCTGCCCTCAGGTAGAGGCTTTGCTCCATCAGAGCCAGGACTGAGAGGCTGAAAAGGAGCTTCTTCCCCCGGGCCACTCAGATCCTGAACTCCTCATAACACACACCCTATAACTGACTTCACAACACCCTCTGAACAGACTTTACATTATTATTATTCTGTTTTTTTGGCACAATCGCAGACGTCACTTTCATTTCACTGCCACTGTACCTGTACATTTAGGCATGTGACAAATAAAACTTGAAACTTGTGCTGCATTGCGTGCGACTCTCACTGTATGGCTTTTTATACGCGTGCTTTCCATCAACCAATTGTTCTCACCTTGCTCCAATTGTCTCCAAAAAGTGCGTAAGCAAGGTGTGGAGTTTGCTTAAAGTTGCGCACATTCCTACACTAGTTTTTTTTTTTAATATAAATCCCAACTCCTGCGTAAGAAGTGGCGTAAGCACTTTCAAGCCAGGTTTTGTGCATAAGCAAGCTTTATAAATGAGGCCCCAGGACAGTGGGAATTCAATGGCTTCTGCAGCTAGTCCCTGGTGGACACTTGAGGAACTGTAGTTTCTTTGCTCTCTGCATTAGCTTCACTCTTTTGACTCCAGGTGTTACAGCTTGTTTAGAACCCATGTTGCTCTTCAAGCTTGGTTTATACTGATAAGCTGATGCTGCAGTACCACATGTTGGGTGCAAGTTTTATGTGAGTCATATTGCCAATTTCTGGTCCCACTACACTCCCTCAACTCAACTCAACTTTATTTGTAAAGCACTTTAAAACAACCAAAGTGCTGGACATAAATAGACAAAACAGCGCAGACATAAAAAACAATCAAAAAACAATTAAAACAATGGGTAAAATAAAAGCAGGTATTAAAAAGTAAAATATAGTTTCAATGTTTTTAAAAACTAATTTAAAAACATAGAAACAAATAGCTAAAAACAAACCATAAAACACTCAAACAGGAGCCGAGTCTCATGCAGGGTTGAAAGCCAATGAATAAGAATGGATTTTTAAGACGAGTTTTAAAAATGGACAGTGTGGGGACTTGTCTGGTTTGGAGGGGTAGCTTGTTCCATAATTTTGGGGCCGCAACAGAAAAAGATCTATCCCCTCTGAGCTTCAGTTTGGACCGTGATACCTCCAGGAGCAGCTGATCAGCTGACCTAAGGCACCAAGCAGGGGTGTAGGGGTGGAGAAGCTCAGAGAGGTAAGATGGAGCCAGACCATTTAAAGATTTAAAAACAATTAAAAGAATCTTAAAATGAACTCTAAAATGCACAGGTAACCAGTGTAGGGAGGCCAGGATGGGAGTAATGTGCTCCCTCTGACGTACTCCAGTTAAGAGCCGGGCGGCTGCATTTTGTACTAACTGGAGACGTGAGAGGGAGGACTGGCTGACTCCAGGACTGGCTGACTCCAGTTAACCAAGTCCTGGTTAATAGTGCACAGGAAACCATGCAGTCTTATTATGAGCTAGTTAGGTTGGAGTGGAAGCTGATGAATGTTGAGCTGCAGTTAGACAGAGGAAAAGATAGATGCCAGAGGAGGGGGGATCATGGACTGTATATATAATGGACACCGTCTGCCTCCTCGCTGGATGCAGCTCCATTACTAAAAGTTACCAGGGGATTCACGTTTTCTATGATTGACTGTTGATACAGCCTATGGGCATACAGAGATTGCGTAGCTCACCCGGGGGGATACACTGTTCGAGCAGAGTGTCAGTTCAGCGACTCTCCCGCCAAAGGCGTACAATGCTACTGTGCAAGTGGTGGTTCCAGAAAGTGGAGAAAATTATGGAAATACTGAGAGCAAATTGGCTTCAAATATAGCTGAATCATTTAAGACAGAGAACAAGGAATTACTTTGCACATATTTGATACAGTACGACCATAGACTGTGTATTGAATGGACGTCGTTTTCCTCTCGCTGAAGCCACTCCGAGAACAGCACACTCTGATGACGGGCTGCAGTATAGGTCATAGTCCTCCGCCAGCAAAGCTTATGGGGCTGTGGACAAATTTTAGAAATTCAGAACATAAATTGTTTCCCCCCCTGCTTGTGATGTTGACATGTAGTTATTGTAAGACTAGTTTGTCCTCAAGTCCTCTTTTTTCTGTGCAGCTCTATTTTACGGGGGATATGCTGTTTGAGCCGAGCATCATCACAGGGACTCCAAGTGGTGGAGTGCGTACAACGCTACTTCGCAATGTTGGTTTCAGGAAGTGGAGAAAAATCGCGGAATTACCAAGAGCTTTCTGGCTTCAAATATACTGGCGGAAGGCGGAACCAAATTGTCCATAGTGTAAACAGTCTATGAATGCGACCCACAGGACAAATCACAGTACGTATGGCATATGCTGTGTAGATCTGATACTGAAGTAAAAACCAGGCTTAAGGGGTTATCCTTTTAAATGCAGAACTCTTTATTGCAGTTAATGTGGCACCCTCTAGTGGTGAATGATGAATTGACGTACTGTTAATACAAACATTCATACTTTATTTTAACTGGTTAATGTGACTACTGAGCAAACATATTCTTTGAAGGACTCTTAAGTTAAAAAGGTTTTTGATAAAGAGAAGAATATTTCTGAACAGTCTAAGTATAAGGAAATAATTAATCTTTAACAGTATCCTTATGTTATATACTGTATATATTATAATATTTATGTAGCTTTAACCATGCAAACACTCAGCAGTTCAGCAGTGAGAATGCTTGCCCTACAGATTGCAGAGAGATACTGAGGAACTGGACCTAAACCAGAACCCAAAGCCAAACCCAGGGTACAGGGGTTCTGTGAAGGTAGTATTGAAGGTGTGGAGGTGGATCATTTCATCAGGAGAGACACTGTAGAAGGACAGAGAGCCAGCAGGACAGTCTAGATACACCGCTACTCTGTTAGAGAACAAGGTTGAGGAGGAGGAGGAGGAGGAGGAGGAGGAGAGGGAGGTCACTCTGTCATTGTGGTAAACAGTGTAAGTACCATCAGAGATACTCAGTCTCCACGACTGATCGTTCCTTCCAAACACACAGTCCACACTGCCTCCTCTCCTCCTTATTCCTCTGTAGCTCACCGATATATCCACATGACCTCTCCACTCCACCTCCCAGTAACAGCGCCCAGTCAGACCAGTGTCACACAGAAGCTGAGGCCACTCATCAAATCTGTCTGGGTGGTCAGGGTACAGCTGATTCTCCTCCACAAATGTCAGCGTCCTGTTGTTGTTGGACAGTTTGATCTTCCTGTTCACGGTGTTTGTGTCGAGTGTGAGTTCACAGGAATCTAACAGAGGAGAAAGACAACACAGCTGCAGTTATTCATGTTGTCTGCTCATGGTGGACAACTTTGAGTTTCAAATTTTTTTGACATGAACAGATTTAAATGGAACACACTTACACTTCCTCAGACCTGGTCTTAACCATTGGACTCCATCTGGCTCCACCCTGAAAGGAGGACAGAGATTAGACTAAAAATATACTTGCGTCTTCGCCCTTTAGCCAAGAAACCAATGCAGGACAATGCCAGTAGAAGGGCTGGTGTGTTTATATTAACACAGAGTTGGGTCCATCACAACACCACTTGCTCCAGTCCTCTTTTAAAAGCAGTTAAGAGTCAATCAACCAAGGTATAACTCTCTATTGGAGGAAGACCTACATAATCCCATTGAAAGGTCTCGTCTCACTGGCAGGTGGAACCTTCTTTACTCTCTAGATCCAACTTACAGAAACATCTGCAATGTTTAAAAGGCTGCGGCTGGTTTATCACAAGAAGTTTGTAATCTATGAACATCCTAATCCCATCTGGAGGTGTATGTCTAAAGGTCCTTACACACCAGCAAATTTGCGGAGCGAAGCGAGACAAAAAAAAGCGAGACAAAAATGCGAAAATATTCGCTGGTCCAAAAAATCGCTTTCACCTATACACACCGGGCGACCACTCTGTGGTACACACTCTCTCCCATCGTTGCTCTTGGTGCCAGTGGTGGTGTGTGTCGTGTGAACTGAGGCCGCATGGGTCTGTGACGTCATCAACAACATGACTTTTGATTGGCCAGAGGTCTAGCAGGTCCAGATATTCGCCTGCGAATCTCTGAAAAATTTGACACAATAATAATATAATGATTGAAAGATACATCATGAGATGCAACTGGGACACATCATCAGTGATGTTCCTGAGTTCATTGGGCGTTTCGGGTCTTTCAACATCATACGTCCTCCCTCAGGTGACCCAGCCTAGGGTTGATCAGACCCTGGCTTGTGTCCCAGTAGCAATGGCCCACAGTTCGCTCCTCCTGATCCACAGCCACCTGGAGGCTCTCTCTGCCGCCTCCATGGTGGACTTGATGGCTGACCTTTTTGCAGCCCTGGTGATGCCAAGTAGAGAATAAACCTTGCACAATGAGCGGCCAGCAAAGCCCCTGCACCCCACTTCAATGGGTTCGCACCGTGCCTTCCACCCTCTTCTTTGGCATTGCTCGACCAGCTCCTGGTACTTTGACCGCTTCCGCTCGTTTGCCTCCTCTATGCGATCCTCCCAGGGAACTGTCAGTTCTAACAGGAGCACCTGCCTTGAAGAGACTGACGATAGCACGATGTCTGGCCTCAGGGAAGTTGTCGTGATCTGGTCTGGAAACTTGAGCTGCTTGCCAAGGTCAACTCTGAGATCCCAGTCCACCGCTGAGGTGAGGAGGCCAGCTGCTAGTTTGGGCTGTGACTGTGGCTGCTCTCCAGCCCTGACAAAGGTAATGTTCCTGTTGCCAGGTTGTTGCTTGCGGCTGTTGTTTTTGGCCACGGCTTTGGAGATAGTTTCAGCAACAGACTTCAGCACCTGGTCGTGCCGCCAGCGGTAACGACCCTCCCCAAGGGCTATCGAACAGCTGCTTAGGATGTGCTCCAGAGAGCCTTTCCTGGAGCACAGGGCACAGGCTGGAGAGTCACCCAGACCCCAGAGATGGAAATTGGCTGGGCTGGGCAGGACATCGTAGACAGCACGAACCATGAACCCTATGCGCTGCAGTTCTGCCTGCCAGATCTCAGACCAGGTCACCTTCCTCTCCAGCGCACCCTCCCACCTTGACCATGCTCCCTGCTGCTGCATGCCCACCATCCTGCTGGTCCGTTCCTCCTTGACCCCTATAATAACTTTATTTATATAGCACCTTTAAAAACAGAAGTTTACAAAGTGCTTTGACAACAGTTGCAAGCACAGAACATCAGCACATGAAAATAAAAACACATAAAAACAAAAGCTCAGTTAAGAGAGCGAAAAAATAAAAGATGCTTTTCGCCCCACGGAAAAATCGCAGCCGGTGTGGAAGCTTGCATTGACTTTATGCTTTTTAAAAAAAAGGCGAATAAAGGCGAATAATTCGCCTGGCGGATTTGCGCCTGGTGTGTAAGGACCTTAACAGCTGCTATGTGCTAGCATCTGTGAGTGAAAGAACCGCCTGATCATCATTGCCAAGAACAGGCCTTTGTATCTAGAGTCATCGGGGGACATGGTGGCTAACCCATCTCAGAACCAACTGTGAACCAGTACATATGACAAATAGTTTATGGAGTGGGCCTTTAGTGAGTCCTGTGAGAGAGACACCCTCCAATGAACTGCTGAATGTTGCCTTGTTGGTTCATTGTATATCTATGCCTCTGTGTGACTCCAGTGTCTCCTCATGGTATTTTTCCTCCTTGTGAATTTTGTTCCTATGATTTGGCTCCTTGTGTTTTTTTGACTCTGGGATTACTTTCGGTTGGACGATTTTAAAAGTGGGGTTTTGTTGCCTTTTCTTTTAGTTCCTTTAAAATAAATCTGATCTTTGTATCTGCAGTTTGGGTCCTTCCACTTTTAGTTTTACCTTGAAACGTGACACTGAATGACTTAATGACTTCATGTTTAGGATCATCATTGACACTCCAAACACTCCATACCCTGCTGTCTTCAGCCAACATCAGAAAAACCCTGACAGGAGTAACACGTAAAAGGCAGATTGGCCTTTGTAATGTCACTGGACAAGGGTGTATGGGGTCCATGGGCCAGGCTGCTCACCAGGTGGAACCAGATGTCCCTTTCCTAGTGCTTTACTTTCCCAGGTCATGTGGGATATGTAACCCCTGAAAACTGGCAAAAGACGCTGCCGAGTTGGTATCCTGATCAGATACCTGGTTTGGAGAGGGGACTGGAGAAAACAGTGATTGTATTTTTGATGATAGTGTGCTGGCTTAAGTTGGTTCCAAGAGGTTTGTTTACGCTTAACGTAATTTCTATGTGACTGACCATCAAGTCAACTTAAATTCTAAATCTTCACTTCAGATTTCTTCAATAAAGAAGGTCAATACGAAACCGGGTTTTCTTGACTTTGACCGTAATGGAGGAATCTTTGCCAACAGTTAGTGACATCACTAAGTGTTACCACTTTTTTTGTAATAGTGTTTCTAATTCGTTACCAGAAAGATTTGGCATGGTACAGACACAGGTTCTTCTGGGGCACTTAGCATTTTTTCCAGCTTGTTGTTTCAGAGTCAGATGAACCACACTAACACTGTGACAGATAACATGTTTCCAGCTCTATTTCCTCTATTATCAGACTGTGTGTCTGGTCTCTGCTTACCTCAGTGTGCCCAGACCCCATTGTGGATCCTCCAGTCCTGTACGAAGCAGCTCTACTCCTGAGTCTCCTAGATGGTTGTAGCTCACATCCAGCTGTCTGAGGTGTGAGGGGTTGGAACTCAGAGCTGAGACCAGAGAGGCACAGCCTTCCTTTGTGATGAGACACCCTGACAGCCTGGAGACACAAAAATAACACATTTAGCAGATCATTTGGGATTACTGTGAAGGGCTGGTTATACAACTGAAGATCCAGCAAGGGTACAGTTTATTTATGTATGCGATTATTTTGAATCCTAAATGACAACTGATTTTCATAATCTCAACATGTAAAAAACTCAAACTGATAGAGTTCAGAGGGAAACTATTGCAACATCTGACCTTAGAGTTTCTAGAGAACACTGCAGACTCCCGAGTCCTGCAGACAGAAACGTCACTCCTGAATCCTGCAGGTTGTTGTTACTCAAGTCCAGTTCCCTCAGACTGGAGGCATTATTCTTGAGAACTGAGGACAGAGCTTCGCAGCTTCTCCCTGAGAAGTCACAGTCATTCAGTCTGAAGACAGAGGAATGAACATAATCAAAACCAGTCTGCTTGGCAGGTTTAAGTTATCATGTTATCTGAAAGACAAACAACTCATCTCATGTATCCTACAGGCACCATGGATGTGGTTTTTTTTGGTACCAATGGGGGACAAAAAATAGAGTCAGCACCAATAAGTATGTGGACATGTTGCTTTGGGTTTCACCCTTTGAGTCTAAAAAAAATATCATGCTCCAAGGTCATGTTCATAGGTGACCACTTCATGCAACTTGAGGTTTGATATTGCACAGGAACATTAGGGCGCGAAACCAGCATCATCCTTGCAAGATAATGCTGAGTAAAACCTCCATCTTGTCACTGCAGTCAAAACCCAAATCTTCAGGATGGAGTCTTTCTGGAAAGTTGGAGGACTCAAAGGCTGAGAAGTTGGAAGACTAGATACCTTTTCCAGCCCGCTACCACTGTGACCATTTACTATACATGAGTAAAAATCCTTACCAGAGGTAGGCTGTTGAACCTGCGAAGAAGTCAGTGTTTTGTCATAAATAACTGAAGATATTACAACATTTGTCTTACCTCAGTGTTTCCAGTGCACAGTTTGGACTCTCTAGTGCAACACACAGTTTCTCCACCCCTGAGTCCTTCAGGTCGTTGTTACTCAGGTCCAGATCTCTCAGAGTAGAGGACCGGCTGCTGAGGACTGAGAAGAGAGCTTCACAGCTTCTCTCTGATAGGTTACAGCCCCTGAGTCTGGTAAGATGGCAAAAAGTTTAAACATATGTAAGTAGCCAGCAGTTTCTCTACTGCCAAAAATATGGATGTCTTAAAAAATGTCCCTAAATGCAAATATTAAACAACTTACAGAGCTTTTTTGGAGGCTTTGACAACTGGAATAAGAAACTGAAGAGCCTCCTCTGAAGCGGAGTATTTCTTCAGGTCAAAAACATCCAGATCTTTATCTGATGTCAGTAAGATGAAAACCAGAGCTGACCACTGAGCAGGAGAAAGTTTCTCTCTGGAGAGTCTTCCTGAACCAAGATACTGTTGGATCTGCTCCACTAGCGAACGATCATTCAGCTCATTGAGACAGTGGAACAGATTGATGCTTCTTTCCGGATAAGGACTCTCTTCGATCTTGTCCTTTATATGCTGAACTACATCTTGAGTGCTCTGTGAGGAACTCCCTGTCACAGTCAGTAGGCCTTCAAGGACTGTCTGATTGGTCTGCAGTGAAAGTCCCAGGAGGAATCGGAGGAACAAGTCCAGGTGTCCATTTGGACTCTGTAAGGCCTTGTCCACAGCACTCTGGTAGAACTCTGTCATTGTGGAACCATGGTAGGTTGATGGATCTTCTGACAGCAGGTTGGCTCCAGAGTTGGTGAAGGTCAGGTGGACATGAAGAGCAGCCAGAAACTCTTGAACACTCAGGTGGATGAAGCAGAACACCTTGTCCTGGTACAGTCCGCTCTCCTCTCTGAAGATCTGAGTGAACACTCCTGAGTACCAAGAGGCTTCTTTGATATTGATGCCACACTCTATCAGGTCTGATTCATAGAAGATCAGGTTTCCTTTTTGCAGCTGCTCAAAAGCCAGTTTTCCCAGAGACTTGATCATCTCATCCAACTTTGTTTCAGAATCCATCTCAGCTCCTCCTTCATACTTGATGTTCCTTCTTTTAGACTGAACCACCAGGAAGTGAATGTACATCTCAGTTAATGTCTTGGGCAGCTCTCCTCTTTTGATGGCCCTAAGCAAATCCTCCAGAACTGTAGCAGTGATCCAGCAGAAGACTGGGATGTGGCACATGATGTGGAGACTTCTGGACGTCTTGATGTGGGAGATGATTTTGCCGGCCTGGTCTTTATCTCTGAACCTCTTCCTGAAGTACTCCTCCTTCTGAAGGTCATTGAACCCTTTGATCTCTGTCACCATGTCCACACACTCAGGAGGGATCTGATTGGCTGCTGCAGGTCTTGTGGTTATCCAGAGGCGAGCAGAAGGAAGCAGGTTCCCCCTGATGAGGTTTGTCAGCAGCACATCCACTGAGCTGGACTCTGTAACATCAGTCAGGACCTCATTGTTGTGGAAGTCCAGAGGAAGTCGACACTCATCCAGACCGTCAAAGATGAACACAACCGGGAACCTTTCAAAGTTGCAGATTCCTGCTTCTTTGGTTTCAGTGAAGAAGTGATGAACGATCTCCACCAAGCTGAACTTTCTCTCCTTCAGCACATTCAGCTCTCTGAAGGTAAATGGAAATGTGAAGTGGATGTCCTGGTTGGCTTTGTCTTCAGCCCAGTCCAGAGTGAACTTCTGTGTTAAGATGGTTTTCCCAATGCCAGCCACTCCCTTTGTCATCACTGTTCTGACTGGTTCATGTTTTCCTGGTAATGGTTTGAAGATGTCTTCCTGTCTGATGGTTGTTTCTGTTATGTCTGCTTTCCTGGATGCTGTTTCAATCTGTCTGACTTCGTGTTCATCATTGACCTCTCCAGTATCTCCCTCTGTGATGTAGAGCTCTGTGTAGATCTGGTTCAGAAGGGTTGGGTTTCCTGTTTTCGCAATCCCCTCAAAGACACACTGGAACTTCTCCTTCAGGTTAGACTTCAGTCTATGTTGACAAACTGATGCAGGAGGTCCTGGATGAGCAGGTAATGATGATATTCAAAATGTTCATTATACATTCTAACCTCTGTTTAACCAATGATCATAATGTAAAATTGTCAGCTATCGGTCAGCATTTTAATCTTTATAGAAATCCTCTTACTGTTTTGCAGACAGTTAGCTAGCTGCTCCTGCCCCATTCTCCTCAGGAAGCCCACAGTGATCTTCAGAAAACCCTCTCCGATGGTACTCTCCTGTTTTTCTTCTTCACTAACCTCTCCCCGACTTTCTGGGTATCCAGAATCGAGATCTTTCTGCATCCTCTTTAACTTTGTTTTCACGTAGGTAACAATATGCTCCTCCAGCAACTGGAACAAAAAGTTAAAACATTAACAAAATAGAGCTAAAATGATAGAACCAAACACCAGAAACAACTGATTGAGAATCAAACTTCTTTGGTGTCTTCCACAAAAGTTGCAGCAGGTGTGCAGAATGGATGTCAAGGTGGTTCCTGCACATTTAAAGACCTTAAATATGGAGTCCAGGTCTGTTTGCTGTTGCCGGGCTGACTGATCAGTGGGAACGTCTGACCTCTGCTGGTTGACTCTGTGGAGAGATCATGAAGATTAAGCTGTTTTGTCTGTCCACACACACAAACATAAAGAAAGGACTCATGTGTTCAAGCTCGGTTTACTCCCTCTTAAAAAGCTGATGGTGGGAATGTTACTAACAACTTACTTCTTTGCAGAAGGATGCTGGTCATTGAAATGAACAAAGAAATCCTTTGAACAGTCACTCTTCAAGGACAAACAGCTGAGGCCACATCCAGACTCTGATTCAGGAGCACCAGAGTATGGCTCCGGTCTGAACCTGTCAAACAGAGAAAGATGATCAGGGATGGAAACTCACTCCAGACACAGAAACTTCTGTGGATACTGAGAAATGATCAAGACACCCGAAAGGAATCAAACATGTCTGAATCATTGATACAAGTCTCCATGAAAACTGATCCAAACTCAGTTCTGTACTGGACCCAAGTCCAAAGGTGAAGAGTGGACTCCTGAAAACAGCTCTTCTCCTGTCTCCTGCTCCTCTCTCTGCTCTCCTCTCCTCCTTGTCTCTGCTCTCCTCTCCTCTTTGTCTCCTTTTCCTCTCTCTGCTCTCCTCTCTCCTCTTTGTCTCCTGCTCCTCTCTCTGCTCCCCTCTCTCCTCTTTGTCTCCTGCTCCTCTCTCTGCCCTCCTCTCTCCTCTTTGTCTCCTGTTCCTTTCTCTGCTCTCCTCTCCTCTTTGTCTCCTGTTCCTCTCTCTGCTCCCCTCTCTCCTCTTTGTCTCCTGTTCCTTTCTCTGCTCTCCTCTCTCCTCGTCTCCTGTTCCTTTCTCTGCTCTCTTCTCTCCTCCTTGTCTCCTGTTCCTTTCTCTGCTCTCTTCTCTCCTCCTTGTCTCCTGTTCCTCTCTCTGCTCTCCTCTCTCCTCCTTGTCTCCTGCTCCTCTCTCTGCTCCCATCTCTCCTCCTTGTTTCCTGTTCCTCTCTCTGCTCTCCTCTCTCCTCCTTGTGTCCTGTTCCTCTGTCTGCTCTCCTCTCTCCTCCTTGTCTCCTGCTCCTCTTTCTGCTCCCATCTCTCCTCTTTGTCTCCTGTTCCTCTCTCTGCTCTCCTCTCTCCTCCTTGTCTCCTGTTCCTCTCTCTGCTCTCCTCTCTCCTCTTTGTCCCCTGCTCCTCTCTCTGCTCCCCTCCTTCCTCTTTGTCTCCTGCTCCTCTCTCTGCTCCCCTCACTTCTTTGTCTCCTGCTCCTCTTTCTGCTCCCATCTCTCCTCTTTGTCTCCTGTTCCTCTCTCTGCTCTTTGTCTCTTGCTCTCCTACTTATATTTTTTTCTAGCTCCTCATCAGTGGGAATCGAAGTGAGGATCAACATTAAGCCTTCTAAAACACAAATCAGTGATAGTTTTTTTTTTTTTAAATCATTTTACCTTTTCGCTTCATTGTCTGGTTCTCCTTCAAAGTGTATCAAATGATCCTTTGCAGAGTCACTTTTAAGGGACACACAGCTAGGCTCAGGTCCAGGTCCAGGTCTTCGCTTGGAGGGAGAGGCTTCCCTCTCTCTGTCTTCACTCTCATTCATCACAGATCCTTCACACAAACACAAAACACACTTTTTATTATGACAAGTTCACACCAGAAACACATCACTTTTATTCATTTCTAAGACATGGAGGAAATATTCAGGGCTGACAAAAACTTCCCTCCTTGAAAGGACAACTAAGAACCTCCAAGATTGTCAAGATCCATCCAAACAGACTGTACACTGGAGGTTTCATAATTTTGATTACCGAAACGTCTGGAACAAGGAGCTTTATGGGAGGAAAAGTCTGAAAATGAAGACTTGTTATGCTGTCATTGTGAACAGCTAAAAACTAAGGGTATGGTTCACCTAGAGGAAAGCATAGCCAGTGTGTGTGAAACTAGCTGCCCGTCCTGTGTCTGATATACCGAAAATAAAAGTTATTATTGGAGCACATTTTAAGGAAGTGTGGTCACATAACTTACGGACACTGAGAGAGATCAGGGTAAAAGACATGATTCCTGTCAAGCCAAGCTGCCCCTCATGTCCATCAGTTATCATTCATTCTTTTAGTACATAAGCTTCAGTGCAGGCTTAGAAAAACTTAGCTTGTGAACCAAAAGCATGTTCAGTCTGTGGCTCTGTTTATCTCCTCATTGTGTAAAAACGTCAGGTATGTTTATCTGTATGTTTGAGTCTTCACTGACTTGTTTGAGATAAATGAGCCTAAAGATGTACATCAACGAACCAGAGCAGGAGGAGGAACCTAAAGCTGGAGGTTTTTAGATTTCTGATAAAAACTTAAACTTTGCCACCAGTTTAAAAAAAGTTAAGATCAGTTTAACAGATTCAATACAAAAAGTTTCATCTACATGAAAATGACTTTTTCCTATTTCTTCCCATCATCACAGACCAAAAGAGGGAAAAACAGCAAATGATTTAACATCTAGTTTTGAAACAGTGTCAGTTGTTTCTGCTTAAAACCCTCAGTTGGTTGCAAGTGAAGCTGCTAACTGCACTTTTTCTAAAACCACAAGTTACAAAATATGTCAAAACTCTGATGCTGTGTTTGGCCTGGGAAACGGAACACTATTTTGTTTGTGGGTGCAAACGGAAATAGGCTCATGTTTTTCAGTTCAAATACTGACTGACATCAAACAGAAGAATATATAGCTGCAACTTTCGTAGCCTTCAGAGGCTCTGAACAAACCACTGATCCACATCTCTCAGCACTCTACATACTTCTGCTCAAGGTGTTAACAGGTGAGGACGGCCACAACCCCCCAGACTTGTTAACCTCAGCCAACAGACTGGTTCACACACTAAAACTCACATGACAATAAACCTTCTGCTGACACACACACGCACACACGCACAAAAAAAAAAAAAAAAACCTGACACTAATCTTTTCACAGTCAACAACACTGACACCGAACTCTAAGGTACAGCCCAGAGAGACAGTTTCAACTCAGGTAAAGCCAGAGTCCACAGATAACTGCCGAAACAACATTAAGTTCTTTCTGGAAGGAATCTCACCTGTCAGCTTTAAGAAACTGTCCCCAATCATGTGCTGAGAGGGGAAACTGCTCATATCCTCCCTTGGAGAGAATGGCAGAGAACCAGTCAGTGACAGAAAACCAGTCAGTGCCAGAGAACCAAATCCAAAGATCCAGTCAGTGCAACAAACTTTAGTTAATAACCAGAGAGAACCAGTCAGTGTCAGAAAACCAGTAAACACACCTGATTCAAATGATCAGCTCGTTATCAAGCTCTGTAATGGCTTGATAACGAGCTGATCATTTGAATCAGGTGTGTTGGAGCAGGGAAACATCCAAAACATGCAGGACAGTGGGCCTCAAGGACTGGACTTGAGAACCACTGATTTAGGGACATACAAATGTAAACTGTCATTGCTGTGAATGATTTTGAGCTCTTTTAATCTTGATGCCACTTCGAAAAATGTTTGGTACAAAATGTTTAGTGTGGTGGATTAATTTCTTACAAATACTCTTTCTGTCCAGTGATTTGTTTGGGTTTGAAAAATGTTCTCAAGAGACATTTTTGCATTTGATCTTATGTTTGTACAGCTGAACTTCAGGGCCATTGTACAAAAGAGCCAGTAAGAGAAGTTAAACCCCTACCTGTCTGTAAAACTAAAACTAAAATAACAAGAGTAGATTGGGCAGCTTTAATGTTAAACAATCAGTCACAGATTAGTTTAGACTATTTCAGTAATACAAGTTATCATCTGGAATCATCCCTGTCATTACATCTGACACCACAATATAAAGTACAGTGGATATAAAAAGTCTACACACCCCTGTTTAACTGCCAGGTTTTTGTCATGTAAAAAAAATTAATCAAAATAAATAATTTAACAACTTCTTCCACCTTTAATGTGACCTATAACCTGTACAACACAATTGAAAAACAAACAGAAATCTTTCAGGGAGGTGAAGTAAAAATTAACAACCGAGATCATGTGGTTGCATAAGTGTGCACACCCTTTAATAACTGGGGATGTGGCTGTGTTCAGATTTAACCAATAACATTCAAACTCAGGTTAAATTGGAGTCAGCACACACCTGTCACCAATTAAAGTGCCTCTGATCAACCCCAAATAAAGTTCAGCTGTTCTAGTTGCTGACATTTTTGTAGCCACATCTTCCAGCACAAGCCATGGTCCACAGAGAGCTTCCAAAGCATCAGAGGGATCTCATTATTCAAAGATATCAGTCAGGTGAGGCTACAAAAGAATTTCCAAGGAATTAAATACACCATGAAACACAGTAAAGACCGTCATCATCAAGTGGAGAAAATATGGCACAACGGTGACATTACCATGAACAGGACGTCCGTCCAAAATTGATGATAAGACAAGAAGAAAACTGGTCAGGGAGGCTACCAAGAGGCCGACAGCAACACTGAAGGAGCTGCAGGAATTTCTGGCAAGTACTGGCTGTGTAGTACATGAGACAACAATCTCCTGCTGTCTTCATATGTCTGGGCTATGGGGTAGGGTGGCAAGACGGAAACCTTATCTTACAAAGAAAAACACCAAAGCCCGGCTTAATTTTGCAAAAAGACATCTGAAATCTCCCAAACGCATGTGGGAAAATGTGTTATGGTCTGATGAAACCAAAGTTGAACTTTTTGGGCATCATTGCAAGTGTATATTTGGCGCAAAATCAACACTGCTCATCACCAAAAGAACACCATACCCACAGTGAAGCATGGTGGTGGCAGCATCATGCTGGAACTGGTGCCTTAGTCAGGGTGGAGGGAATTATGAACAGTTCCAAATACCAGTCAGTGTTGGCACAAAACCTTCGGCCTTCTGCTAGAAAGCTGAAGAAGAAAAGGAACTTCATCTTTCAGCATGACAATGACCCAAAGCACACATCTAAATCAACAAAAGAATGGTTTCACCGGAATAAGATTGTGGGGTGATCTGAAAAGGGCTGTGCATAGGAGATGTGTCAATCTGTCAGATTTTGAGCGGTTTTGCAAAGAAGAGTGGGCAAATATTGCCACATCAAGATGTGCCACGCTGATAGACTCCTACCCAAAAAGACTGAGTGCTGTAATAAAAGCCAAAGGTGCTGCAACAAAGTATTAGTTTAAGGGTGTGCATATTTATGCAACCAGGTTATTTAAACTTTTGTATTTTTCATTTTTCCTTAAAGGTTTCAGTTTGTTTTTCAATTGCATTGTACAGGTTATAGGTCACATTAAAGGTGGAAAAAGTTATTATATTTATCTTGCTGTCATTTTCTTACATCACTAAAACCTGGTAGTTGAACAGGGTTGTGTAGACTTTTTATATCCACTGTATGAAGATTAGATTTCTACTTTTCTCTGCATTAATAATAATAATAATAATAATAATAATAATAATAATAATAATAATAATAAAAACATTTATAGCAAGAAGGGGTATTTAAAGCCATGGAAATAAACTTTTAATTTCATCATTACAGTAAAATGCATACATCAGAATTTTTCAATATATGAAAAACTCACCAGATCGACACATAAACACGCCTCCCATACTTAAGCGTTAGTTTAAATCATCAATGTGACTCAGTATAAGAGTTGATACTGAATGTAAGACATATGTGTTTCTTTTTAAATTTAAAATCTTTGGTAGAAATTTCGGTTTCAGTGCTCAAGGATCGTAAATAAAGGCCAAAAATAACCGCAATACAGTCATACAGAGCCTTTACAGAAAACGTTAGAACATTAAATTGAAACCACACACCAGTCTCTGATTAGATCACGTACGTCCCAATGAAGTGATATGAATGAATGACAGCTTATTCTGTGATTCATTAACACCATTCACAACACTGACGCTTGTCTCTCTACCCTGTTTCCTGGAAATTCCTTACAGATCACCTCCTGGCGGTTGTCAGGTTCGATGTTTGCACTTTGTCTACATTAAACACGTTTTCATAGAGAATACGGGAAAATAAGAATATTTACAGCCGTTACTTTACCTTCAGCTGGACCCGCAGATGAAGAAGCAACAACCAGCGCCAATACTCGCTGAAAGTGAAACCGTAGCTCCGACAGGATGTTGCAGGCACAGGGCGCGTGACTGTTGAATCTTCCTTAATTGTAATTCATATAAAAATTATGAACGTGTACCAACATGAGTTGGTTTCCACAGTCTTCTCTCAGGCTTTTTACAGCACAAAAATCTCCAGCACTCCAGCAGTGAGACAGGCAGGACTGCCTCCTGCAGCCTGAGAGACAGAGCTCAGGCCAGAATGACCCTCAGTTGTCCTACCTGTATTTACAGGTAACCTGATAAATAGAGGAGATGAGAGTCAAGGGTACACGGAGAACCTATCTGAAATGATGCACCTTCAATGGAAATAATTTATCTTCACTGGCAGTCATGTGCCGCCCTCTAGTGGTGAAGCAGTAAACTGATAGTAAAAGGACAGGGCTTACCTTTCAGTCTGAGTAGTATTGACTAATCGGGTGATTTCCAGGGTCTGCCTCCAGGCTTTGGCACCTGCAGGAAAACTGTCTGTATAGAGAGCAAAAGCAGGAGTGACACAGTCCATCATAATGACCTCCAGCTCTGGTGGTAATCTGAGGAGGATTCCTTAAACACATGTTTGGAAGAAGGTCAGCTAACAATCTGTTCAAGATCAAACATTTACACTGAGACTCAAATCTGACTGATGCTGAGTCACTGAGGATGATCAGAGTTTAGATTTCCTGACTTCCCCGAATGCAGCAGAAATGATGAATTTGACCTTTATTCAACAAACATTTTCAAAGTAGTTTTCTTCCCCTCTTGAGGACAGACATGAAAAAGCTTGACGTTGGACTAATCTGCATCATGATGTTTTTATTTCAGCAAACTGAAGACCTGTTTTTAAGGAGAAGATCATAAGAGGTTAGGTTTAGGTTCATACTGCTGAAGGAAGCCAAAGTCAAACCTCTGAGAGAAACTGAGACATAACACCGACAGATGAAGGAGTCCTCCCCTTTGGATTAACAAAATGAAAAAATACTGTAGGTTTTAAAGAAAAATATCAGTGCCTAAAATTCCCTTGACTTTCATCTAATCTTAGGGCTGTCGTAACATACCGACATTGACAATAACCATATAGATTTATTAAATGTTGATTTTGTGAAAACTGCGAACGCTCGAGGTGGTAGTTGCCACATGTCTTATAAGGAAGGAGACACGAAGCAGCAGCAGCAGGCTGTCATACTGTTACACATTGAAAAAACACATTCATGAATTAATATTGTAAAAAGACGGGGCATAGATAAGCTGCTGAGTTGGACAAACAGCAACATTGTCTTTCTTTTATTTTGTGTTAATTTGTTGCATATATACAGTGGATATAAAAAGTCCACACACCCCTGTTCAACTGCCAGGTTTTTGTCATGTAAAAAAAATTAATCAAAATAAATAATTTCCCAACTTCTTCCACCTTTAGTGTGACCTATAACCTGTACAACACAATTGAAAAAAAAAAACCCAGAAATCTTTCAGGGAGGTGAAGTAAAAATAAACAACTGAGATCATGTGGTTGCATAAGTGTGCACACCCTTTAATAACTGGGGATGTGTCTGTGTTCAGATTTTCAAACTCAGGTTAAATTGGAGTCAGCACACACCTGTCACCAATTAAAGTGCCTCTGATTAACCCCAAATTAAGTTCAGCTGTTCTAGTTGCTGTTCCTGACATTTTTGTAGACACATCTTCCAGCACAAGTCATGGTCCGCAGAGAGCTTCCAAAGCATCAGAGGGATCTCATTATTCAAAGATATCATTAATAATAATAATAATAATAATATTTATCTTGCTGTCATTTTCTTACATCACGTAAACCTGACAGTTGAATAGGGTTGTGCAGACTTTTTATATCCACTGTTTATTATGTTGCTTCACACTTTTCTTGTCTTTTCTTAAATTTGTTGTTTTGTGTTTTAAATTTCACCTTTTCCATAATAATTGCAATATTATCATTATCGTGATATTTTTTGGCTGTTGTCTGTCGTTCCTGGAGACATTTATCTTATTCAGAGGATAGCTGATAGATTCAGACTCTGAGAGAGAAGCTTAATACAGCTTAAAGGAGAAGAAAGTCTCTAGAACGGTATATAAAGTTTAATATTTTAGAGTCAGAGTCATATGACAGCTGCTCTGATCATCAGAAACAACAACAGCCTTTATACAGTTTATATACACATTAACTTAGATGTCAATCATTTTTTCAAACAGTCATTATTTCATGTATGTACATCTGAACATGTGTTCATGCTTAACTCTGACTTCATGCAGTTTGTGTTGCATGCTGGATTCTCTACTCCTCCAGGACCCAGATCTGTCTCCAAGTCCATCCACTCTGAGGCCTGTCCTCCATCATGAGGCTCACATGGGGACCGTGATCAGTTCACTACACCTGCAGCTGGGTCATGAGGGACTAGGAGAGGGACTGGGGGTCAGACCAGGACCTGGACTGGAACTGGGGCTGCCTCTGGGTGCCTGGATCAGGTCCAGATGTGTCTAAATGAAGAGTGTAAGAGGAGGGGAAGGGAGGGTGCTCAGCTGTGTGCTGGAGAGGGGAGCTGCTAAGAGAGGAAGGGGCGGAGCTATGACAGGCTGGGGGGGCAGGGCTGATGGTTCTTGATGATGAACCGTGAAGAGGATCAAACTCTCGCTTCAGCACGCTAAGCTGAGAGGAGGGGTCAGGATCAGGGACAGACAGAGAATCCTCCTGCTGAGTAAAAAGGTGCGGAGCTGGGGAACAGCTGGGGGGCGGAGTCACAGCCTCAGGTATTAGGGAGGTGGAGGTAGCGGAGAAGAGCGGTTTGAGGAGACTTGTCACTTCCTGCAGCTCCTGAGTGACAGCACTGACTTGACGGGAGAGGACAGCCATCTAGAGGAGACAGGACATGTATAGACAGGATGAATGCAAACCAGTCACTCAGAGGACAGATACTTGGTTACCATAGTTACTTGAAGTGATTGAGTTCTTAAACAGGTCCTTCATCCCATCCTCTATCAGAGCCCTAAATGATTCCTGCAGGAGGAGATAATTGTTTCTGATATTATACAGTGTATATTATTGTAATAATAGTAATAATAATTATTATTATTATTACTATTATCATCATTATTGTTATTAATATTATTATTATTATTATACAAACCCAATTCCACTGAAGTTGGGAAATTATGATAAACGTAAATAAAAACAGAATACAATGATTTACAAATCCCTTTCAACCTATATTCAGTTGAATACACTACAAAGACAAGATATTTAATGTTCCAACTCATAAACTTATTTCTTTTTTTTTTTTGCAAATAATAATTAACTCAGAATTTCATGGCAGCAACACGTGACAAAGGAGTTGGGAAAGGTGGCCAAAAATACTGAGAAATTTGAGGAATTCTCATCAAACACCTATTTGGAACATCCCACAGGTGAGCAAGTTATTGGGAACAGGTGGGTGCCATGATTGGATATAAAAGCAGCTTCTCCAAAAATTCTCAGTCATTCACAAGCAAGGATGGGGCGAGGTTCACCACTTTGTGAACAACTGCGTGAGCAAATAGTCGAACAGTTTGAGAACAACGTTTCTCAAAGTACAATTGCAAGGAATTTAGGGATTTCAACATCTACGGTCCATAATATCATCAAAAGGTTCAGAGAATTAACATTGAATGCCTCTGACCTTCGATCCCTCAGGCGGCACTGTATCAAAAACTGACATCAATGTATAAAGGACTTCAATGGAATTGGGTTTTGTAGATCAAGCTTCATCTCGGGGTCTTTTATTGGTACACAAACCGCACATTGCACTTTGTTTCTGCATTTTGTCTTATGCACTCTGTTCATGCAAAAAATATATGACTGACATATGCTTTTCTTTTTACCTTCTGAATCATCTTTAATGCTTTTTACCTCTTGAACTGTTTTTTTTATGGAAATGTATTTTATTCTATTTTTCTTTTAATGATGTATGGCAGTGTTTTAAATGTCTGTGCCTGCTGCAACCCGATTTGCTCATTTTTGGGACATAATAAAGTTGAAGTGAAGTGAAGGTACAGCTAATTTGGATATATTATACCACACCTTTAACCTTTTAAAGGTTAGGGTAAACACTGCGTTATTCATCACAGACCGTGTATACAGGAAGCTGAAGTCAGAATTGACCACATTTGGACAAGAAGGTGAATGCGCAAAAAGCTGCTGTACAAAAACAGTATTAGCTGAGGTGACATCTCATTAATGGTTTAGTGCAGTGATTTAAACTTCACCCAACAAGAGCACCAGAGTGTAAAAACAGCTCTGCAGCTCAGACAGAGGCGTCATTTTCTACCAGGGGGCACTACAGTGTTGATCAAATATTAGCACATGAATGCATTTAGGCTAAGACCCCAGTAGTTCAGTTCATTGTTCATTAAGCAGTGCAATATGCCTCCTTCTTTTAGGTTGTTGGAAACTGGATGGGTGTGGCAAAAATCATCTTTCCTAGTGAAAGTGGCTAAAAGAGGCTGAAATTTGAACACAGCTAGAAGGCGGTGGTGAGCTAGTTTTCCTCATCTATGTTTATCCACCATTGTTTATCAGATTTGTCATCCAGCCAGAGTTTTGCAGCAAGTTTGCTCTCGTCTAATAAAAATGATGAAGATCCTCACCTCCTGTTTGAGTCTATTGATGGTCTGCAGAGTTTCAGCTTCATCACAGACACCTGAGGACCCAAAAGTAGCATGTGGAACATGTATTTTTTTTCAAAGTGTGTGTGTATGTATGTGTGAGTGTGTGCGTGTTTACCTGTGGTAGCTGAAAAGGGGCTGGTGGGGAAGCTGCGAGTCATGCTTGGAGAAAAATCAAAGTTTGGAGCTGAACTGGTTTGACTTTCTGTTTCAGTACCATCCACAAACCTGGAACACACACACACACACACACACACACACACACACACACACACACACACACACACGCACACACACACACACACACACACACACACACACACACACACACACACACACACACACACACACACACACACACAGAAAGGAGGAGACAGTGTGTGCATGTTTTTCAGTTAGACTTACTTAAACTAATACATGAGCTCCCTCTAGTGGCAGCAGCCTGAACAGGGCTCTCTCTCTCTCTCTCGCTCTTACTCTCTCTCTCTATTTTATCTTTCTTACCTGTGCAGGTGTGTATCATATCATCTATTAATCATGTTACATAGGTGTCTTTTGTGTCTCTTACCTGGGGGAGAGCTCCCCCTGCAGGCTGCTGAAGCTCACCACAGGGACCTGCAGGCTGCTGGAGGGTTTGGGGGGGTCGGCCCCTGGTCTGAGGGTCCTGGGGGGGAGGAGGGGGGAACGCAGAGGGGAGCGGAGAGGGGAGCGTAGACCTCGACCCAGCCTGCCTGGGGGAGGCATGGCTGGGAGGGGGGAGTGCTCCCCCTCTGACCCTGACCCCTCTTCATCCTCTCTGATGGAAGGGAGTTTCTTTATCGTCTCTGCTTCTTCCTCACAGTCGTCCTACAAAGGTTAAAAAAAACAACAAAACTTTATATATAGTATTGAATATGGTCATTGAGTCCTCCTTCTTTACATTTAGAGCAATTAGAATAGATCAGTGGTTCTCAAGTCCAGTCCTGGAGGCTCACTCTCCTGCATGTTTTGGATGTTTCTCTGCTCCAACACACCTGATTCAAATGATCAGCTCGTTATCAAGCCATTATAACGAGCTGATCATTTGAATCAGGTGTGTTGGAGCAGGGAAACATCCAAAACATGCAGGACAGTGGGCCTCCAGGACTGGACTTGAGAACCACTGGAATAGACAATCTGTTTATAAAAGCTCTCTGAAGTTTGCACTGCTCTGGAAAATAAGGTGTTAAAGATCAGAACATCTACTTCTTTTATTCGGCATCAGCTGAAAAAAAAAAACTTTCTAAGTGTTTCTTTAAGTCAAAAGAGTAAAAAGTCTTTGACTTTATCAGCAATCATATCTGGTTACACCTTATGCCTGATGATGAACTTTTCTAATATTGGGGCATTGCTGGCCGGAGTGTTGTGTCAACAGCCTAGTAAGCAACATAAAGTGTGATCAGGTTTTCAGATGATAGAGAAGTGCAGTTCAACCCTGACACAATCATTCCTTGGTTTATTTTTACCCAAGAGGGAAAACCCTTTACAGATGTCATCAACTTCTGGTAAGTTTCAGTTTTAAAGCAAAAAGGAAGTTACAAAGTTTTCCCGTAGTCGTGTTTCTTAGGACTCTCAGTTTGACTGTAACATTGAGCTTCAGTTTCACTGCATAAAGTGACGAAACCCTCTTGTTTTTCAGTTTCTGGTGAGTGTTATTTTCACTGTGAAAAGCAAGCAACACAAAGATGATTAACTGTCAATAATAAGTTACTCCAGTGGTTCTCAAGTCCAGTCCTCGAGGCCCACTGTCCTGCATGTTTTGGATGTTTCCCTGCATTATAACGAGCTGATCATTTGAACCAGATAGAGAATAGCATATTAAGTCTGCATTCTGGCTTCCTTGCGCAGTATGAACCTCAAAACGCTGCATGTTTATATGCACAAAAGGTGCAATGTAAACAATTTTGAGTCTGTTTCGAGACGAGTTCAGAGGCTTCACTACTGCAAACCAGTTTAGGTGAGTCTCAGTTTTTCAGTTTGCCAAAGTAACAACATCATCAATCAATCAGTCTTTATTTATATAGCACTTTTCATACACAGCATGTAGCACAAAGTGCTCTACACAGAAAAAGGCATAAAAGAAAAAAAGAATACCCAAATCTACCTCAGCCCGACCCCTTATTCCCACCCCACGATCTAATTGCAACAGAAACAGAATTAAAATGCATACACTTAAAAAGGGCTTGAATTCGTCATTTTAGAACTCAAGATAAGGAAACACTGGAGGTTTAGGTTAAAATCTAAAAACAAATTAACATAGGATGAAATTTAAGAAATGATAATTAAAATGAAATAAAAACAACAGTAAAAGATACTAAAATAAGAGCACCAAAATAGCTCAATAAAAGACGATCCTGTGATTAAAACTAGAATAGATATAGAAATAGAAAACACTTAAACAAAGTCAATGATATAAAATTTAGTTAAAAGCAAGACTAAAAAGGTATGTTTTCAGTTTACTTTTAAAATCATTAAGATTAGGTGCAGTCCTTGGGTCTTCAGGTAAGCTGTTCCATAGACGGGGGGCCACAATAATAAAAAGATGCCTCACCGTATGTCTTGGTTTTAACTTTAGGTATTGTTAACAGAGAACCCTCTGAAGACCTGAGGACTCGACCCGGCTCATAAGGTAAAAGAAGATCAGATAGATAAGAAGGGCCAAAACCATGAAAAGCTCTAAAAACCAATAAAACAAACTTAAAATCCCTTCTAAAAGAGACGTGTAGCCAATGCAGAGACCTTAAAATCTGTGTAATATGATCTCTCTTGTGCAGCTGAATTTTGTCATAATTGCAGGTGTGAAATGTTGTTTTTGGGGAGAGCAGAAAGGAGAGCATTACAATAATCTATTCTACAAGTGATAAAAACATAAATTAATGTCTCTGCATTAGCTTTTATACGTGATAAAATGCCTTCTTGATGATATCTCATTTGTGAGGCTCAAAGCTCAATTCTGAATCAAATAAAACTCCTACATTTTTGGATTATAGGATAATGCTTTGAGTTTTCTGACCAGTTTCTCTCTCTTGTCCCCTGTCCCAGTGACTAAAACCTGAGTTTTGTCCTGGTTGAGCTGTAAAAACTTCTCTGCCATCCATGATTTAATGTCTAAAATGCAGTTAAAAAGGGCATAGAGTGGCCCTGTGTCATCAGGAGACACGGCGACATACAGTTGTGTGTCGTCAGCATAGCTGTGGAAATTGATGCCTTGCCTCCTGATGACATTCACTAAGGTAACATACAAAGATTAAAAAGGGCCTAAAGGGCCTAAAATGGAACCTTGGGGAACACCATACATATGAGTGATCCCCAAGGTTCACGTAAAATTGTCTATCACTAAGAGAAGATTTAAACCAGTTAAAAACAGTGCCAGAGATGCCATAAAATTACAGAGTCTATCTAAAAGAATTTTGTGGTCGACTGTATCAAAATCATGGTGCAGATTAGTCCAAAGTCCAAAGTTATAAGCACCGAGACTTGCATTAAAAATCACACATATTAGCTTGGACTGAGTTTGTGAATGGGATACAGGTGGACTATTCTGATGTTGCAGTGTCAGGTCTCTCTTTGTCCTGCAGGTGGAGCTGCTAAGCTGCTTAAACATCACTGAGAGTGACCAATTCTCATTCAGAAGAGGAGATGTTCATTCAGAGTCTGCAGAGTCTCATTCAGACAAAAAATGAACACCATTCACTCCCTCTGACTCCAGCTGCTCTGAAACATCTCGACAGACAGTGACACCTTTATAAGTCTATAAGTCAGGTGTGGTGCCCCTTCAAAATAAAAGCCCACATGATGCCATTGAAAGTGGTTGATGTGTTTGATTAAGACAAATCAGACAATCAGACTTTCTGCACTTTTGCTTAAACCCTGAAAACAGAAAAATCACATCTTCATCTCTTCTCTCCTACTCTGCCTCCCCCTCTCTTCCCCCTCTGCCTCTCTCTTCGTCCTCCTTCCCCTCTTCAGCTCACGTGCAGCTGCTATTTTTAGATCACAGAGGTTTAATTTTAGCTCTCTCTCTCTCTCTGTTTGTGTGTGTGTGTGTGTATGCGCGTGTGTGCGTGCAGCACGTGTCGTCCTCTGTATGCAGCATGCAGCCAAAGGACATCAGCCGAGTGTGTGAGCCTGTGTGGGTGTGAAGACAGCAGGGTGTGTGTGTGTGTGTGTGTGTGTGCATATGGTGATATGTGTTTATGCAAATGAGCGGTCACATATGTGCACACACACAGACTTCACAAAGGATGCTGTCTATAAAGAGAACGGTAAGTGCGTGTGTGTTTTTGAACCTGTAAATCAAACATATTGTGTGATGGAGTGTGACAGCTGCCTGCAGTAGGAGTATGCATGAACGTGTGTGCGTGTCTGTGAGCATATATGTGTGTCTGCACGTGTATGCTAATATAACCCAGGCCCTTCTCCTCCTCCTCCTCTTGCAGCCTCTCTCATCCTGATGTTTTATTTTTTGGCTCTGGTTCTAAATTTATCATCTCTGAGTATTTATAGCCCCACGCTGCCAGTGCTGCTCCTGCTGTACAGTAATACTTATGTGTGTGCGTGTGCGTTTGCGCGTGAGTGTGTGTAAGGCGGAGATTGTGAGCTTTTCTGTGCATTAAGCGTAAAACCGAGTCCTACTTTTGACAGTGATAAACCCACAACTTAAACTGTGGTGAACATGTTCTAACATCACTCTGGTTTCTGTGGTTGCATGTGTTAAAGTGAACAAATAAATATCATCTACTTGGGTTAGGGGTCAGGTGTATCCATGTGAAACTACATGTTTTAAAAGTGCCGAGCAGAGGTTGAATCATCCATGTCAACAAGCTGCAATCATGGGCGCTCCTCTGGTGCTGATGTGACCTAAAATGTATCGCTGGGTATTGACAAGGACACCAGTCAATGCAGTGATCAGAGATTTTAGCCTCAGAGTTCATTAGGTGAGTCAGGGGGTTTAGTTTGTGATCTGAATTCGAACACACACAGGGTTTGTTTAAAGGCCTTTTTAGTTTAGAATTAAGTGAAACGACCTGGAAGTCTTTGAAAGTCAGCCAAGAGAGCTGTTTAAATCCTCCTACTGATAATAAAAGGAGCTTCATTCATTGCTTACTTTATTACTTCCTTTAAGAAAGGATACACTAGACCAGTGGTCCACTGTCCTGCATGTTTTGGATGTTTCCCTGCTCCAACACACCTGATTCAAATGATCAGCTCGTTAGTAAGCCATTACAGAGCTTGATAACGAGCTGATCATTTGAATCAGGTGTGTTGGAGCAGGGAAACATACAAAACATGCGGGCCAACTACAACTACATATAATCAATAAATACATGTCTGTGGCATCAGAGCGTCTTTATTTAGTTTATTTGTCATTATTTGGCTGATAGACGGACACAGAAGAAGAACCAAGTGAAAATATAAAAGTCTTTTTTAGCCTGTAGGGTTAAAAGTAACTTTATAAAACAGGATTTGCTTTCACAGCGTGGACACAGTGAATTAAGAGATTTTATGTGTCTGCGAGACTCAACACCGTCAAAACATGCCATGCTTTTTGTAGTCCAACTGTGGCAGATTGTAGTTTTTCCATAGCAGAGTCAGAAATATTAGCATTTGCTTGGTTGGATTCACCAAATGCCGTGTCAAACTCTTAAAGTACACCGGTCTTTAACCGTGTGACGTTCTCAGCAGTGGGGGGTTAAGGAATTGGGAATTGTTAATTATACCCAAAGTGTCTCTCCATGAACACCTAGGCCTGTTAGGTCAAGCTTAGAGGTGCAGTGTAATCTCCCTCCTGTTCGCTGTAGCTCTCTAACAATGTTCTGCAAAGACAGCTGCACTGATAGGATCAGGCTTACCTCAGCAACTAAGGTGGTTCCACAGCGTCTCTCATTTATCTGACCTTGTTTATGAGACAGTGTCTCCAATGCTTGGGCACACACTTCGCTGTCAACCATCACTTCTAGGTAATGCATGAATAATGTGTTAGTATTACAGCCATATATGGTGAATAAATGCCTACACTAGAGAAACGGTCCGACTGCACTGTGGTCTGCACTGTGCTTGTGCAGTAAAATCGTTTAAATCACATCTTCACAATCACAACAACTCACTTTTTTAGACTTGCTTTTACATGATGCATGATTTAATTATTTCTCTTATTGCCTGCTAACTTAATATTTTTTTAGTCCTGTTTTTAACATTTTCTCATGTTTTAATATACTCCCTCCCTTTTCATTATTACCCTTATTTTACCTTATCTTAATTTATTATCTATGTATTTATTTCTCTTACTCTTTTATCTGTCCTCTATCCACCTTCTTCTTTTTCACCTTCATGATGAGATGCCTTCAACTACCAACCGCCAATCTTTAACTGTCCATTTTCTAACTGTCAATTTTCCATTGTCTGTTTCTGCCTCAGTTTGCTTCTTCTGTTAAAGCACTTTGTAAATATCTGGGGTCCGTTTCACGTAGGTGGTTCAACAAACTCTGAGTTAAATCCTTAACTCTGAGTTGATCTACTCTGAGTTAGGAAACTCTGAGTTTCCGGTTTCACAACACCTGATTTGAGACGGTTTTAACAACTCCGAGTAGTTTGACCTGGAGTTAAGCACGTGCACGCCAGACATAAACAGCCAGCATCTGTGGAGCGCAGATTCAATGATCAACCAATGGAAACAGGGAGAAGGAGGGGGCAGCAGCAAGCCAACAGCGAATTACAGCACGTTTTTAAAAGAAAGCGCAATACAGCAGCAGCTGCAAAGGAGAGGGAGAGGGCTTGGGAGGAAATCGCTGCTCGCGTCAATGCGTAACTTTAAATCTAGTCTCGTGCAATCACAATGACAGACTGTTGCAGGGAAACTGCTTGAATCATTTTGATCATGTTTTACATTGTCAAGTAAGTATTAAGTGGCAGTTTGATCCCTTAAAAATGCTCTTTTCACACTCAAAAATGAATTTTACTCTCTTATGATGTTCCGTTAAATGATTAGGAATATTAAACTAACTCTCAGTATGTATATGTACATATATTAAACTAACACACACTACACTCAATATTAGACTTTCACTCAGCGAACAGAAAGAGGGCAGATGCCAGAAAAACGGGTGGTGGCCCACTTTACTTTAATATTCCTAATCATTTAACGGAACATAACAAGAGAGTAAAATTCAGTTTTGAGTGTGAAAAGAGCATTTTTTAAGGGATCAAACTGCCACTTAATCCTTACTTGACAATGTAAAACATGATCAAAATGAGAAAATGCCGATGTCTCACCTGAAACTCTGGGTTTACTGAGTTAAACCTGCTCCCGAGCAGGTTAGGTTCACGGAGTCTGTTACTGTGGTAACTGACCGCGAGGTTGAGTTACCTCTCTTCGTGAAACAGGTTAGAGTTACCCCTCTCTCCCTGGTTTAACTAACCCTCCTTTGTGAAACGGAAAACTCAGAGTTTCCCTGATTTCAGGGTTAACAAACTCGGAGTTTCCACTAAACCTGCTACGTGAAACGGACCCCTGTTCATAAAGGTGCTAGATAAATAAAGTTGTTGCTATTATTATTATTATTATTATTATTATTATTATTATTATTATTGTTATTATTGTTATTATTATTATTGTTATTATTATTATTACTGTTTTCAATGTCCGAGAATTTACCTCAAAAGAGGATAAACTATATACAGACACGATTATGTTTCTGCAAGACCTGACCTCCCTTTTTCTGGCTTCATGAGTTATTATTAGGGCCTGACCGATTTATCAATGAGCCGATTAAATCGGCCAGTTTTAGCCCATTTGAGACTAATCGGTAATCAGCCAAAACTTGCCAATTTTCTGCGATATTTTCAGAAATAAAATGCGGAGAATAAGATTCGGTTTCACTTCGATAATGTTCCGCCATTTGAAAAGTTCCCAGACTTATCCTGTAGATGGCGCAGCGACCTAGTGACAATCTTCATCCACTAACTACCTCACAGCACAGCAAAGTGAAGATCTGAAGCAGGCAGCTCAGGGACGCATGGAGGAGAGTGGTCCACCTCAACGGTAAATAAACTAGTCCGTGAAATACACAATAAGTCAACGAGTTATTAGCCTTGCTACACTGTTAGCCGTGCCAGTAATGGTAGAATAAACAACGGTACACGTATACGTGATCAAGCTACTTCTCTTATTGAAGCAGCTGCATGTCTCCAGATGAGACCAGACCAGAAATGAGTAACGTGATTTAAGACGCGGAGGCACCGATCGAGGGGCGGGTATTTGAAAATGCTTTTCTGGTCCCAGTTTGATCAGTCGGTCTTCCTGTCGGCGTGAAGAGCAGTAGCCTACAGTATATCTACAGTTGATAGTATACTCTAGATATGTACAGTTTTTCTTTTTTACAACTTCATAAAAATTCTGAAAAATAGGCCGATCAATCGGTAATCGGATATTTTTTTACCCCTAATAATTGGCCCCAAAAAATCGGTTGGGCCATAGATATTATACACAGCATATTATGTCAGACTTCACTAGTATGCTGACTGCATACTAGTGAAGTCTGACATTCACCAAGTCATGCAATCTTGAACTAAAACTATTAACTAGTAAAAGGCCAACATATTTAAAGACACATGCATGATTTTAACTCAACATCCACATCATTAAGTCATCACCCCAGAGTCAACTTTGATAAATAACACCACAAACTAGATCTGAAACAGCAGACACTGGTAAGTGAAAAAGTTTTGGATAAAGCATGATCACTTCTTACATGAAAATAGGCTCATAACCATGGGGCGCAGACAAACAGAAAGGGTATGAATTTCGTAATTACATGATCAATTACCAAGTGACCTTATTTGTTTCAGTTAAATTTGGTAAAAACTTGGTGTGAAACTTCATTTTCGTTCAGCAGAAATTCATCATTTTTCACTCAGAACTCTAAACTAGCCATCCATCACTTCAGGAAAAGGTTTCGGGAGTGGAAGTTATAAAACTTTGTTAGTAAAAATGAAGGTAATTAGAGGATGTGTTTCAAAAAGTGAGTAGTATGTGTTTGCACAGGTAAACAACCATCCCTGTCACAGTCCTGAGGAAGCTACGGAAGACATTTTTTTTTTCTTTTTAAACTTTTGGGCAGAGAATTGGATCCTTGACGACTGTTGGGATATGAAGGCATGTCTTAACTCAGTGGTTCTCAAGTCCAGTCCTGGAGGCCCACTGTCCTGCATGTTTTGGATGTTTCCCTGCTCCAACACACCTGATTCAAATGATCAGCTCGTTATTAAACCAACAGAGCTTGATAACGAGCTGATCATTTGAATCAGATGTGTTGGAGCAGGGAAACATCCAAAACATGCAGGACAGTGGGCCTCCAGGACTGGACTTGATATCTATTCTGGTATCTATTTCCTTTTGATTAGAGCTGCTGTTTAAATTGAAAGCCTGCCTATAAAATTATGTCTAAAAATCACAAATCCTACAGTCTAAAGTGAAGTGCACAAAGAACAGTCATGACACATAAATGGATGTAATATTTGCTAACTGAATGTGCCTGATCCTCGGATATTTCTCTGTGATTTCTGCTCTAATTAGTTTTACTCAGGGTGAAATGTGCCGCAGTAATCTGCAGAATAATCTGGTCATTCATGTGAAAAACACAGCTGAGATTGTCTGAGTGAAACTCTAAGTGTCGGCTTCGTGGCAGCTCTTCAACGACCACAGATGGCCCATCTTTTTAAGTGTGAACCATCAGAGTCCGAGTGTGAACAATCAAAGAGTCCAAGTGTGACCCATCAGAAAGACTGAGTGTTTCACCAGTGTCATATGAACTGTCACTGATATCCGCTCTGCTCTACAGCTGCTGCTCTCCCCGCCTCCACCCCAGCTCCTCCTTTTTATTCTGTGTCTGATTAAATTAGTATCATTTGGACTGTTACTGATACTGCTCTGGTTAGGTTTGTTTCTCCCTGCCTTGAATTTGCATGTACGCACATAAAGATAAGAGAACTGTGCTCTCCCTGCCGCAGGCTCGGCATTTCATGAAAAGGCAGGAAGCTCTGAGAATGGAGCCATTTCACCAAATAGAACTTCTGCATGCAAGTCATTTATTCTTTGAACCAAAGTGTTGCAGACTGAATTCTGAAGAAAAGATTTAAAGCGCCCTTGTTTGCCATGACTCTGAGCCTGAATTGTGTAACCACACAATCCACAAATGGCCGTCTGTCTAGACAGCATTGAAATAACATCTTTCTGTAAACTGGGTTTCACTTTCTTCTGCAAAGTTACTTCAAAAAAAAAAAAAAAAAAAAAAGCTGTCAATGGGGCTGCACGATTTTGGCCAAAAATAAAATCCTGATTTTTTTCTCTGACACCCCGACTTTAAATTTTTTTATTCAGTGACTTCACCAAACTTCACTTTTATAAGTTTTACGTCATCTCTCAAAACGAAACCACTGAAAACGATGTAGTGCTTATCCCAAGCCATTACGTGGCGCTGTAACGCTGCAGACGAAATGCACCAAAGACAGAAGAAGAGTACAGAGCATGTGTATAAAGTTTGTTTTGGGCGGACACGTGCAGGCGCCATAAAGAGATACGCGGAAATGCTGTTTCCATGCGGATGAAATGCTGATATGACAAAAAACTTTTGCGTTTACTCCTGAATTAGTTCGCATGTGGACGGGCTGATACCGCCTTTAGATAGACTTTGCAGCCGGAAGTGGTTTGCTCTTCATCCGAAACTGTGAAGTCCTACCAGTTCCACATAACTGACCTGCTCCTTCCCTATTTAGCCACAAAATTATCGCCTTCTTTTGCAAACGCCATGTTTGTTTACACTGGTGTGTGTGGAAACTGGGGGGCGCTGCAGCAGGAAGGGGGAGCCTACGGTGGCCTGGAGGCGCGAGACATAAGGGAGAGGAAAATCAATTTGACGATTTTAATTTTCAATATCATTTTAACGTCATGATCAAGTAATCTGCGAAAATCGATTAATCGCGCAGCCCTAGCCGCCACAATCATCTCCTCTTCTATGTTCCCATAATTTCACAAAAATTTTTAACAAAATTCCAAACCAGGTTAGTACTTGCTGGGAATCATCTGTGATCTGTTTAACCTGGATCTGGTCAGAATGGACCCCGGATGTTACCTAGAAGGTGTCTCGCAGGTTATTCTTACCTGGTGTGTGTCTCTCAGGTTGTAGGTGAGGTCATGCTGGATCTCTGAGATAAACTTGTGGGTGTAGTCTGGGTACAGGCTCAGGACCTCCCTCAGTCCTCTCAGACCGATGAACTGAAGGTCACAGTATGTTAGCGCCTTCACACATGCGTTTGTCTTTATCACTTCCTCTTGGGTCAGACAGTCACAGCCAATCAGATCACCCCGACCTGAAAACATGAGCACATCTGTTGGCATGACTTCATCCAGCTTCTTGTTGTTTTCAGTTTGTTCTGTTTGGGGTAAACAGGAGGATTCTCAGCTGCTCCTCCCTCCATCTGTCCTCTGATGGACTGTCACTGTTCACTGGGACTCATCAGGATGAAACTTTTAGGATTTTTCTGTTCTCTGATGGTCTCCATAATGCTGCTCTTCATTAATCACTGGATGTATAATTATGTCCTTTGTGCGTGCAGCTCTCTCCCATATTCTGCTCACTGTGATTACAACCATTCTGTACATTTTAACCACAAGAAAACTGCTGTAACCTTTACTCTTTCTGATTTACTTCTAACCGTAACTAGCTAATTAGGCTATTTCAATTTAATTTTTTTGAAAATCACATTAGGTCTCATTCAGATGTGTTGAATGAATTTTAAACCCAAAGTTTTAATCAGTCACAAACCTCTACCTGAACCTTTTAGACCTGATTCGTTCAAGTGGCGGAGGTGTCTACTTTTAATTGCTTTTTTGATTTAAGGTTTTAGTTCATCTCTTTAATTAAAGCTCTTTGTTTTAAAGCTAAATTGTTTTTCCTTTTCGAATAACTGACTGGAACCCAATTAAAGATCAGTATCCCCACAATCCCTAAAGCGCAAACCACACCAAGCTCACCTGTCCTGTGATGTGGTTAAAGCAGTCTCCTGTTGGCCTACACTCACACTACTCCAGGCCAGACTGGAACCCAGGACAGAAACCTCTTGAACAGTCGTTGTCACGCCGTTATTCAACACACATAAAGTCATCACTCAGAAACAATGGCCAGAAATTAGATTTTTCCCAATGATGTCAGTGTTCCTATACAAATGAAGGTCCAGAGAGATGGATAGATGTCGGGATGGATGGATCGGGATAGAAACACAGATGGATAATGTGTGGGACAGATGGATGGCTGGCTGGATGGATGGATGGATTTGGTCTGTTGGGCAAAAAGAAGTAAAGAGGGTGATTATTCATGGAGGGATAAATGGTAGGATGCCTAAAAAGATGTACCAGTGGAAGGATGGATGAATGGCTCATCTGATGGAGGGATGGATGTAAAGTAAGTTGCGGTTGGATGGATGGATGGATGGATGGATGGATGAGTGGATAGTCTGATGGATAAATGAATGGTTGGATGGAGAGATGGGTGGCTGGACATTGGAGTGATGTGTAGATAGATTGGTAAGTGATGGAGGGATCCCACTTTAAGAATTGTAATGCAGTATTATCAATAAACTGTATATATCATGGACAACTTGGTTCTCCATTTTTGAAATGGAGCTGCACAGAAAAGAGGGACTTTAGCACAAACCAGTCTTAAGGTCTTTCTGACAATGGGACCGTTTTTTTACGTGCAACTTTTTCGGACATCAATATTTTCTTCGAACCCGTATCCTGTCAATACAAGTGTTCACATCAGCGACGTTTTCCCGTTCTGCGATATTGCGGCATTTATTTTTTCAGATCAAGGTTGATTTTTCTAAAGTTTCGCATACTGTGTGTTCACTTCTGACCAATCAGATTGTGTGTTGTTGCGACGTCAGATTCACCGGTATATCCAACATGGCCGACTGGCTGATTGTTCACGTGTCGGAGCACAGAGTGATTTTTGATAAAAAACGACCTGAAGGACAACTTGTGGAAAGTCATAGCGTTGGATCTCTCATATGACGATGGTTTGTGTGCTTTAACAGTTTGATAAACGCCTCTGTTTTAACTTTCATCTGTGCTAAGTAACTTTAGCTGGTAAGCTAACCTGTTCAGATACAACATACCATATGTATTTTCACTTTCTCAAACTCAATTGCGTTGCTGTCACAGCACCATGAGGTCTCGGTTGTTACTTTACGTTTATAGATTATAGTTTAATGTGCTTATCTGGTACTGGCCCCGACTCAGTACATGCTATCATGACAGACAGACATCTCAACACTAGTGTCTAATCAGAACTGAAAAACAGTCAGTCTGTTGTTGTGTCAGTCTTCTCGCTTCCACCCGGGACGCGACTTTTTTTCTTGATGTGTATAGTCAGGTGCATCAACCTATGACCTATACTGCAGCCCGTCACCAGAGGGTGCTGTTCCCACGGTGGCTTCACCAAGCAAAGAGGCAGACGGCGTCCATTTCATATACAGTCTATGGTATTATCTGAAGCATTGGAGTCTTGTATCAGGGGAATGGAGCTGTCTGTGGCGCTGAACCTTAGAGCTACTTTCTCTCAGGCTGTGTAGCGACCAACTCTATTATGTTTTTATGCTTTTTGAAATAACAGGATATCAGTCAGAGTCAGGGTACCAATATGTTCCATCACTCTGACGTTTCATTGCAGTTGTTATTGTATAGCTGTTAAATCTTTTCATTTCAGTTCCATTAAAGCAAACCTGTAAGGCTTAACTCCACATTGAAGCCAGGAGGATTATATCCAGTCACAGATTTATAAAGTAAAGGGTCATAGTTACCAAGGATGGCGAGCACAGTATTGTCCTTCAACACTTCCATGGAGCCCGAGCAGACAAAGTAAATGGCCTGCAGCGCATCTCCCTGTCGGATGAGGAACTCCCCAGGAGCGCAGAAGGAGGTCCTGATGATGAGCGAGAGGGAGCGCAGACACCCCCTACTGGCCGACTCAAAGAGCGGCAGCTGCAGCAGCTCTTGGTTCAGGTGCATCGCGATGTCGGCACGCAGCTCATCAGGAAAGTCCTTCAGCAGCTGGAGGAAGAGGAGGAGGAGGAGGAGGAGGGGGAAGAAAAGGACAAGGAGCCAGAAAGATCAAGAGGAGGATGTTAATAAAGGAGAACGGTGGAGCAGGGAGGATGGGGGAGGGAGATAATGGGAAGATGAGGAGGAGGAGAAGGATGGCGGAAGGACGAGGAAGAAAGTAGATGCAGAGAGTAAGAGGACAAGAGGGTAGAAAGAAAAATAGAAAAGGAGGAAAAGAAAGAAGGGGGAAGCAAACTGAAAAAGAAGGAAGAAAGAGAAGGCGAAAGAAGAGTTGAAGAAAAGTTAAAAAATAAGAAGAGGAGATAAAAGACAAAGAAAACAGGCTGACACAGAAAGAAGAGTTTTTTTGAAGAGTGGGAAAATTTGAAGAAAAGGAATAAAGAATGAAGAGGAGAAACAACAATGTCAGAAGGAAGGAGAGAATAGAAGAGGAAAAGAGGCGGAGAGAGGAAGAAAAGGAAAAGAGATAGCAGGTGGAAGAGGAAGGACAAAGAAGGACAAAGAGGAGGAATAGAAGATAGCAGCAGAGGGGGATGGGAGAAGGCGAGGAAGAAAGAGAAGGAGAAAGAACAGGAAAAGAAAAGGAGGTATTTAGGGTGAGGTGGGAAGAAAGAGGAGGGAGAACAATAAGTAAATCAAGGAGCAGGAGGTGGACAGTGAAGAAGATGAGGAAGTGACAGTGAGAGAGGAGGAAAAAGAATGACAGGACGAAAAGAGAGAGGATGAGGTGCAATATGAACGAAACAAAAGAAAAAGAAAGATAAAAAGAGGAGGAAGGAAAGAGCTCAGTGGGTAACCACAGCGTGAGAGAATGACCTTTAGTAACCCTGTTCAGGGTGACTGATATCCAGCTCTGAGTAACCACAGTCTATCCGAGGGTGATCAGTTTCTAATTGATTTATCCTCCTCTAAATAAGGAGCAGAGACACTTTAGTGATCCAACACATGAACCTCTCTGACACTGATCTGATCTCACTCCAGACTTCTCTCTGTCCTCCATCTTTCGTGTGTGGTCATGTGACTGACAGTGTGGGAAGGTGAGCTCACAGACAAATGAAACCTTTCACCTCCCACATAAACTGAGACATCATGCATGACCAGAAAACACCTTCTGTGAGGATCTTTGTCTCTACACTCAGACTCGAACCTCGTCTCGTGAAATGAAGCTTAACGATCAATCTGAGCACTTGGAGGACCAAATATCTCTCAGCCTGGACTATGTCAACCATCTGCACAAACCTACAGACTTTACAAACAAGAGGTAAAAATCCCAATCTGATGTCTCACAGGAGCAGAGAGAGGCCTGTTCCAAAGCTAAAGTTGACAAGTTTCCAGAGTTAGAGGTTAAACTGACCGTTTCACCCTCTAAATTTCACAGACAGGCACAGAAGGTCTCCCCTTCGTACCTCGCTGACGTCGATGCCGTTGTTCACGGCCCAGGTGGTTTGGAAACACTCCATCATGCGTTGCTCGAGGGCTTTGGGCAGCCGGTGAACTCTGATGAAGTCCTTCAGGTCTTTGGTTCGAGTGTGATAGAGCGAGCGGCGGGAGTACATCCTCTGAATGATGGCGGTCACGTTCCCGAACACCACAGCGTGCATCAGGGCTGCAGAGGGACAAAGAGAGGGGTGGAGAGAAGTGTCAGTTTGTAGCAGTAAAAGTCTGACGGTCAAATTTGGAGGAAAACTGAGGTTATGATCAAATCTGTAGAGGAGACTCCAGGGACAGCAGATTTCTGACATTAGAACAGCTCTGTTTGGTTGTTTCTGTATCTGCTTTCTAAATGATCCTGGTTTAACCAAACTAATCTGTTTTAACTCCATATTTCTGCAGTATTTTTTCATCAGACTCAACTTGTTTGCCAACGATGTGCTACTGTGGCTTTAAGAAAGACAATACCTAACAGTGCTGCCATCTACTTGAAATAAACAAACATTATAGGTTTGAGCTGAGCTTATTTTTGGCTGTAGTTTCTTAACTGGAGAAAAAACATGTTTTGTTCACCTGTACTCTCTCTAATGTCCAGTAGGGGGTGACTCTCACTGTAAAAAGTATGTGTAAGAACCGATATTGACCAGAAATGCTTATTTTTGTATCCAGGTTGTAAACATGTTCAGGTCTGTGGTAAAGCTCTTGGCATTTCAACGATTTTTCTCTGTTCCCTAAAACCAACATTGCACAGTAGCATCGTACACGCGTCACTACTTGCGCAGCAGGATTGTATGCATTCAGCGGGAGATTCTCTGAGAGTCACTGTGATGACGCTTGGCTCAAACAGTGTATCCCACTGGTGAGTGATGCAATCTTCGTACGCCCATAGGCTGTATCAAGTGTCAATCATAGAAAGCATGAACCCCCTAATAACTTTTAAAAATGGAGCTGCACAGAAAAAAAGGACTTGAGCACAAATTAGTCGCACAGTAACTTCATGTCAACATCGCAACGAGGTGGGAAAAAAATATATTTTCTGTGTAATAAAATTTCAAACGTTTGTCCAGAACTCCATAGGGATTGCTGGAGGAGGCGGGATTTATGAGCTTTACTGCAGCCTGTCACCAGAGCTGTTCTCAGAGTGGCTTCACCCAGCGAGGAGGCAGACGGCGTCCATTCTATATACAGTCTACGGGATTGACTCACTTTTGGACAAAGCCTCAAGTGGACACTCCAGGAACTACAGTTTTATCCCACTTTAAGGTCCTTTGACACTGGGAAAATTTTTGTCATGCGATTATTTTTGACGTCAACACTTTTTTCTAACCCGTATCCTGTCAATACAAGCATTCACATCAGCGATGTTTTCCCATCATGCGATATTGCGGCATTTATTTTTTTCGGATCGTGGCCAATTTTTCTAAAGTTTCGCATACTGTGTGTCCACTTCTGACCAATCAGATTGTGTGTTGTTGCGGCGTTAGATTCACCAGTATTTCCAACATGATCGACCGTCTGGTTGTTTACGTGTCGGAGAACAGAGTGCTTTTTAAAAAGGGACACAAATATTACAAAGAGAATGAGGACAACTTGTGGAGAGTCATGGCGTCGGATTTCTCATATGACGATAGTTGGTGTGCTTTAACAGTTTGCTAAACGTCTTTGTTTTAACTTTCATCTGTGCTACCCTAAGCTAACGGTTGTCTTATCTTATCTTGTCGCCTCTGATTGGCTATAAGTGCTGACCGTTTAACTTTAGCGTGTGATGACATTTCCAGCTTTTCTAGCCAATCAGAGGCAAAGGAGGCGGGACTTTCCCTGGGAAAAGTCTTCTCCGGTATGCATCTTTTACCCCCGGAAAGTCGCAAAAATCGCAACGGGCTTGATGTGTATAGTCAGGCTCGTCAAAATTCTCCCCCAAATATTTCGTAATTTCGCGTTCTATATTCGCGTCGGCCCCGGTGTGTAAGGACCTTTAGTCTGGGCCACTTTAACCAAACAAAATAAATATTTCTAAGCAAATAGGTATTTGCTTACCAAGCCAGTGGTATGGTCCATTTGTATAAAGAATGACACAACCTTAGGTGGGGAGAGCACACTGTCTTTCTGTTTTATATGCATGCATAAAAAGCCAGGGCAGGGACAGCAGCAAAGACACAGAGGTACAAAGCAGAGCAGCATCAGTAATGAACCATATGACCTTGGTAAATTCAGACACAGCATAAAAGGTGGCGCCTGGGGTAGGGGCGGGGAGAAGAACGGCAGAGCTGTTTGCAGAGGAAGAAGGAAGAGTGTGCATGCTTAAGATGTTTAAATAGGCCTGGGCGGTTTGGCCAAAAAGATCACGATATATTTTGTCATATCGTCCGATCTCGATTATTATCCCAAAGTCATGGCTGACATCCATTTTACTGCCCTCAGCTCCACGTTCAGTTACTCTGTTTACTTGTCCGGCAACGTACAGAAGTGAGCAGTAAAAGCTCGACTCTGATTGGCTGTTGTGACGCACATTTTCGCCATGTTTGTTCGAGTAAATATGCACACAGCTGATCACCGTGATCAAACTGAAATTTATCCTGATCATATAATCACCCAGTCCTATGTTTAAATATTGTGCACGTTTTCATGGTTGACAATTTGATGGTAGAAGGTAATCTGTGGGCGGAGCTCGACTACATGCCTGCCTGAACTAACACTTCATTGTTGTATTTGCCTTGTTTTTCTACATCTGATGGCATCATTTGGTAGAGACCAACCTCCAATGAGCATGGTGCAGATGGAGAAGATTTTCTCAGAGTCGGTGTTTGCCGACACATTTCCGAAGCCGACGCTGGTCAGACTGCTCAGAGCGAAGTACAGTGATGTCACATATGAGCTCCTGATGGACGGACCGCCACTCAGAGTTGACCCCGACCCGTTCAGAGTCCTTCCTCTGGTCCTGCTGCTGTTCCACTGAAACCCGGAGACCCCACTCAGGGGTTCTGACCCATTCAGCTGGCTGTGATTGGTTAGTCCTATTGTCATGGGAACCGGAGGCAAATCAGAGACTCCAAACAGGGACGTCAAAGGTGAAAGGAAATACGGCGTGCCCAGACGTTTGGCGAGTTCATGGAGCCAGCCTAAGGAAGAAAAGGGAATACGTTTGGAGGAGCAAACACACACCTGATGAACGGTCACACTTTTATCCTGGTTCTGGGGCTACAGACTTAAACTAAACTTTCTGTCTTATGGAGGTCATATTTCTACACACCAATATCCCAAGAGGCGGGGCTATTTCTCTCAATCTCGCTGCGTCCAATGAAGTACCAGACACACGCCATCCAGTGAGCCAGCAGGGCAAAGGTGGACATGAGCAGGGTGAGGACCACGGCGCTATACTGAGAGTACCGGTCCAGCTTCTGCAGAAGACGCAGGAGGCGCAGTAGACGTACTGTTTTCAGGAGGTGCACCCCAAAGTTCTGCAGGAGCAAAGAGAGAGAGAGAGGAGGGGGAGAGAGAGGGAGTCATTTAAAGATGAGAGATATAAAGCTGCAGATCATCGGGATTAGTTCCTTATGAGGAGCTTCAATTTAGGCGTGAATTCAAACCAGATCTCAGGTTTAATCCTGAAAGTTTACCATCAGGAGACAGGAGGCGCGTTAATTAGAAACTACTTGAGCACAGCCGGAGTTTAATCAGCCTGAGTGATGATGGGCTGTGAGACGGCAAACAGGACTAGAAGAAGATGGAGAAGAAGAAGAAGAAGAAGAAGAAGAAGCTCCTCTGTCGTCAAAGTTAGTCTGAGACAAGAAGACATGAAAGCGAGTTTGGTGGCGAGCTTGTGCTAGTGTAGCTGGCATGTTGGAGACAGCGGGAAGCTGAATCCTGATCTCTGGACCGGGTAATTCAGATTATACCGAGATTATAAATTACATGATTTTCAGAGATCTCCACAAGGAGCACCTGAGCCTGATCCCTCCAGACATGATCCGAAGACACCTCACAAAGCAATCACAAAGAAGTGATTGAAGGATTATCCCCAAACTCGGCACACGGCTGGACACAGTGGAGGAGAATGAAAGGCTGATTCATTATTAAAGCTTTAAAGCTCAGACCTCTGAGGAAAATGGACTGCACACCAAAAAAAGAACATGTCCTCACCCTGGCACATCTCTTAATAAATATTGAGTTAAAAAGGAGGGTGCAGTTTGTGACCATAGCCGTCCTGAGACAGTAGGAGTGTGGCATTTACAGTAAAGGAGGCTCTGGAACAGGATCTTCACTGGAATGGTACAATAGGAGATGCAGAGATTATGCAGAGGAATCTTCTTGTGTTTGACTGTCACCCTCATACCTGTGCACCCGTCCAGGTGTGCAGAAGCTTTTGCTCTTCAGATATATTTTTTAGGAAATCTAACTTAAAGGTGGGGTAGGCAGTAATCCATTAAAGTAGCATCTTTTTTTATGGTGTATTTACAAAAAAGCTTTTAATATCAGTCAATAGCTATTAGTTATTGATGACATTTGGTAATATCACAATATCGCTGTGTTTTGTTACGTCTGTTTAGTCAACATTTAAAAATTTCAGAGCGGCCTGCTCTTCTGACTGTAAACAAAGCCGTTCTCCACCTCCTCCAACCTGATTGGTTGTGAGGCGGACGCTGCTCCATATCTTCGAATAATGTTCATGAGCCCAAACAAAGTTAGCGTTCAACAATATCAGACTGTAGAAACAGACCAGAAAGTATATAAAATTGTCTGAATCCTCCTTTAACTACGACTGCCAACACAAGCAAGAAAACAAACTAAATACCGGAGACTCTGGCGGAATAACGGGCGCTTAAAAAGGAGGTAGACCACCCGGTCAAGAGCTAAAATCGTGTTCACACCTAAAGGTCCATTTCCTGATTTGAATCCAAGGCAAGACTATACATTTGTTTTGATTGTTTAACTGGTCCGGTTTGCGTTCACAAAGGACAAACTCAGTCGCTCCAGAAAACGGACCCGGAGGTCACGTGACCGCGAATATCCTTCGGTTATTGGTCATTAGTTTATGTGGGAATACAAACCCCGCTCTGCTGTCTTCGCCTGTCATGGAGCATCGTAGGCTGATTTTGCTTTTGCTACTCATCTGGAGTGGTATCAAAAGACGCTAGTCGATTGCGTGTAAGAACGGCTCGTTAGCCAGTGAGCGCGAACTGCAGCATTAATTAATACATCCCAGAGTAGACGTGCTGCAAACAACAGACGGACAAAGACGAGACGGCGACAGGCATTAATGAAAGCCTAGCACAATGTGTTTTCTTGTCAATCAGGACAAGTGAGGTGAGCGGACAACATTTATTTCACAACCAGCATTACAAATAGCCTAGATGTAGGAAATGACGTGTGTAATGCGTTTCCTGTGATTGGTGTGGATGACCTTCACACCAGAAATGAACCGCTCCAGAGATCACTTGATAGCGGTCTGAGACCACCTCTTCAGGCGGACCAGAGTTCGTTTATTTGGTTCGAGGTCAGCGTTCACACCGACCCAAACGAACCGTTTTGGTTCGACCGGATTAAACGAGGGTGGTGTGAACGCGTCCTATGTATAACCGTTGTGATAAACCTTACTATCTCACGATTGTCTCAAAAATCAATCATTTCTGCAGCACTGTTCGACCTTGTGCAGAAGTATGTTCATGTCAGCTTCTCTTCTTTCTGCTGCGTGTGTGTGATGAGGTAAAACTGTTCTGATGTAAGTGTTTGGTTCAAAAAAAGTTTTGTGAGAAGAGTTCAAATCTCAAGTTTTGTGTTCAGAGTTTAGAGTTACAAGGGAGGAAGATTTAAAGAAATATGTCTCAGCAAGTATGAAAAATGCCAACAGCAGAGGAGAAACTCTGGCCGTCACCTGAAAATGAAGCAGCTATAGTCTCTCACTGAAGATCTACTTTAGCATCCCATGTCATTTCTCATGTTTTTACTTTAATTTCTACACAAACAACAAAAAGCGCCCTCCAAAAAAGTAAGAGGAACTTTATCCCTCCATCATCTTGATCCTTCAGACCCTCACACTTTCCACTGATTTACCTGCCTTCACTTTTAATCCATCATCAGTGAGCTCATTTATCAGATTAACCAGATGAATTACCCGCTAACTGTTGCTTACTTCAATGATGGAGCTACGACAGAAAATAAAGCGAGCAGGATGGAGGATTTTAGGAAAACAGGGAAGATTTAACTTTTCACAGACGTGTGTGTATATATGTGTTCGCTCACCACGCTGATGTTGAAGGCGTACAAGAGGTCAAAGGGCAGAGCAGCCATCAGGTCCACGAACAGCCAGGAAGTGACGTAATGAACGCAGATGGAGCGAGAGTCGTACACCACCTGACCTGATGAGCTCACAAAGGTCGTACGAAAGTTCAACACGATGTCTGAAACATAAACACAAACACAGCAGACACGTCTGTTCACTAAAGGAACCAAATTTGATAGGATGTCTGAGGCACAAAAAATAAATAGTACACATCTAAGCTGCTTTATCCTGCCGACCCACTTCTTCTGCAAATGGCCTTGCTGCTGCTCTCCCCACATTTTTTTATGTGCTTGTTGTGACTGATGTTAGAGTCTTATGGTTTGGCACTGATGCTGCTCTGTTTTGTACCCCTCAGGATCCTTGCTGCTGCTCTCCCTGCCTTGATTTTTCATGAAAGCACATGAAACAAGATGGCAGGTGTGCTTTTCCTGCCTCAGGCTTTAGCACTCCACATTTACACGTGGAAGGGCAGGAAGCTCTCAGAATAGAGCCATACTGCTGATTCCCCCTCAGGATCTTTGCTGCTGCTCTCCCCGCCTTGGTTTTTCATCTGTGCACATGAAACAAAGTGGAGATGTGATCTGCCTGCTATAGGTTTCTCCACATTTGCAGTTGCTTTCCCAACAGAACCATCATTACTTCTTGCATGAAAAAAAAATTCTCGACTTAACTGGTTCTAAGTGGCACATATTCAAATAAGAATATAAAATTCATAATAAGAACAAAAAATAAAATAATCTGCATTCACAATAAACCCCTTTCTCCACTGATTCCCACTTTTTTTGTATTGAGTATTAGTGTTTCAAAGATTGATGATTGTTCCTGTTTTTTTTTTCCAAGAGCTGCAGTTGTTCTATCTTCCTATTGGGAGGGCCTGTAAAGATCCTCATACCTGTTTTTTTCTATAACCTGTTACCTGGGCAGTAGCTGTGAGCTCCTCTGAGCTGGAAACTATTAGAAAAACATCAATGCTACTGCAGAAAACTCCAACCCCAGCAACAAATGTGGAGATAAAGATCATGAAGTAACTACTCCTCTCTCAGTAGCATTTGTTTATTAACTCTCAGCAGCTCCAGAAACTACTGACCCTCCAGAGAAAATCACTGCGCTCTCTTTTAAGGATTTACTTTTAAGTTAGGAGGACCTCGTCTGAAATCTGAAGCTGTGATTGAAGGTAAACACACATAAATCAAAGTGATAAACCCTGTGGGTTCATCCTCACCCATGATGAAGAGGATCTCCACCAGGATATCACTCACACTGGGAGGGTTTCTAGCCGCAGACCCTCCATCTTCTCTGACCTCCACCGTTGCGAAGCAGACGTTATACGGCACTGTCACTGCCACGTAGAAAGTTGCCAGCAGAATCAGCCAGTCCCAGCCAGCCTTGAACGCGCCGTAGTGAAGCAAGATGAAGCGGGACTTCTGGATGTCGGCCACCTTGTACTCTGGGATTGGGGTTGCATTGGCTCCAAGAACACTCTGTGATAAATAATACTTGAACTGATCAGATATGCTGAGCCTTGCTGCTATTCTCTGAGAGAGATCATAAAAGAAGAGACACTCAACCTCCAAATATGTCTGCAAAACAAAAAGTCCTTTCTTGGCTCATCACATCCCAACAACAGCATCAGTTACTTAAATAGAGGCTCCCTGTTCATTCAGGTTGTTTTGCATTTCACTGTAAAAGGGTCATTCCATGAAATCTGTGCCTTTTGTGTCCCCAAATAGAAATCATTCATAAAATTATAACAACAAATTAATATGTAATTTAAAAATATAACACGGCCATGTCTTCTCTCCTTAATACAACATCAAATTAAAGTCAATTAAATATCATTTAAAATAATTAAAATTACTTTTATGCTGATGAGGGTGAGGTTTTTGGCCTGTCCCTCACTACTATTGCTGTACGTATACAGGACCAATATTTACCAATTTATCGGCGTCCCCTGATTTCATGTCAACCCTGTTACCCTAACTAAAAAACATTCCAGATTTGGCATGATTGACAGGAGGTTGCTCCTCTCTAAACCAGGATGCTAACAGCTCAGTGACAATGAAGTGTCTCTCATCTCTGATGTGCTATTTTTGATGTTTTTTCAAGGTTTAACCAGAGGGGAGAAGCATACAACCTCAACCCTGTTACCACTTTTTAACATATAAACCTAAACTATTTCAGTTTCTCAAAATATAATCAATATCTACAAGTAATTACCTTTCAAACTACCTAGCTTGCACTTAACATAGCACTTTTTTAAGATAGCCGCAGGTAGCTTAGCTTAAAATGGTCAACCCTGTTACCTTTCCACAGTAACAGGATTTGACATGTGAGTCACAGGGATGACAAAGAATAGTGTTTACCCTCGTTGTACTCTCTTTAAAGGTTAACCTTTTAAAATTAAAACATTTTTAGGTCATCACGTGAACATTATTGAGATAATAATTATTTTTTGATTGATTGTTTGATTGATACACTGGTTGAGAGCCAGTTACTTTGTGTCCGGTTACTTTTACTCTTGTCAGCCCTGTTACCATGACGTCAATCCTGTTGTTGTCATTAATTTGATAAAAATGTAAAAAATGACAACTCAAATGGTCTTTTAACACTTACCATTATAATTAAACTTACATTATTTTTTAGACTGGGCCATTTTTCAACATTTCTCTTCTAAAAAATATCTGATATATGTTGAGACATGTGATCGCCATGCAATATTAGTGTATATTTGATCATCTGAATGACAAATATCTAATTGGAGAAAAAAAAATCCACAAAATAAAATAATCTCAATGGAAAGAGAGACTAAAGTACTGCTGATATATGTACCATATATTGCATATTTCTAATTAGAAATATTGTATTTTGTTAAGTTTATGTCGGTAACAGGGTTGACAAGATTATAAAAACAGCCAGGAGAAAAACGGTTATAAAATATGAAATAACACAGCCTGAGATGGCACTATATCATTTCCTGCCATTTTAAACATTTTTTGATTCCTGGGTACTTAAAAATTAACAATTAAATATAATTTAAATTTTATTTTTTTCTAAGCTAAAGAGGCCCCGGTTTCATGGAATGACCCAAATAGTTAGGACAAGTCAAACAGATTTGTGGTGGCTCTCGGATTCACTGTAGATAAGAAAGGGTCCTTATTTCATTTGTTTTCTCATAACTTCCTGTACATTTGTTTGTGGTGAGCCTGAGTTTCATTATCAACAGTTACTTAAACAGAAGTTTCACTCTGTCTTATTTCCAAAGTACAAACCTGAAAAAGAAACTTATTTTCTTGTGGATGGGGCTTATTTTTGCTAAAATATTTACATCTCAGTGATTCTGTTTAGAACAAGAATTGCTCTCACATTGTTAATCTTCAGCTTGCTCTTGCTCTTGTCTTGCCTCTGCAGATGTCCCGACAGCTGGTAAAGGACGGCTCGACTGCGACGGCGCTCTCTGTGAAAGCCCGGAGGACGACTGACTGGGCGGACCTGCAGACCTGTTTCCTCATCTGAAACAGAAAAGTGATAACAGAGACACGAAGAGAGAGAGGAAAAGAATCAAATCTGAATTCTCCTCCGTCATATCCACCCAACTGTCTGCAGACAGATTTACACCCCGACCGCAGAGACTCTTTAGTATTATTTTATGTAAATCAGAAATTATGAATTATCCTCATTCTCACCAGCTCCAGACTCATCGTTGTGGTCCAGGTCTTTGTTCGCTGTGATATCTTTGTGTGAAACCAGGAACAGAACCACTTCGCTCTTCTCGTTCTTGATAGGAACAATATCCAGCAAACACCAGAACCTGGAACCTGGACACAGGAAACACAGATTAAAATCCCACATAGTATATCCTAATACAGAACACAGATTGGCCCAATCCAAGACAAATATAAAGCCCAATTTACACAGACTGTGATCCAAATTCAGAACCAAGTCTACAATAATAATCCAGAACAAATCAAACACAGATTATCATCACAATTCAGATTAAAGATTGTTTCCAATCCATGCAAATATTTAGATCCAATTCAAAGGCATAGAGAAGGACCCTCATCCAGAACAAAGAAGATAATCCCAATCCAGTACACCAAATGTAATCTGAATTTGCAAAACAGATCACAATCTAGTTCCAGAACACACCTGATAATCCACATTCAGAGCCAAGTTATAGTTTTAAGTAAAAGTGGATATTATAATCCCATTTCAGAACACAGAATTTGATTTTAAATCAGAACACAGATTATGCACTCAAACAAAAACAGATTTCAATCTCAATTAAACAACACAGATCACAATCCCAATCTCAAAATACAGTTGTGGCAAAAATTATTAGCCCCCCTATGAAATTGGAAGTTTTTTTCCATAATTTCCAAAGTGCTGTTCAACAGATTAATGATTTTTTTCACACAGCTTTTCCAAACATCCCAGTTTTATTTTGGATCCTTACATTATTTTACTTTGCACACAGAAACAAAACTATTCCACAAAAACCAAAAACTACCACGGTCAAAATTATTAGCCCCCCTGAGGCTGATAGTCAATTGTGTGTCCTTTTTGCAGGATAACAGCATGCAGTCATTTGCTTTTCTTTCAAAATCTTCACATATCCTTTTTTCTTCATTATTCCTTCAACCTTGACAAGATTCCCAGTTCCAGATGCACTGAAATATCCCCACAGCATGATACTCCCACCACCCTCTTTAACTGTTCTTGGGGTTATATGCCCCTCCCTTCTTTTTCCAAACATAAGCAATGTCTCTGTGACTAAAGAGCTCTAGTTTGGTCTCATCTGACCAAAGAACACGTCTCCAGTTTGAACAATCTTTCTCCAGATTGTCCTTAGCAGACCTTAGTCTGGCGTGAAGGTGTCTCTTTTGTAGAAGTGGAGTTTTTCTTGGCCTGCATCCTCGCAGTCCATTTTTGTTCAAGATTCTAGAGACTGTCTTGTTTGACACCACAATTCCTTACTTGGCTAAGTCAGAAACTTCTGTATTGGTGGTTGTTCTTCACCATGTGCACAATTATTAGGCAAGTGAGTATTTTGATCATATCATCATTTTTATGCATATTTTCCAACTCCAAGCTGTATAAACTTGAATGCTTATTGGATATAAGCAGATCAGGTAATGTGTACTAATGTAATGAGGGAGGCTGGGGCCTAAGGAGATCAACATCCTATATCAAGGCGTGCATAATTATTAGGCAGCTTCTTTTCCTCAGGTAAAATGGGCCAAAAAAGAGATTTAAGTGACTCTGAAAAGTCAAAAATTGTAAAAGGTGTTTCAGATGGATGCAGCACTCTTGAAATTGCTTAGATATTTGGGTGTGATCACAGAACCATCAAACATTTGATGCAAATAGTCAACAGGGTCACAAGAACGTGTTAAGAAAAAAAGACGCAAATTAACTGCCAAAGATTTGAGAAGACTCAAACGTAACCATGATTTTTATGCAGGACAATGCTCCACTGCATGAAACAAAGTACTCCACTATGTGGCATGCCAGTAAAGGCCTTTAAAACAAAAGAATAATGACGTGGCCTCCTTCTTCACCTGACCTAAACCCTGTTGAGAACTTGTGAGCCCTTCTTAAACGGGAAATTTACAGTGAAGGAAGACAGTACACCTCTCTGAACAGTGTCTGGAAGGCTTTGGTTGCTGCGACACAAAAAGTTGATCGTCAACAGATCAAGAAACTAAAAAGACTCCATGAATGGAAGGCTTATGACTGTTATTGAAAAGAAGGGTAGTTATATTGGTCACTGATTATTTTTTTTTTAAATTTCAACAATTTTTATTTGTAAATTGAGTTGTTTGTTTATCATTCTCACTTGTTAAAGTGAGATGGAAAATTTTTCATTTTTAATTTAGTTGCATAAAAATTCTGCAAACTAATAGTTGCCCATTAATTGTGCACGGTTTGAGGTTTTATTAACATTTTGGATTGATCGAGAGCACTGTAGTTGTTCAAAAATAAAATTTACTTTAAAAATACAACTTACGTAATAATTGTGCACACAGTGTAGAGGTGAAGCTGCCTTCTTTCTTTTTCTTTCCTCTCTCTTTTTTTGAAACCCTGATTTATGCTTTTTTGGGCAGCCTGATGTCTAACCCCCAGGTCATTCAGTCTGGTCTCACTGACATTACACTTGTCGTCAGTCGCTGTCAGGTGGACTAAACCATAAAGAAAAACATTCGAGGTGCTTTCAGTGACTCAGTTTGATGATTTTAATTTTTTTCACCCACACAATCAAAAACCAACAATTGAAAAGCTCATGACAACATGTTGATCTACCAATGGTGTCAATATAGATGTCTTTACAAACAGACTGATCCAACAGAAGCAGACAGAAATATCCATCAATGACATTCATACAAATATTCAGCAAACAGAGAAAGCACAGATCATTGGAAGTGTTTTTGGGGCGGACTGGAAAGACTTTAGACTGTTGGATTTGGGACAGGAAATAAGATTGTGCTTCTAAAGTCTTAGACCTTCAACATCTTCAACAAATGAAGGTGATTTGAACAAATGATCATCTTGATGTTGTTGTTATCAAACTTTAGTGAAGATTTTTCAAGATGAGAAATACAATGAAAGTTATCCACAATCACTGTCCTTAAAGCTGCGACCAAATCAGCCTCTTTGGAAAAGAATGAAAAAGCTGAAATGAAGAAACAAACTGACAGTTTTTGGTGAGACTGATCCACAAACATTTACAAACCAGAACATTTCAAGAGTTCAATGATCTCATTAACATGTTTTTGGTCTGATTGACTCAAAATTCTCTTTATTTCACTTCAATAAACTCAGCAGAGAATCCATGGTATAACCACAGTCCAGCATGTAGAGGCTGAGTGAATGTGGTCTGGACTCTGTGGAGGAGAGTCATGGTTTCAGAGACGCTGTAGAAGGACAGAATACCTGCTCTGTGATCCAGGTACACTCCTATTCTGGAGGACTGAGGACCTGAGACAGGAGTGCGGACTTTGTTGTGCACAAATTCATACTTGTCTTTATAACAGCCTAACCTCCAAGATTTGTCATTCAGTCCAAATACACAATCATCTGATTCTCCTGCTCTGCTGATAGTCTTGTATGCGACTGCTACAAGAACGCTGTACCCTCTACACTCCACCTCCCAGTAACAACGTCCAGTCAGACTCTCTCTACTCAGGACCTGAAGACAATGAGTGAATCTGTCTGGGTGATCAGGATAAGACTGTTGTTGAGATGAACATGTTGCTCTTCTGTTTCCATCAGATAATAACAGACATCTGTGTGCTGTGTTTGGATCCAGTGTGATTCTCTGTGAATATCTTAAGAAACGAGCTCTGGTCTTGGATTCTGGTTCTGACAGTAAAACATCCACTTCAGTCACTGCCTGTGAGACGTTTGTCCACGTCTCTGTCAGAAGATCCTGGAGTTTATCTCTGACCTCTGACACAGCTGCTGTCACCTCCTCAAAGTATCTCAGAGGACGGATGTTGATCCTGGATGAGTCTGCAGGTTGACCTGGTCCTGACAGTGAGGGGTAGCTGTGCAGAAACTGGTTGTGGTCCTCTGTGAGTGAGAGCTTCTGCAGATCAGCGTCTTTCCTCTTCAGCTCAGTGATCTCCTGCTCCAATTTCTCTTGAAGATCTTTGACTCGACTCACTTCACGTTCCTGCTGGGATCTGACCTGCTGCTCCATGTCAGAGCGGCGTTTCTCCATGAGACGGATCAGCTGGCTGAAGATCTCCTGGCTGTGTTCCACAGCTTTATCAGCAGAGCTGTTGATAGCCTCCACCTCCTGTTGGAGCAGCTTCACATCTTCCTCTCTGTCCTGGATTCTCTGCTGGATGTTTTCTCGACTCTCCTCCAGATCTTTCTGCCTCTCAGCTCTTTCTGCTGCAGCTGAGACTGTGTCATGGCCTTTGTGTTGGTCCCAACAGCAGAGAGAACAGATAGACTGTTGATCAGTGCGGCAAAACATCTTCATCACCTCATCATGACGAGAGCAGATGTTCTCCTGGAGCTTCTTGGAGGGCTCCACCAGCTTGTGTTTCTTAAATGTTGGTGATTCAAAATGAGGCTGGAGGTGAATCTGGCAGTAAGAAGCCAGACATTGCAGACAGGACTTGACAGCTTTCAGTTTTCTCTCACTGCAGAAATCACAGGCCACATCTTCAGGTCCAGCATCAGAGGGATCATCAGGAGCAGCTTGGAGTCCGCTCTTCTTCAGTTCCTCCACTAAACCTGCTAACAGGGTGCTTTTCATCAGGACAGGCCTCGGTGTGAAGGTCTGTCTGCACTGAGGACAGCTGTAGATCTTCTTCTCATCCTCTTTATCCCAGTAGGTTTGAATACAGCTCATGCAGAAGCTGTGTCCACAGGAAACAGTCACCGGATCCTTCAGTAGATCCAAACAGATGGAACAAGAGAAAGATTCACGGTCCAGACCAACTCCTTTCTGCGCCATTTCAACACTCACTGTCAACAACGACTGACTGAGTGAGTTTTATTTCCTCAGAAGTCAAACTAGTCTGAGCTCTGATCTCAACAACATGTGTGAGTCAGCAGGATCAGCTCAGCACCTGTGGTTACACCCAAACTCAGACTGTAGATCTGAAGGGGAGGGAACAAGGAAGTGAGTGTGCAGAGTGGAGCGTGCTGTGTGAGAGACGAGGGAGGGGAAATCCAGCTCTTGTATAATCCAGGAAGAGGAGCGGCGATGTGAACTTTAGACTCTCAAACTCCAACAAGCAGAGGTTATTAAAGCTGCAGCCGTCCTGAAGATCAACTGCACCAACATTTATTCACCTCATATAAACCTCATGATCACAGAAAGACTTCCACTGTTTTATATCCACACATATCTAAAGATACACCACATATAAACACACACACTCTCTCTCTCTCTCTTTCTTTCTCTCTCTTTGGCTTGTTGACTTCTGAGGGAATGTTAGTTTTTGTAACTTTTTTTTTCTTTCTTTATGTGTTGTTTGGTAGCTCAAACGTAAAGCTACCAGGAACCGCTTATCCTCCGGTGCTGTCATATTCCAGAACTGCAACCTACCTGGAGTGCCCAGAAGTACAAGGTGTTCAGTGCTCAGAGACATGGCCAAAGTAAGAAGGCTGAAATCCGACCACCACTGAACAAGAAACACAAGTTGAAACGTCAAGACTGGGCCAAGAAATATCTGAAGAGATTTTTCAAAGGTTTTTTGGACTGATGGGATGAGAGTGACTCTTGACGGACCAGATGGATTGACCTGTGGCTGGATCAGTAATGGGCACAGAGCTCCACTCCGAATCAGACACCAGCAAGGTGGAGGCGGGTACTGGTATGGGCTGGTATTATTAAAGATGAGATAGCTGGACCTTTTCGGGTTAAAGATGGACTTAAAATCAACTCCCAAACCTACTGCCAGTTTTGAGAAGACACTTTCTTCAAGCAGTGGTACAGGCAAAAGTCTGCATCTTTAAAGAAAACCATGATTTTTATGCAGGACAAAGCTCCATTGCATGCAACAAAGTACTCCACTATGTGGCTCGCCAGTAAAGGCCTTAAAAACAAAAGAATAATGATGTGGCCTCCTTCTTCACCTGACCTAAACCCTGTTGAGAACTTGTGAGCTCTTCTTAAACGGGAAATTTAAAGTGAAGGAAGACAGTACACCTCTCTGAACAGTGTCTGGAAGGCTTTGGTTACTGCAACACAAAAAGTTGATCGTCAACAGATCAAGAAACTGAAAGACTCCATGAATGGAAGGCTTATGACTGTTAATGAAAAGAAGGGTAGTTACATTGGTCATTGATTTTTTTATTTTTTTTATTTCAACAATTATTATTTGTAAATTGAGTTGTTTGTTTATCATTCTCACTTGTTAAAGTGAGATGAAAATTTTTTCCTTTTTAATTTAGTTGCATAAAAATTCTGCACACTAATAGTTGCCCAGTAATTGTGCACACATAGATATTCTCCCCAGGAAGCCAAAATCTCACTTTTACTCCCTTAAATATTCAGGTTTGAGGTTTTATTAACATTTTGGATTGACCGAGAGCACTGCAGTTGTTCAAAAATAAAATTTATCCTCAAAAATACAACTTGTGTAATAATTGTACACACAGTGTAGGTTGTTTAGACACATCCTTACCAGTTTTCTTTCCAGTCTCTTTGAAATTTTTCGCTTCCTACCTCTCCCAGACTTGTTCTGTACTGTGTTGATCTCCTTGAATTTCTTCTCACTCCACTTCTTGACACTTTGAAACACTGAGATAAATTTTTATATCCTTCTCCTGCTTTGTGAGCATCAACCACTTTTTTCTCAAGTCTAAACTGAATTCTTTTGTTTTTGCCATGATGCCTTCTCAAGTGACAGCCTTATTTTATACAGTGTGTAAAGTGTAGGACAACCCTTTGTTTTAACTTAATTGATTGATTGATGACAAGCTGAAAGTGAAAGCACATGATTGCACAACAGTGGTTTTTGTTTTGGCTCAAGAAGAACACCAATTCTTAAGGGGGCTAATAATTTTGACCCTGGTTGTTTTGGGGTTTTGTGAAATAATTTTGTTTCTGTGTGCAAAGTAAAATAATGTAAGGATCCAAATATAACTAGGATGTTTGGAAAAGCTGTGAAAAAAAAACATTAACCTGTTGAACAGCACTTTGGAATTTATGGTAAAATATTTAGAATTTTATAGGGGGGCTAATCATTTTGGCAAAGTACAACAGAGAATGAGTTATAACCCCGATCCTCAACACAGATTATAACCCCAGTCCATAACAAAGATTATAATCTGACTCCAAAACATAAATTATGTCAATATAAAACCACAGATTATAATCCCAATCTGTAAAAAATTTTATAGAGCATGGATTGTGACCTCAATCCAGAATATACATCATAATGCCGATACAGATTATAGTCTTTTAACAAATCACAGATTATAATTCAAATTTAGGACTGTTTGTAATCTCAATCTAGAAAATTAATTCAAACTTGATCAAAAACACAGATTATATTTCGAATCCAAAACTAATTTTATAATCCCATTCCAGAACACAAAATAATCCTCATCATGAATGCGGATTATAATCCACACCAGGGTACAAAACTTTCAGAGAAGCTGACCTTAAATCCACGAACACTGACAGCCTGACTGATCACTCACCGCTCTTCTTGTACAGGATGATCTCGGTCTTGAACTCGCGCCGTTCGTCGAGCGCCGTCTGCATCTGCGCTGTGATTTGATGGCTGGTCTCGCTGCCGTACAGGAAGTGACACGTACAGCTCTTCTGCATCAGCTCGCCACGAGCGAAGCCGCTGAGCTCGCAGAAACCATCGGAGCAATAAACGATGGGGTAGAGGGACTGGACCTGAGCATTTCCCAGGACGAAGTTACTATCTGAGGAGGCAAAAACACACAGCAAACAAATAATGTGACTAAAAAACCAATATAAACACATGGTTTAGCAGATAAAACCCTGTCAATAAAGGCATCAAAGTCAAAAAAGATGCTGAGATGAGTCTCTGAGATAGTTTCTACAACCTGAGTAAACCCAGAAACCCTTAATAAAACTGTCAGATTGAAGAGACACTGAAAGGGTTTGTTTGCAGAAGTTTGTCTGTGCTGCAGGAGTAATACATACTGCTCAAAGAGGACTGATATAAATAAGTGAATATGATGTACCATAATGATACCAGGGCTGCAGGTTGTGATATACAATGGCTGTTTGACGGAATTCAGATGTTTGAATAATTCAAGAAAAAAGTGAATGAGATTTGGTGGGAGCCTCTGAGACATCCATTCATTCCCCTGAGGTCATTAACATGTGGACCATGAAATAATCTGCAGACTGCAGCTCTCACCGAGAAGAAAAGATGAGAGAGAGGGGACTGAGAGAGGGAGAGAGAGAGAGATGAATGGAGGAAAAGTGAGGAATAAAAGGTGAGGGAGTGGAGGATAAATGATGAATGAGAGAAAGCGAGAGAGAGAATAGAGAGAGAGAGCGTGGGTCTGCATGAAGATGAACTGAACAATAAAATTTAATAATTCACACTTTCACAAAGCTGATCGCTCTAAATGCTGAAACTCCACGGAGACAGGCGGATCATGGGGAAGTCTCACATTTCATCGGAAGCACACAAACACAACTGAAACACACACACACACACACACACACACATACACAGTCACACTTCAGCCCTTTATCTGAGAGCACAGACCCTGAATGGCTGAGGTGAACATTGGGATGGGGAGCTCACAAATACAAATTTCAAGGCCAGGTTTACTGGCCTCATAAATTTCAGTGTTGAATAAAGCTGTCAGTAGGGGGAGGTTTAAAACGAGTCCGACATAAGTTATCCAACACTGATGCGTATAACAGCAACAGAGGAGCTTTAGAAAGAGTCACAGAGGATCAAAAATATAATGCAAATAAAATATATAAACCAAAAAGAGTGATGGAACATTATAATTTGATGTTTAACTTTGCTGCTTAAAATGCTAACAATAGTGTCACAGGTGATACTGCAGATGACAAAGATGCTGAAAACTATCCTTCAAATGCTGAGGATGTTGCCTTACATGCTGAAGACGATGAAGAAGATGATACTGGAATTAATGCTAAAAATAAGACAGTAAAAATGATGCTAAGGAAAATACAAAAGAATAGACCTATGAGGATGATAAGCAAGTGACTGATGAAGAAAATGCAGTCAGAGATGACTCCAGGATTGATGTTCAAGAAAATGCTGTAGGTGGTGCAAAAGATAATGCTTTAGATGATTAAAAAATTTGATGTTAAAGGGCATGTTAGAGATGGTGTAGAAGATGATGCTGCAAAAAAGCTTAAGATAATGCTAAAAAGCAGCTGATGACCAAAAAATTATATCACTGAAGGTGATGCTCTATATGTTGCTGAAGATTGTGCATAAATGATGACTCAGATATTGCTAAAGAGGATGAAAGCGGATGATGCTGAAAGTGATGCTAGAGATATACATCATGTAATGCTAGAGATAATGCTATGGATCATACTGAGGCCAATGCTAAAAAGGATATTGTAGATAAGGCTATAGACAATGAGGCTTAAGATAATGCTGTAAATGATAAAAAATAAACAGATGCTGAAGGTCATGCTGGAGATCGTGCAAAAGATGATGCTGCAGATAAAGCTTTAGATGATGCTAAAAAAGAGAGGATGACCAAAAAAGGATAGCACTGAAGGTGATGAAGATTATAATGCTAAAGAGGATAAAAGAAGATGATGTTGAAAGTGATGCTAGAGATATAAATCATGTTATGCTAAAGAGAATGCCATGGATCATGCTAAAGCCAATGCTAAACAGGACGTTGTCGGTAAGGCTATAGTTAGTGACGCTTAAGATAATGCTGTAAAAACAATTAAATTAATGCAAAGGATGATGCTGCAGATGATGTTAAAAGAGAAGGATGCTTGAAGATGATGCTTTGTATGATGCTAGAGATAATGCATAAAACAATGCTTCAGATTTTTCTGAAGATAATGCTTAAGATAATACTTATGGTGACGTGAAAGATGATGCGAAAGGTAAAAAGACGAGGAAGCTGAAAGTGATGCTGGAGATGATGCTTGAGATAATGTTGAGGTTAATGCCATAAAGAGTGCAAAAGATCAAGCTTTTGTTGGACATGATGCTAGAGATGCTGAAGATAATGCATAGTTTGATGCTAAAAATGATGACAATTATGCTGAAAACAATGATGGTCATGCTAAATAACTACAGATGGTGCTAAAAGTGATGCATCCACTGCATTACATTTTCAAACAGCTTTTTTCCTCCAGCTTAATCCAGGTAAGGTGTTTTTATAACAGCTCTGCATGCAGGAACACACAGTTCTGCACTACAGCATGTGGTAAAAATGAGAGTGTCATTTGCCAACAGTCACACTTGCACCTCAGCAGGTCACGCCAGCAGAGAGACTCTGTTGTTTAGTTTGTGGCTTGATTTTATGAAACTCACTTTTGCTGCTCAGCTTTGACTAAAAATGTGCAGCAATAGAACTCTGTGTGAGGGTCATGTCAGTCAAACAGATGGATCGGATGTGAAACGCTCACAGTGAGTGTTGTCTCCTCATCGTCAGATCTGCTGCGTGTGTTAAACTAAAGGAGAAACATCTGAGTCTAGATGCTCTGACGATGAAGGTGTGAACATAAAAAGGCATGCAGCTGCTAAACCTGAGGAGTGTGACAGACTAAAACAGCTGTTATGAATCGCTCCGCCTGAGCCTTCTGATGAGTAACTTTTAATATAAAGTAAATATTCGTAATTGACAGCAGGGAGTACATTAAGTATCTAAAAAAAAGATTGTTAAAAGACAAGTAAAATAAAAGACTTTTACTGAAACTCTCACACAGGAGGTTTCAAAAGAACAGAAATCAAACTCTAGTTGTTATATAGACTGTGTTCTCTCTGTAACAGGGTTGTCCATTTACTGTACTTCCATTGTGTAGCTGGCTTTGTGTTGATGGATGGCTGCACTGAACACCATCCTTCCTGCAATACCAACAGGCTCTGACAGGAATTAAATCGGTGCACCTGATGGAGGTGATATATTCTGCTTCTACACCCTGTGTCCTGGTCGTGTAAATATCACAGACTCGTCGACAGCCGTGAACACTCCTGTTTGGATATAGACTTTAAAATGTGTGCTGGAGACACAGGCCTGTGTGAATAACACTATGAGCGTTCACCCTCACAGATGTTATAGTTTAGTTCTCATTCTGCTGCATCATGTCTCCTCCTCACTGTCTCGCTCTCATCTCTCAGTATCAGCACCACAAACACTTTTTTTTAAAACATATTTTCTCCTTGATTTCCCAAGCATCTCTCTTATCTTAAAACCATGCTGTAAGAGAGCGTTATGAGACCTCAGATTATAGAGAGGAAAAGGGGGAACAGAGGTCCAGCTCTTGACTCTGTAATGACAAACAGCTTAGAGGTAATGGGATCATGCTTGGAGAACAGGATTCCTCTGGGGATCTTGTGCTGCAAGAATATACGATACAAGGGAGCTGCTACTACAACCATTAATCTTCACAGCAGAAGGTCAGACACGTTTTTAGTGAGTGCTGAGCTGCAAACCTGATCCTAACATTACATGTTTGAATTGAGTGAGCAAAATATAAGCACCAATGACAGATGAGTAGAAACACAGGATCATGATAGAAAATACTCATTTCAGACATTATTAGTACTGGAAAATTACAGTACATATCACACAGCAAGGAAAACATCAAAACTGTCTGTTTGCAGGTTTATTAAGCATGCAGAAAACAAACATCCTTCTCAAAGACTAATGAACCTACACAAATTAATCATGATGAAATTTTTTCTATATTTTGTGGGTGAAAGTTTGAGAGATGTGCATACTTGACTAAACCTCATCATCAGTGCATGTTGGGTCAAGTGTTAGTTGTCAGAGTAACTGATAATTTTATTATTGCAGGCCGGAAATGTCGCTCATCTTCTAAGCTGTAGTGCAGTCTCCGTTTACTAGTCACTGCTGTAGCTGAGGTTAATGGCTCCTGCTGTGATGCTCAGCTCCCCGAATGTCATCTAATTGTGTGGCATGGTTTGCCAGTATTAAGATCTACAAAATGGAGTTGAATGTAGGCTGCATTTGGCTATGTTCACACTGCAGGTCAATTCCGATTTCTTAACCATATGTGACACATATCTGATTTTTTCATGTAAGTGTGAACAGTGCTATTCTGATTTTTTCAAATCCGACCCAGGCCTCTTTTGTATGTGGATATAAATCAGATATGTATCCGATGTGACTGCAGTGTGGACATTCAGGTCACGTTCATCCAACCTATACATCATCAATATGCGACAAAGATCACCATTGTTCGACAACACAAACAGGCGCGGAAAGCAATTTGTGCGCATGCGGGTAACTTCACGTTCACATTAGATGCTGCAGTCATTGTTGTAATGTGAACGACCGCACAAGAAGATCGGATGTAACAAAAAATCTGAATTGTGCATCATAACCTGCAGTGTGAACGTAGCCTTAAACTAGTTCAAAAAACACTCAACCAGAGTTAACCTGAAGGCTGGTTATGCTAGCTCTGCTGGTCTTAACCAAACTTTGCAAACCAATGAATCAAACTACAGACTGTAATCTGTGTTTAGCTATTTATATTAAAAGACTGGGTAATTAGCTGCTTTTAAACATCCTTGGTAAGTAAGCAGATCTGCCGCTAAACGCATTTTGATTTGAACAGAGCCGAAAACAAAAGAGCAAAAACTGGACAGTTAAAGGGATATTCCGGCGTAAAATTAAGTTAGGGTCAAACACACCAAAACACCGAGTTAGACACCCCGTCGAGAGATTAATGTTGCCGACCGCTTGCTTCTTCTAGTTATACCAACTTTAGTAACGACCGCACAATAGCAATACACAGCGGTCTCAGAAGCCACGAGCTCAACCAAAAAGCCACTCTATAGCCACAAATAAAGCTCAGAACAGCACCATACTTCATCAACAGTAATATTACAGAATTCAACTGCAAGAGTGCCGATAAGGACCAGAGGGCGAGGGCATATAACACCAGTTTTAGCATCGCTGCATTGGCTCCCCATCCGTTTCAGGATTGATTTTAAGGTTCTTTTATTAGTTTTTAGATGTATTATTGGTCTTGGCCCTCCCTATTTATCTGACTTACTTTTACCATATCAACCCTCGCAGGCCCTGTGGTCCTCCGGCACAGGCCTTTTAACCTTACCCAAAGTTAAAACAAAAACACACGGGGAGGTGGTTTTCAGTTTTTATGGTCCCCGGGTTGTGGAACAGCCTGCCGGAGAGCCTCAGGGCCGCAGAGACTGTTGATGTTTTTAAGAAGAGGCTCAAGACTCACCTTTTTAACCAGGCATTTTACTAATTGCCTTTTTATCTTTCTCTTATTGCAAATGTTCATTTTAATTGAAGTTCTTAATGTTTATTTTATGTCATTTTATTAATTGTCTCTATTCTTAGTCTTCTTCTTAATTCCCATCACAGGTTTTTAATTCTTTTACCCCTTTTTTATATGGTAAAGAGATTTTACTTATCTGTTCATTTAATATTATTTTCTTATTTTAGTCCATCAGGTTTTACTTTTTCTTTTCACCATTTTTATCTCTATTTTTTTTTATCTCCGCTGTTTCCCAAAGGTAGCTCTTTCCTCACGTAATGCCTCGGTGTCAGGCCATGTCTCTTTAACAATATATCTTAAATTCTTACACTGTGTGCGGTTGTGTGTGTGTGTGTGAGTGAGGGTGGGTGTGTGCCTTTGTGTGCATGTGTGTCCAAGGGTGTGTGTGTGGATGGGAGGGTCCAGTTTTATTATTGTTATTGTTGTTTTTAGCCTCTGTGAGGCACTTTGAATTGCATTTTTTGTATGAAAAGTGCCATACAAATAAAGTTGAATTTGAACAGTACATATAGAGCTTGAGCTGCGTCACGCCGCTGCTGTAATGGACTCGCTTAAGGTCTCTGTACCAACAAGCAGTTGCTGGAAGAGAGTGGGTGAGTTGTGTTTAGTCTCTTTGCTAAAGAAATAAGGCAAAGCTAAAAAGATGTTTGATGGCTAGTACTATGGCTGGGACCCTATATGTACTGTTGATGAAGTTAGGTGCTGTTCTGAGCATTACTTGTGGCAAAAGAGTGGCCTTTTGGTTGAGCTGGTGGCTTCTGAGACCGCTGTGTATTGCTATCATGCGGTCGTTACTAAAGTTGGTATAACTAGAGAAGCAAGCGGGTAGTAACATTCATCTCTTGTCAGGGTGTCTAAAGGTCCTTACACACCGGGACCGTTTTTGTCGTGCCTCTATTTCGGATGTCAATATTTTTTTTCAAACCCGTATCCTGTCAATACAAGCGTTCACATCAGCAACATTTTCCTGTTCTGCAATATTGCGACATTTATTTTTTCGGATCATAGTCAACTTTTCTAAAGTTTCGCATACTGTGTGTCCACTTCTGACCAATCAGATTGCGTGTTTTTGTGATGTTTAATACCGGTATATCCAACATGGCCGATCGGCTGATTGTTTATGATCGTTTACTCACACATTACAAAGATAACAACCTGAAGGACAACTTGTGGAGAGTCACAGTGTCGGATTTCTTATATGACGATGGTTTGTGTGCTTTAACAGTTTGCTAAACGTCTTTGTTTTAACTTTCATCTGTGCTAACGTAAGCTAACAGTTGTTACCATAGTTTCATGTGCTTATCTGGTACTGGCCCCAACTCAGTACATGCTATCATGACAGAAAGCCATCTCAACACTCGTGTCTAGTCCTCTGCCTCTTCAAACTTGGAGCTAATTGTTTCAGCAGAACTTCAAATTGTTCAACGGACATCCAAAAACAGGTTCTAAAGCGACTGTGGTACAGTTTCAGCTCCTGAACTAAGCAGTGAAACTCAAGTTCTCTTCTTTTTTGTAATATTGGATGCACCTGTGTGCTACGTTTCTTTATCTTTTGAGAAATCAAAAGGAGTACCAATTCGACATCACTTGAAGTTGAAGTAGACTGCATTTTTGTCCTCTTGCTTCTACCCGGGACGCTGTGGGTTGCTAAGGGAAGGTCCCGCCCTCCTTCGCCTCTGATTGGCTATAAGTTCTGACCGTTTGGCTTTAGCGTGTGATGATGTTTCCAGCTTTTCTAACTCATCAGAGGAGAAGGAGGCAGGACTTTTCCTCGGAAAAGTCTTCCCCGGTGCGTCTCTTTCCCCCCAGAAAGTCATAAAATCGCACTTGATGTGTATAGTCAGGCGCTTCAAAATTCACCTCCGAATATTTCGTGATTTCGCGTTTTATATTCGTGTCGGCCCCGGTGTGTAAGGACCTTTACTCGGTGTTACAGTGTGTTTGATTCTAACTTAATCTTACACCGGAATATCCCTTTAATTCACCACTGTACTAAAGGAGCAGGGGGTAAACAGGGGGCAGGAGATGGTTTAAGCCCTGAGCCTTCTTGGTAGGTGAATACAGCCCTGAAGCTGTGTGAATCCACACTGAACTGAAGTGAACCTAAAATAAGTGACAGCTGCTGCTCACAGTAGAGTGATGCTAATGAATGGCACCATTACCACCAAATACATACATGCATCCACACATGACACTGCATGTCATATCAAAACCAGTGAGTATTATTCAGATTAGGAGTTTTTATAGTTCATTGAGGCTTTACCATGTCTGTCAGAGGTGAGTTCAAGATTCTGCTGCTAAAATTAAATATACCAAAAACCATCATCTCTATATGACTGAAACATTTTTTTAAATTTAGTGGGAAAAATTTAACCAGATTTACCCTCAAACTGTGTGGAAATTTATGAATTATTCGAGACAAATGTGATTCATTCATTCATTCATTCAATCATTCATTTATTCATTTAATGTCTCCTCGTCTGATCCCTTTGTTAGCCTATTATTAATGTTAAACTTTCAATTGTTTAAAACATCAATGTGATTTATTCCGGATCGTTACCGGATAACTGACAGATGTAAACAGGTGTACTCACGGGTCCCGTCGAAGCGCGTGGCGATAGTGTCCAGGAAGGTGTTCTGCGGCGCAATCAGACCCCGCATCACCGGCATGCGGGATCGGGTGGACCCGCGTCTCTCCCTCCGCTCCGAGCCGCCATGACCGTCCCCGGAGGTCGACACGAAGCCCGGCAGGAACCGGGACGAGCTTCCCGGCGCTCCTCCCAAACCCTGCAGGAGGGCGCCGAGCCGAGACACCCGAGACTCCAGGGTCCACCTGAGTCCAGAGACCGAGGAACTGCGAGGAACCGGGTCCGACAGAGACCACAGCCCGCCGGGGGAGGAGATCCAGGAAGGTGGACCGGACTGAGATGAGGAGGGAGAAGGTGCTGGAGACGGAGGGGAGCGGCGCTTTGGTCACATTTACGCACGAGTGTGCTGCAATGTGCCCCCTCTCTCCTCCCCCACGGGTTCCCCCTCTCCCTCCTTTTTTCACTCCTTTCCCATACTTACTCCTCTCCCCTCCCCTCTAGTTGTGAATAAAGTGTGTATTGTGTGTTTGTTATCAGAGCTGAGCGGGTAAACGTGTCAGAATTAAATGAATGACCAGCCCAGGTTTGTTTTTAAGAAAAATCACATTGAATAAAACATGAAATGCTGTCTATCAGGAGCCCCAGGTAGTCTGCAGGTGAACTGACCCCCACACCTGAAAGTGATGACCCCACCCCTAAAATGTGGAGCTAGACTTAAGAGGAAGAGGAAAGAGGGAGAGGAAGATAAGGCAGGTAAAAAATGATTTCATCAATCGCTTTAAACACACAGAGATTACTTTTCTCTTTCAGACCCAGAGATGAAGATCCGATTTTAAAGTGTTTCATTCACAGAGATTCAGACCACGTGGAGTAAAATAAAGGTCAGAGCGCCATCTACTGGACACTGAGCTCAGGTGCAGCAGAGTCATTGGTACATGTCATGTCCATGGATTGTATTTATCAATTTTACCAAATATTAACTTTGACAATGATCAATTTTATATCAGGGCACATTTCTCTTTTATTCAATACAAAAAGTTTAACATATATCATCTTTCTTTTTGCAATATATACATGTATTATACTGGAATTTGTTGGTTTTATGCTGTCTGATTTTCTCAATGTCAGGTTTAGCTCTTCAGATTAACATTAAATTAAATATTTTTGTAAATTAAACATTTTTGTAAATATTTGTTAAAAGTAATCACTAAAATATGAGAAAGTTTTTTGAAAATCTTTTTTTGGAGGAAAATTTAAAACACAGTGAGGTAAGTCTTTACTTCCACTCTTCAATATTTTATCAATATCACTGCAAACACATAGAGCAGCTTAATTGATTGTCAAGTGTGTTGTCAACATATTCATGGGAACTTGTTTTAAATGTTTAATTTACAAAAATGTAGATAAAAACAGTTGATTAAGGTCTTACAGTGACAGTTATTAGGTCTGCAGTTAGCAAAAAGCCCAAAAATGGCCGAAATGTCAACTGTGTTACCTGTCAGCTGTAACACAGTTGACAGTGTTCCAAGTTTACTGCCACATTTTATGTTTATATTTAGAGACAAACATGATGATTTGTGTTTTAGGAAGATGGGTTTATCTGCTGCAGAGAAGCAGCGCCAGTACAGGGCTCGGCGCGCATTATAGAAACTTACTTACCCAAAAAGAATACTAATATTTTGATTTTTTTTTGGTTGACTTGAAATGTACCCCTAATTGTAGAATGACTCAGCTGAGGTGATGAAGGGGGCAAATATTTGCATGAAAATATCCTAGAAATCGTTTTCTTCTTAAATCTCGCGGTTAGTTTATGACGTTTTACTCATCCACTGTGCAAAGTCTAGTTCATAATCTGTTTAAAACTATCAGATTTGGTGAAATGGGTGTGTTACTTTGGGAGTTGGCATATCAACCTCATTAAAAATTAACAGTATTTATGTTTGTACTAAAAATAACATACAAAAAGTCAACAAATAAAACGTGCATAATATGAGGGTTTTGTAGGACTTGAACATCTTTATTTAAAGGTTTTTATATATATATATATCAGTCCATAAGTAGAGACTCACACAACAGAATTAGCTCGTTATTAAGCCATTACAGAGCTTGATAACGAGCTGATCATTTGAATCAGGTGTGTTGGAGCAGGGAAACATCCAAAACATGCAGGACAGTGGGCCTCAAGGACTGGACTTAAAGGCACTGACTTAAATAACATTAATAAACTTAAAATACATTATATGCACAGACTCATCACTTAAAGTTTAGTAACATACTAAAAGCTAATATTAGCTACAGTTTAACTGTCAAACTTTCATAAAAAGTACCACGAACAAAGACATTTTAAGTCCACACATCAATATATATTATTGAGGAGTCTGACTCCTAGAAGCACCTCTCTTTGACTGACCACTTACAAAGCCGCTCACTATATATATATATATATATATATATATATACATATATGAATGATAAACACAGAAACAATATAAATATGTCATCTCTAAAGAGGATCAATCCTTAAAATTAAGTCTGAACTGAAGACAGACGGCAGCTCTGCTTGTCTTTAAGCGACTTTGGAATTTCCAAATTCACCCTGCTAAAAATAAAATAGTGCTGCGTCATTAAATCTGGCTCTTCCTTTTTTTTTTAAAGTGGTCCTCTGACAGTCTGATATTCATAGTGAAAGTTAAATCAAAGAATAAATGTCTTCTTCTGCTCATTATTAGGAGTTTTGACACCCTGTTCCCTCCATTTGAACTAAAGAGAAGTAGGAAATCCAAACACATGCTATGCATAAGTATCTACAGATCACTCCACAGTCATAAAGGCTGTATGTTCTTGCTTGAGTTTTTAGGGTTTCATCTTCCCAGCAGAGTTTGGCTCCTCTCAGGTTAACAACCCAGACTAAAACTGCTCCTGATAGTGAACTTCCCTTGCTTACTCTAGAAGGACAACTATCTGCTAGGATGGGTTGAGTTAATTTAAAAACTGAAGCCAAAAATCTGTGCATGTGTCCAGCTTTAGATCTGAAGGACATTAGTTTCCTTCCTTTCACCGAACTCTGGTGCTTTTTTGTTCTTGCTGCTTGCCATGTTTGCAACTTCCGTACGTGCTTTGCACTTATACACAAACCTAATGCACTAAAAATATCCAGATTATACCATATGTACAATTTAATATAATGGATTATTGGGAAAAAGCCTCAATGTGTTTCCTCAGCTTTTATAATCTCATAATGGCATTTGTTCATTCGAGAATATTGGATCCCGCTGTTACCATGACTACTTGGGGAATCAGCTAAGAAAAACGGAAAATGATTGGTTTACCAAATAAAATACCAAATAACTCTTTATAAAAGAGATCATTAGGCTGACTGGCAGCTACCAGATATGAGAACTTTGGACAGGAAGTCCAAACTGTCTCCAAAAGTGAAACCAAAAACATATGGTGTTGTGGTCGTCATACACCCCCACCCTGTGAGAGACGGAAGACGAGGGGAGAGGGATGAGCGTCCCGCTGTTATCATGCCAGGCGTTGTATCCTCCATCAGTGCAGGTCAGACTCCAGGACTGATCATTCCCTCCGAACTTAGAGCCGTCACTGTCTCCTTTCCTCCCCATCCCTCTGTAACCCACAGCAACATAGACCTTTCCCACCCACTCCACCTCCCAGTAACAGCGTCCAGTCAAAGAGTCCTCACTCAGTACCTGAGGCCAGTAGTCAAACCTCTCAGGGTGATCAGGGTACGGGTGCTCCTTCCTCAGATCTGTCACCTTTCTGTTGTTTTCAGAGAGTCTGAGGAATTTGTGGACCGTGTTTGGGTCGAGCGTGAGTTCACAGAAATCTAAAATAAAAAACAAGGAGAACTTTGTGTCATTGACTGAGTTTTTTTTAGGTCAATCATTTCAATTAAAACACAACTCTTCTCTCTCACTTTTCAGAATATTCCCCCTGTTTTTTCACAGTGATGTCTCAATTATGATACAGTGTTGGTTCTTTTTTTTCAGGAAATCCAGCTTAGGCATACTTACACGTCCTCAAACCTGGTCTCAACCACTGTGTCCCACTCGGGCTCAATCTGAAAGACGGAGAAAGAGAGATTAACTTGAAAAGGTCTGAAAAAGTCTGACTGCCAAGTTCTCTTTTACATTTCATAAATCTGGCTGAAGATCCTCAACAGTATGTTTACATACATTAAAGTGTCCAGACTCATTTCAGAATCCTCCAATCCAGCAGAAAGCTGTTTCACACCCGATTCCCCTGGATGGTTGTAGCTCAGGTCCAGCTCTCTCAGGTGTGAGGGATTTGAACTCAGAGCTGAGGCCAAAGAAACACAGCCTTCATCTGTGATCAGACATCCTGACAGTCTGCAGACACAAAACAATAACCAGTGGCTTATTAGGCAAATATTCATCAATATAGCACCAAATATCATGACTTGTTACTCAAAGAGTAGATCCGGTTCAAAGTATTTGAATTATGTAGGAGCAAAGAAAAACATCTATTGGCAGTCTCTAAAAAGATCCCTGGAAGTCAAATAACTTTTCAGCTAAAATTATGTTGCAAACATGATCAGAGGACATCAAGGATTATGAAAAAATGATAAAAATGGGTATGAAATTTTGGTGGCAGGTCCCCTTTAAAATATTCTTTTTTGACTGGTAGAATTCCACTTGAAATGAATGACTGTCATGTTTAGTGATGGTTTTGAGCTGTATAGTTAAAAATAGTTTGAATTTCTATGTTAAAAATTCAGAGTAAGAAACATCTGCATTTCCTTTTTCTACAACAATTTTGCTACAATAAAGCATATGAAAGACATTTTAAATATTCTTGTTTGACTAGTTTCATTCCGCTTGAAATGACGGGAAAATGCATAATTTAGTGTTGAATAACGTGCCAGGCATGTGCACCCCCTCTGATCTGAGATGCACCCCTAGTCATCATTTTCTAGACCCGGCCCTGGCCTATCCCGATGCATTTTCTTGTCAATCAGGACAAGTGAAGTAAGAGGACAACATTTATTTCACAACCAGCATTACAAATAGCCTAGATGTAGGAAATGACGTGTGTGGTGCGTTTCCTGTGATTGGTGTGGATGACGCTCACACCAGAAATGGACCGTTCCAGAGTTCACTTGATAGCGGTCCGAGACCACCTCTTCAGGCGGACCAGAGTTCGTTTATTTGGTCCGCACCAGAGTTCGAGGTTAGCGTTTACACCGACCCAAACGAACCGCACCAAGGGGGTAAACACTCCAGTGTTCGGTTCAACCAGACTAAACGAAGGTGGTGTGAACGCGCCCTAAGTATAACCCGTTGTTATAAACCTTACTATCTCACGAATGTCTCAAAAATCACTCATTTCTGCAGCACTGTTTGACCTTGTGCAGAAGTATGTTCATGTCCGCTTTTCTTCTTTCTGCTGCGTGTGTGTGAGTTTAAAGAGTTTAAATCTCAAGTTTTGTGTTGAGAGTTTAGAGTAAGCAGCTTTAATCTCTCACTGAGGATCTACTTTAGCATCCCATGTCATTTCTCATGTTTTTACTTTCATTTCTACACAAACAACGAAAAGCGCCCTCCAAAAAAGTAAGAGGAACTTTATCCCTCCATCATCTTGATCCTTCAGGCCCTCACACTTTCCACTGATTTACCTGCCTTCACTTTTAATCCATCATCAGTGAGCTCATTTATCAGATTAACCAGATGAATTATCCGCTAACTGTTGCTTACTTCAATGATGGAGCTACAACAGAAAATAAAGCGAGCAGAATGGAGGATTTTAGGAAAACAGGGAAGATTTAACTTTTCACAGACGTGTGTGTATATGTGTTTGCTCACCACGCTGATGTTGAAGGCGTACAAGAGGTCAAAGGGCAGAGCAGCCATCAGGTCCACAAACAGCCAGGAAGTGACGTAATGAACGCAGATGGAGCGAGAGTCGTATACCACCTGACCTGATGAGCTCACAAAGGTCGTACGAAAGTTCAACACAATGTCTGAAACATAAACACAAACACAGCAGACACGTCTGTTCACTAAAGGAACCAAATTTGATAGGATGTCTGAGGCACAAAAAATAAATAGTACATATTTAAGCTGCTTTATCCTGCCGACCCACTTCTTCTGCAAATGGCCTTGCTGCTGCTCTCCCCACATTTTTTCATGTGCATGTTGTGACTGATGTTAGAGTCTTATGGTTTGGCACTGATGCTGCTCTGTTTTGTACCCCTCAAGATCTTTGCTGCTGCTCTCCCTGCCTTGATTTTTCATGAAAGCACATGAAACAAGATGGCAGGTGTGCTTTTCCTGCCTCAGGCTTTAGCACTCCACATTTACACGTGGAAGGGCAGGAAGCTCTCAGAATAGAGCCATACTGCTGATTCCCCCTCAGGATCTTTGCTGCTGCTCTCCCCGCCTTGGTTTTTCATCTGTGCACATGAAACAAAGTGGAGATGTGATCTGCCTGCTATAGGTTTCTCCACATTTGCAGTTGCTTTCCCAACAGAACCATCATTACTTCTTGCATAAAAAAAAAAAAATCTCGACTAAAGTGGTTTTAAGTGGCACATATTCAAATAAGAATATAAAATTCATAATAAGAACAAAAAATAAAATAATCTACATTCACAATAAACCCCTTTCTCCACTGATTCCCACTTTTTTTTGTATTGGGTGTTAGTGTTTCAAAGATTGATGATTGTTCCTGTTTTTTTTCCAAGAGCTGCAGTTGTTCTATCTTCCTATTGGGGGGCCTGTAAAGATCCTCATACCTGTTTTTTTCTATAACCTGTTACCTGGGCAGTAGCTGTGAGCTCCTCTGAGCTGGAAACTATTAGAAAAACATCAATGCTACTGCAGAAAACTCAAACCCCAGCAACAAATGTGCAGATAAAGATCATGAAGTAACTACTCCTCTCTCAGTAGCATTTGTTTATTAACTCTCAGCAGCTCCAGAAACTACTGACCCTCCAGAGAAAATCACTGCGCTCTCTTTTAAGGATTTACTTTTAAGTTAGGAGGACCTCGTCTGAAATCTGAAGCTGTGATTGAAGGTAAACACACATAAATCAAAGTGATAAACTCTGTGGGTTCATCCTCACCCATGATGAAGAGGATCTCCACCAGGATATCACTCACACTGGGAGGGTTTCTAGCCACAGACCCTCCATCTTCTCTGACCTCCACCGTTGCGAAGCAGACGTTATACGGCACTGTCACTGCCACGTAGAAAGTTGCCAGCAGAATCAGCCAGTCCCAGCCAGCCTTGAACGCGCCGTAGTGAAGCAAGATGAAGCGGGACTTCTGGATGTCGGCCACCTTGTACTCTGGGATTGGGGTTGCATTGGCTCCAAGAACACTCTGTGATAATAATACTTGAATTGATCAGATATGCTGAGCCTTGCTGCTATTCTCTGAGAGAGATCATAAAAGAAGAGACACTCAACCTCCAAATATGTCTGCAAAACAAAAAGTCCTTTCTTGGCTCATCACATCCCAACAACAGCATCAGTTACTTAAATAGAGGCTCCCTGTTCATTCAGGTTGTTTTGCATTTCACTGTAAAAGGGTCATTCCATGAAATCTGTGCCTTTTGTGTCCCCAAATAGAAATCATTCATAAAATTATAACAACAAATTAATATGTAATTTAAAAATATAACACGGCCATGTCTTCTCTCCTTCATACAACATCAAATTAAAGTCAATTAAATATCATTTAAAATAATTAAAATTACTTTTATGCTGATGAGGGTGAGGTTTTTGGCCTGTCCCTCACTACTATTGCTGTACGTATATAGGACCAATGTTTACCAATTTATCGGCGTCCCCTGATTTCATGTCAACCCTGTTACCCTAACTAAAAAACCCTAAAAATATTAATGGTACATTCCAGATTTGGCATGATTGACAGGAGGTTGCTCCTCTCTAAACCAGGATGCTAACAGCTCAGTGACAATGAAGTGTCTCTCATCTCTGATGTGCTATTTTTGATGTTTTTTCAAGGTTTAACCAGAGGGGAGAAGCATACAACCTCAACCCTGTTACCACTTTTTAACATATAAACCTAAACTATTTCAGTTTCTCAAAATATAATCAATATCTACAAGTAATTACCTTTCAAACTACCTAGCTTGCACTTAACATAGCACTTTTTTAAGATAGCCGCAGGTAGCTTAGCTTAAAATGGTCAACCCTGTTACCTTTCCACAGTAACAGGATTTGACATGTGAGTCACAGGGATGACAAAGAATAGTGTTTACCCTCGTTGCACTCTCTTTAAAGGTTAACCTTTTAAAATTAAAACATTTTTAGGTCATCACGTGAACATTATTGAGATAATAATTATTTTTTGATTGATTGATTGATGCGCCAATGGAGAGCCAGTTACTGAGTGTCCAGTTACTTTTACTCTTGTCAGCCCTGTTACCATGACGTCAATCCTGTTGTTGTCATTAATTTGATAAAAATGTAAAAACTGACAACTCAAATAGGCTTTCATTATAGTTTATATTACATCAAATTTTAGATTGGGCCATTTTTCAACATTTCTCTTCTAAAAAATATCTGATATATGTTGAGACATGTGATCGCCATGCAGAATTAGGGTATATTTGATCATCTGAATGACAAATATCTTATTGGAGAAAAAAATCCACAAAATAAAATAATCTCAATGGAAAGAGAGACTAAAGTACTGTTAATATATGTACCATATATTGCATATTTCTAATTACAAATATTGTATTTTGTTAAGTTAATGTTGGTAACAGGGTTGACAAGATTATGAAAACAGCCAGGAGAAAAACGGTTATAAAATATGAAATAACACAGCCTGAGATGGCACTATATCATTTCCTGCCATTTTAAACTTTTTTGATTCCTGGGTACTTAAAAACTAAAAATTAAATATAGTTTAAATTTTTTATTTTCTAAGCTGAAGAGGCACCGATTTCATGGAATGACCCAAATAGTACGGATAAGTCAAACAGATTTGTGGGGGCTCTTGGATTCATTGTAGATAAGAAAGGGTCCTTATTTCAGTGGTTTTCTCAAATAGAAACTTCCTGTGCATCTGTTTGTGGTGAGCCTGAGTTTCATTATCAACAGTTACTTAAACAGAAGCTTCACTCTGTCTTATTTCCAAAGTAAAAACCTGAAAAAGAAACTAATTTTCTTGCGGATGGGGCATATTTTTGCTCAAATATTTACATCTCAGTGATTCTGTTTAGAACAAGAATCGCTCTCACATTGTTAATCTTCAGCTTGCTCTTGCTCTTGTCTTGCCTCTGCAGATGTCCCGACAGCTGGTAAAGGACGGCTCGACTGCGACGGCGCTCTCTGTGAAAGCCCGGAGGACGACTGACTGGGCGGACCTGCAGACCTGTTTCCTCATCTGAAACAGAAAAGTGATACCAGAGACACGAAGAGAGAGAGGAAAAGAATCAAATCTGAATTCTCCTCCTTTATATCCACCCAACTGTCTGCAGACAGATTTACACCCCGACCGCAGAGACTCTTTAGTATTATTTTATGTAAATCAGAGATTATGAATTATCCTCATTCTCACCAGCTCCAGACTCATCGTTGTGGTCCAGGTCTTTGTTCGCTGTGATGTCTTTGTGTGAAACCAGGAACAGAACCACTTCGCTCTTCTCGTTCTTGATAGGAACAATATCCAGCAAACACCAGAACCTGGAACCTGGACACAGGAAACACAGATTAAAATCCCACATAGTATATCCTAATACAGAACACAGATTGGCCCAATCCAAGACAAATATAAAGCCCAATTTACACAGACTGTGATCCAAATTCAGAACCAAGTCTACAATAATAATCCAGAACAAATCAAACACAGATTATCATCACAATTCAGATTAAAGATTGTTTCCAATCCATGCAAATATTTAGATCCAATTCAAAGGCATAGACTATGACCCTGATCCAGAACAAGGAAAATAATCCTAATCCAGTACACCAAATGTAATCTGAATTTGCAAAGCAGATCACAATCTTGTTCCAGAACACACCTGATAATCCACATTCAGAGCCAAGTTATAGTTTTAAGTAAAAGTGGCTATTATGATCCCATTTCAGAACACAGAATTTGATTTTAATCCAGAACACAGATTATGCACTCGAACAAAAACAGATTTTAATTTCAATTAAACAACACAGATCACAATCCCAATCTCAAAATACAGTTGTGGCAAAAATTATTAGCGCCCCTATGAAATTTGAAGTTTTTTTTCCATAATTTTCAAAGTGCTGTTCAACAGATTTTTTTATACAGCTTTTCCAAACATCCTAGTTTTATTTGGATCCTTACATTATTGTGCTTTGAACACAGAAACAAAATCATTCCACAAAAACCAAAAACTACCAGGGTCAAAATTATTAGCCCCCCTGAGGCTGATAGTCAGTTGTTTGTCCTTTTTTCTGGATAACAGCATGCAGTCGTTTGCTGTAGTTTGTAAAAAGGCTCTGGCACATCTCCTGAGGAATCCCAGCCCAGTCCTCTTTGGCAAATCTTTCAAGTTCCTCCAGATCTGATGGTCTTCTAGCATGGACCCTGGTCTTCAGTGCAGCCCACAGATTTACGATAGGATTTAAGTCAGGGCTTTGTGCAGGCCAGTCAAAAACGTTCACTTTGGTTTCCTGGAGGCAGCTCCTCACCAGACGAGCTGTATATTTTGGGTCATTGTCATGTTGGAAGACAAAGCGACGACCCAGACCCAGTTTTGCTGCCGACTGCTTGAGGTTTTCTTTCAAAATCTTCACATATCCTTTTTTCTTCATTATTCCTTCAACCTTGACAAGATTCCCAGTTCCAGATGCACTGAAACATCCCCACAGCATGATACTCCGACCACCGTGTTTAACTGTGGGGACAGTGTTCTTGGGGTTATAAGCTTCTCCCTTCTTTTTCCAAACATAAGCAATGTCTCTGTGACTAAAGAGCTCTAGTTTGGTCTCATCTGACCACAGAACACGTATCCAGTTTGAACAATCTTTCTCCAGATTGTCCTTAGCAGACAATAGTCTGGCGTGAAGGTGTCTCTTTTGTAGAAGTGGAGTTTTTCTTGGCCTGCATCCTCATAGTCCATTTCTGTTCAGGATTCTAGAGACTGTCTTGTTTGACACCATAATTCCTGACTTGTCTAAGTCAGCAACTTCTGTTTTGGTGGTTGTTCTACACCATGTGCACAATTATTAGGCAAGTGAGTATTTTGATCATATCATCATTTTTATGCATATTTTCCAACTCCAAGCTGTATAAACTTGAATGCTTACTGGATATAAGCAGATCAGGTAATGTGTATTAGTGTAATGAGGGAGGCTAGGGCCTAAGGAGATCAACACCCGAGTTGAAGATGGACTTAAAATCAACTCCCAAACCTAGTGCCAGTTTTTAGAAGACACTTTCTTCAAGCAGTGGTACAGGCAAAAGTCTGCATCTTTCAAGAAAACCATGATTTTATGCAGGACAATGCTCCATTGCATGCAACAAAGTACTCCACTATGTGGCTCGCCAGTAAAGGCCTTAAAAACGAAAGAATAATGACATGGCCTCCTTCTTCACCTGACCTAAACCCTGTTGAGAACTTGTGAGCCCTTCTTAAACGGGAAACTTACAGTAAAGGAAGACAGTACACCTCTCTGAACAGTGTCTGGAAGGCTTTGGTTACTCATCATCAACAGATCAAGAAACTGAAAGACTCCATGAATGAAAAGCTTATGACTGTTATTGAAAAGAAGGGTAGTTACATTGGTCACTGATTTTTTTTTTTTTAATTTCAACAATTTTTATATGTAAATTGAGTTGTTTGTTTATCATTCTCACTTTAACAAGTGAAAATAAATGAGTGAGATGGAAAAAATTTTCATTTTTAATTTAGTTGCATAATAATTCTGCAAACTAATAGTTGCCCAGTAATTGTGCACACATAGATATTCTCCTCAGGAAGCCAAAATCTCACTTTTACTCCCTTAAATATTCAGGTTTGAGGTTTTATTAACATTTTGGATTGACCGAGAGCACTGCAGTTGTTCAAAAGTAAAATTTATCCTCAAAAATACAACTTGCGTAATAATTGTGCACACAGTGTAGAGGTGAAGCTGCCTTCTTTCTTTTTCTTTCCTCTCTTTATTTTTTTGAAACCCTGATTTTTGCTTTTTGAACAGCAAGATGTCTAACCCCCAGGTCATTCAGTCTGGGCTCACTCACTGACATTACACTTGTCGTCAGTCGCTGTCAGGTGGACTAAACCATAAAGAAAAACATTCGAGGTGCTTTCAGTGACTCAGTTTGAAGATTTTTATTTTTTTCACCCACACAATCAAAAACCCATAATTGAAAAGCTCATAACAACATGTTGATCTACCAAAATTCTCATTATAGATGTCTTTACAAACACACTGATCCAACAGAAGCAGACAGAAATATCCATCGATGACATTCATACAAATATTCAGCAAACAGAGAAAGCACAGATCATTGGAAGTGTTTTTGGGGCGGACTGGAAAGACTTTAGACTGTTGGATTTGGGACAGGAAATGAGATTGTGCTTCTAAAGTCTTAGACCTTCAACATCTTCAACAACTGAAGGTGATTTGAACAAATGATCATCTTGATGTTCTTGTTATCAAACTTTAGTGAAGATTTTTCAAGATGAGAAATACAAACAATGAAAGTTATCCACAATCACTGTCCTTAAAGCTGCGACCAAATCAGCCTCTTTGGAAAAGAATGAAAAAGCTGAAATGAAGAAATAAACCGACAGTTTTTGGTGAGACTGATCCACAAACATTTACAAACCAGAACATTTCAAGAGTTCAATGATCTCATTTACATGTTTTTGGTCTGATTGACTCAAAATTCTCTTTATTTCACTTCAATAAACTCAGCAGAGTCTCCATAGTATAACCACAGTCCAGCATGTAGAGGCTGAGTGAATGTGGTCTGGACTCTGTGGAGGAGAGTCATGGTTTCAGAGACGCTGTAGAAGGACAGAATACCTGCTCTGTGATCCAGGTACACTCCTACTCTGGAGGACTGAGGACCTGAGACAGGAGTGCGGACTTTGTTGTGCACAAATTCATACTTGTCTTTATAACACTCTAACCTCCAAGATTTGTCATTGTTTCCAAATGAACAATCATCGGATTTTCCTGCTCTGCTGATAGACTTGTATGCGACTGCTACAAAAACGCTGTCCCCTCTACGCTCCACCTCCCAGTAACAACGTCCAGTCAGACTCTCTCTACTCAGGACCTGATAACAATAATCAGTGAATCTGTCTGGGTGATCAGGATAAGACTGTAGTTGTCCTGTAAATGTTGCTCTTCTGTTTCCATCAGATAATAACAGATGTCTGTGTGCTGTGTTTGGATCCAGTGTGATTCTCTGTGAATATCTTAAGAAACCAGCTCTGGTCTTGGGTTCTGGTTCTGGTGGTTCTGACAGTAAAACATCCACTTCAGTCACTGCCTGTGAGACGTTTGTCCACGTCTCTGTCAGAAGATCCTGGAGTTTATCTCTGACCTCTGACACAGCTGCTGTCACCTCCTCAAAGTATCTCAGAGGACGGATGTTGATCCTGGATGAGTCTGCAGGTTGACCCGGTCCTGACAGTGAGGGGTAGCTGTGCAGAAACTGGTTGTGGTCCTCTGTGAGTGAGAGCTTCTGCAGATCAGCGTCTTTCCTCTTCAGCTCAGTGATCTCCTGCTCCAGTTTCTCCTGAAGATCTTTGACTCGACTCACTTCACGTTCCTGCTGGGATCTGACCTGCTGCTCCATGTCAGAGCGACGTTTCTCCATGAGATGGATCAGCTGGCTGAAGATCTCCTGGCTGTGCTCCGCAGCTTTATCAGCAGAGCTGTTGATAGCCTCCACCTCCTGTTGGAGCAGCTTCACATCTTCCTCTCTGTCCTGGATTCTCTGCTGGATGTTTTCTCGACTCTCCTCCAGATCTTTCTGCCTCTCAGCTCTTTCTGCTGCAGCTGAGACTGTGTCGTGGCCTTTGTGTTGGTCCACAGAGCAGAGATAACATATAGACTGTTGATCAGTGCGGCAAAACATCTTCATCACCTCATCATGACGAGAGCAGATGTTCTCCTGGAGCTTCTTGGAGGGCTCCACCAGCTTGTGTTTCTTAAATGGAGCCACTTCAAAATGAGGCTGGAGGTGAATCTGGCAGTAAGAAGCCAGACATTGCAGACAGGACTTGACAGCTTTCAGTTTTCTCTCACTGCAGAAATCACAGGCCACATCTTCAGGTCCAGCATCAGAGGGATCATCAGGAGCAGCTTGGAGTCCGCTCTTCTTCAGTTCCTCCACTAAACCTGCTAACAGGGTGCTTTTCATCAGGACAGGCCTCGGTGTGAAGGTCTGTCTGCACTGAGGACAGCTGTAGATCTTCTTCTCATCCTCTTTATCCCAGTAGGTTTGAATACAGCTCATGCAGAAGCTGTGTCCACAGGTAACAGTCACCGGATCCTTCAGTAGATCCAAACAGATGGAACAAGAGAAAGATTCACGGTCCAGACCAACTCCTTTCTGCGCCATTTCAACACTCACTGTCAACAACGACTGACTGACTGAGTTTCATTTCCTCAGAAGTCAAACTAGTCTGAGCTCTGATCTCAACAACATGTGTGAGTCAGCAGGATCAGCTCAGCACCTGTGGTTACACCCAACCTCAGACTGTAGATCTGAAGGGGAGGGAACAAGGAAGTGAGTGTGCAGAGTGGAGCGTGCTGTGTGAGAGACGAGGGAGGGGAAATCCAGCTCTTGTATAATCCAGGAAGAGGAGCAGCGATGTGAACTTTAGACTCTCAAACTCCAACAAGCAGAGGTTATTAAAGCTGCAGCCGTCCTGAAGATCAACTGCACCAACATTTATTCACCTCATATAAACCTCATGATCACAGAAAGACTTCCACTGTTTTATATCCACACATATCTAAAGATATACCACATATAAACACACACTCTCTCTTTCTTTCTCTCTCTCTCTCTTTGGCTTGTTGACTTCTGAGGGAATGTTAGTTTTTGTAACTTTTTTTTTTCTTTCTTTATGTGTTGTTTGGTAGCTCAAACGTAAAGCTACCAGGAACTGCTTATCCTCCGGTGCTGTCATATTCCAGAACTGCAACATACCTGGAGTGCCCAGAAGTACAAGGTGTTCAGTGCTCAGAGACATGGCCAAGGTAAGGAAGGCTGAAATCTGACCACCACTGAACAAGACACTCAAGTCGAAACGTCAAGACTGGGCCAAGAAATATCTGAAGAGAGATTTTTCAAAGGTTTTATGGACTGATGGGATGAGAGTGACTCTTGACGGACCAGATGGATTGACCTGTGGCTGGATCAGTAATGGGCACAGAGTTCCACTTTGACTCAGACACCAGCAAGGTGGAGGCGGGGTACCGGTATGGGCTGGTATTATCAAAGATGAGATAGCTGGACCTTTTCGAGTTGAAGATGGACTTAAAATCAACTCCCAAATCTACTGCCAGTTTTGAGAAGACACTTTCTTCAAGCAGTGGTACAGGCAAAAGTCTGCATCTTTCAAGAAAACCATGATTTTTATGCAGGACAATACTCCATTGCATGCAACAAAGTACTCCACTATATTGGCTCGCCAGTAAAGGCCTTAAAAACAAAAGAATAATGACGTGGCCTCCTTCTTCACCTGACCTAAACCCTGTTGAGAACTTGTGAGCCCTTCTTAAATGGGAAATTTACAGTGAAGGAAGACAGTACACCTCTCTGAACAGTGTCTGGAAGGCTTTGGTTGCTGCGACACAAAACGAACAAGAGAAAACCACCGAAAATGAAGATTTGTTGCCAAAAAGAAAAGGAAAGTCAGTTATCTGGAATTATTTCTGTTAAAAGAAGGATGATGTCGACCAAAACACGTGTTCTGTGTTCGTCTGTCGCCACAATAACGTCCCAGAACAATAAAAGCTAAAAATATCTCTGAGACAGACAGAAGCCATTCTACTAACATTCACAAAAAGAGGTAAGATCAGAGCAGGTTAACTGTCCTCAAGACTTCAGCGGTGCAGCATAACATTAAATGCTATGCAGGTCATCTGGTGAAAATTCCGTTATTTTTAATATTGCAATATATATCGCAGGGTTGAAAAAAAATCGCAATGTTAGTTCTTTCCAGTATCGTGCAGCCTTATTTTATACAGTGTGTAAAGTGTAGGACGACCCTTAGTTTTAACTTAATTGATTGATTGATGACAAGCTGAAAGTGAAAGCACATAACTGCACAACAGTGGTTTTTGTTTTGGCTCAATAAAAACATTAATTCTTAAGGGGGCTAATAATTTTGACCCTGGTTGTTTTGGGGTTTTGTGAAAAATTTTGTTTCTGTGTGCAAAGTAAAATGATGTAAGGATCCAAATAAAACTAGGATGTTTGGAAAAGCTGTGTAAAAAAAAATCATTAACCTGTTAAACAGCACTTTGAAAATTATGGTAAAATACTTAGAATTTTATAGGGGGGCTAATAATTTTGGCAAAGTACAACAGAGAATGAGTTATAACCCCGATCCTCAACACAGATTATAACCCCAGTCCATAACAAAGATTATAATCTGACTCCAAAAAATAAATTATGATGTCAATATAAAACCACAGATTATAATCCCAATCTGTAAAAAATTTTATAGAGCATAGGTTGTGACCTCAATCCAGAACATATATCATAATGCCGATACAGATTATAGCCTTTTTAAAAATCACAGATTATAATTCAAATTTAGGACGGTTTGTAATCTCAATCTAGAAAATTAATTCAAACTTGATCAAAAACACAGATTATATTTCGAATCCAAAACTAATTTTATAATCCCATTCCAGAACACAAAATAATCCTCATCATGAATGCTGATTATAATCCACACCAGGGTACAAAACTTTCAGAGAAACTGACCTTAAATCCACAAACACTGACAGCCTGACTGATCACTCACCGCTCTTCTTGTACAGGATGATCTCAGTCTTGAACTCACGCCGTTCGTCGAGCGCCGTCTGCATCTGCGCTGTGATTTGATGGCTGGTCTCGCTGCCGTACAGGAAGTGACACGTACAGCTCTTCTGCATCAGCTCGCCACGAGCGAAGCCGCTGAGCTCGCAGAAACCATCGGAGCAATAAACGATGGGGTAGAGGGACTGGACCTGAGCATTTCCCAGGACAAAGTTACTATCTGAAGAGGCAAAAACACACAGCAAACAAATAATGTGACTAAAAAAACAATATAAACACATGGTTTAGCAGATAAAACCCTGTCAATAAAGACATCAAAGTCAAAAAAGATGCTGAGATGAGTATCTGGGATAGTTTCTACAACCTGAGTAAACCCAGAAACCCTTAATAAAACTGTCAGATTGAAGAGACACTGAAAGGGTTTGTTTGCAGAAGTTTGTCTGTGCTGCACAAAGAGGACTGATATAAATAAGTGAATATGATGTACCATAATGATACCAGGGCTGCAGGTTGTGATATACAATGGCTGTTTGACGGAATTCAGATGTTTGAATAATTCAAGAAAAAAGTGAATGAGATTTGGTGGGAGCCTCTCAGACATCCATTCATTCCCCTGAGGTCATTAACATGTGGACCATGAAATAATCTGCAGACTGCAGCTCTCACCAAGAAGAAAAGATGAGAGAGAGGGGACTGAAAGAGAGAGAGAGAGATGAATGGAGGGAAAGTGAGGAATAAAAGGTGAGGGAGTGGAGGATAAATGATGAATGAGAGAAAGCGAGAGAGAGAATAGAGAGAGAGAGCGTGGGTCTGCATGAAGATGAACTGAACAATAAAATTTAATAATTCACACTTTCACAAAGCTGATCGCTCTAAATGCTGAAACTCCACGGAGACAGGCGGATCATGGGGAAGTCTCACATTTCATCTGAAGCACACAAACACAACTGAAACACACACACACACATACACACACATACACAGTCACACTTCAGCCCTTTATCTGAGAGCACAGACCCTGAATGGCTGAGGTGAACATTGGGATGAGGAGCTCACAAATACAAATTTCAAGGCCAGGTTTACTGGCCTCATAAATTTCAGTGTCGAATAAAGCTGTCAGTAGGGGGAGGTTTAAAACGAGTCCGACATAAGTTATCCAACACTGATGCGTATAACAGCAACAGAGGAGCATTAGAAAGGGTCACAGAGGATCAAAAATACAATGCAAATAAAATATATAAACCAAAAAGAGTGATGGAACATTATAATTTGATGTTTAGCTTTGCACAGTTAAAATGCTAACGATAGTGTCACAAGTGACACTGCAGATGACAAAGATGCTGAAAACTATCCTTCAAATGCTGAGGATGCTGCCTTACATGCCCAAGACAATGAAGAAGATGATGCTGGAATTAATGCTAAAAATAAGACAGTAAAAATGATGCTAAAGGAAATAAAAAAGAATAGACCTATGAGGATGATAAGCAAGTGCCCGATGAAGAAAATGCAGTCAGAGATGACTCCAGGATTGATGTTCAAGAAAATGCTGTAGGTGGTGCAAAAGATAATGCTTTAGATGATTAAAAAAATTGATGTTAAAGGGCATGTTAGAGATGGTGTAGAAGATGATGCTGCAAAAAAGCTTAAGATAATGCTAAAAAGCAGGTGATAACCAAAAAATTATATCACTGAAGGTGATGCTACATATGTTGCTGAAGATTGTGCATAAATGATGACTCAGATATTGCTAAAGAGGATGAAAGCGGATGATGCTAAAAGTGATGCTAGAGATATAAATCATGTAATGCTAGAGATAATGCTATGGATCATACTGAGGCCAATGCTAAAAAGGATTTTGTAGATAAGGCTATAGACAATGAGGCTTAAGATAATGCTGTAAATGATAAAAAATAAACAGATGCTGAAGGTCATGCTTGAGATCGTGCAAAAGATGATGCTGCAGATACAGCTTTAGATGATGCTAAAAAGGAGAGGATGACCAAAAAAGGATAGCCAGATAAAGAATGCCATGGATCATGCTCAAGCCAATGCTAAACAGGACGTTGTCGGTAAGGCTATAGTTAGTGACGCTTAAGATAATGCTGTAAAAACAATTAAATTAATGCAAAGGATGATGCTGCAGATGATGTTAAAAGAGAAGGATGCTTGAAGATGATGCTTTGTATGATGCTAGAGATAATGCATAAAACAATGCTTCAGATGATACTGAAGATAATGCTTAAGATAATTCTTATGATAATGCGAAAGGTAATAAGACGAGGATGCTTAAAGTGATGCTAGAGATGATGCTTGAGATAATGTTGAGGTTAATGCCATAAAGAGTGCAAAAGATAAAGTTTTTGTTGGAGATGATGCTGGAGATGCTGAAGATAATGCATAGTTTGATGCTAAAAATGATGACAATTATGCTGAAAACAATGATGGTCATGCTAAAAAACGGCAGATGGTGCTAAAAGCGATGCATCCACTGCATTACATTTTCAAACAGTTTTTCTCCTCCACCTAAATCCAGGTAAGGTGTTTTTATAACAGCTCTGCATACA